GGTATATAAACTCTCTTCATTTTTTTGTAATCGATTGACGCTACTTATAGTGCATGCTTGAATGCTACGAAAGAAAAAAAAAAGAAAAAGGGAAAGAAATATCAGATATACATCGTACACCATCATAATAACTTGTGTCATACATCGTACGTATAATAATATTCCGTATATTACTTTCAATTGCATAAATTAAATAAAAAAGGAAATAATTTTAATATTTTGGAAATTATATTGACATATGTACGAAATGCTCTTTTTGTCACTTATGACAGTTTATGTTCTACATTTGTTAATACGTAATATACATTTATATAGCGTATTTATATATACGTATAAAATACGTATAAAATAACGTAATATATAACGTATAAAAATATTCTGATAATATATTATATATATATATATATATATATATATATATAAGAAGAATTATATAAAATAATCTATTATAGTCTTTTAATTAATTTCTAAAATAATTTTTTATTAATTAAATTGTATTATGACAGGATGTTTATAAGAACTTTAAATTTGACGCTTACGATACATTAAATTTCAATTATTTAATAATTAAATAAAATAACAAATTGTCAAAATTATTAAACAATGGATCTTTAGATAATTAATAATTTCTTTCACACAATACAAAGAAATTCCATGTGTGTATATCAGCAAAATAGTTTTATTATATTTCATTACCTAAATATTTTATTATATTTTATTTACCTTTTATATCAGCAAAAATATTTAAACTAGTACTATTCGTAGATTATTTCTTTTGTCCTGAGATTTCGCACTTTTATTTTTTTTGTGAAATATTTTTGTGGACGATGTTTCTAAATATATAATTGATGCGTCCAGTCTCATCTATTACAAAATACTAACAAAATATTTACTGTACTTTTTATGAAAATAAACAATATTAGGGAATTATATTTATAAAGAATAAATTTAATACACGTACATTTTTAAAATTATTGCATTTTAACAATTCTATTAAATAAAACTAACTTCTCTTTTCCATTTTTGGTTAACTTCTTGTCGTAAGCAGAAAGGATATGTAACCGGCTGACGTTTTCAATAACTAAAAAGTATGTAAGTATATAATATTTACATTTGAGATAAAGCGTAAAATTAAAAATGTAAATAAGAAGTTAAAAATATTATGAAATAACATTGAATATGTTAATTTTTTAACAAATATCTTTATAAATAAAATTCAATTTATATACTTATAAGTAAGAGATTTAGTTTTACTATATTCAGTGATTATAATTGAAACATATTTATATGAGTAATAAAATAAAATCAATTATTAATATAAATTGTCAATGAATTGACAAAATCTTAAAACATCATATATATAAATTAACATCATATATAAAAATTAACAATTAAATATAATAAAATTACATGATATAATACTAGTGCCAAAATAACAGTATAGAATATTAATATCTTACACTACAAAACATGGCAATTGTCATAGGAAATATTTTCCCAGCAGTGAAATATACTGGTACACCGGTTTTAATCATAAAAAGGATTAAGTCTTTCGCTTCCCTCGGATCCAGAAAATACCATTCATTATTGTATAGCGCATAATGAATTGCATCGTACTTTAAAATATTAACATTCATATATGCAAACATTCTCTTTATATAAATTATATAAATTATTATATATATTTAATAACCTTACTCGAGTCATTAATATTTCGCCAATGGCGCAATAAAGACACATATGAATAAATATATTTGTAATGCCGACGAGAAGAATTGACAGACGGATGGTCGGTATATCTTCCTCGTCAAATAGCTAATGAAATTATAATTAATCTATGTTATGCATGAAAAGATATGATTTTTTTCTGATTAAAAAATTCTTATTAAAATTAAATTGTGTATAGAATATTCTTACATAGACATGTAACAACATGACACTAATTTTTATATACATGATATTATCAAAAATTATTAAAGATTAAGTTGAAATACAAAAATCGAATACTCACAAATTTCTTGTACCACTTACACTAACTAGTAGAAATCCTTGAAATGCAAATAATATAGCAAAATATAATAAGAGTACCAAAAGAATAATATTATACGCATCTTCTACTATACCAACGGCTCTATAATGTAATTTTATATTATTATAGACACATTTTTGATAGTTTGATTAATTCAAATTATATTGTAAATGTATTGTAAATATAGTAAGATTTAATATACTATCTTTATTTATATATTTATTTTTAAATAAAATATCTGTATTTAAAAATATAATATAAATGCTAAAAATGATAAAATTAATTTATTTTTAAGTGATTTTTAAGATGCTTATATAACTACGCACACATACACACAATTTTTGATAATTTTCTTCTAAATTGTGTAATAAATATATAAAACAGATAAAAGATACGATACCTGAGCAATCGAATGTGACACATCACGCTGTCTTTCAATATATCAGAAAAGTTTTTTTGTTCATGTAAATGTACGAGACGATTTTTCAAAATATCTAATTGACCACAAATATGAAACACCAGCAATCCAAGGAAAGTGTCTATTCCTGTATAAGGTATAATAACGATGAAGAGAGATATTATTTGGAACATTAATGTAATTTCATACTGCGGTCTCTTCGTTATATCATAAAGATAATAGCTTTGTAAAAGCAATGGTCTGCCTGGATCGGTAATATTCGGCGTCAATCTCATCGATTTTCCAAAAATAGTCGTACCGACAAGACTTACACATGCTATCCCCATCACAAAAAATGCGCATATAACAATTATGCGTGCGCGTTGCGCCCATTTAATCATCACATTCCTTTCGTATAGGCTTTTCGATTTTAACCAATCTTCCGCAATCATATTTACAATTATTACAAGAGCTTAAAAAATATTAGATTTTAATAGAAACAATAAATTTATGAATATTTCTGTCAATACTTTTGTACATAAAATAATGAGATGAATTAGTATAAATAAAATACATAATTGTTTTTAAAAAAAGATATGAATTTGTAACGAAATTATATATATTTTTTTAAAAAAAACAACTATGTTTTCTTTACAATTGATTCTTCTCATTATTTTGTATGCCGAATATTGCGAAGAATCGATTTATATAAAATAATTAAGATGGTTCATTAAAGAAAATTAGGTTGGACCTTTACATAGTTTGACCCATATGCAAGATCAAATTAATATCCCTATCTTTTGCTTCCCTTGGAATCAAGTAACATTTTATTTAAAACATTTTTTAATATGAGTCTAAAAACAAGAATCATTTGCGATGCAAAAAATAAATGAGATATCTTGTATATATACATATATAAGTATTATAACATTCACATTATATTATACACATATTTACCTCTTTTCTTCCACCAGAATATTATAAGTCTAACAATGCTGCTGATCAGCGGTAAAGTATATTGTAAATTATCTATTGTTAGCATGATATTCGAGTGAATTCTGATTAACGAATGTATAGCAGGAATTAATAACCAAAATGCCAGAAAAGCAACAAATATGCGTAAATTACACAATAATTTTTCTCGAAAGTTTTGTTCTAATTGAGGCCAGAGACCAATCAGTTCCAAACTGATACGATTTAATTTCACTGCCCATTCGAAATCTTCCTACAATGATTTTGATAAGCCAAATTCTTTTGTAAAAATATAATTTAAGTATAAACTTCAATCTTTTATTCGACTTTGGATATTAATATTTAAGTAGAGAAAAATTGTTAAATAAAGAACAAATAAATAATCTAGAATTAATTAATTAAAATATATAAAAATTTGAAAATTGTTCAAATAATAACAGATAATAATTAAAATCACGTAATAGATTTCTTAATCATTTAAAATATGAATAATGATTGTATATAATAAAAATATTTTTGCAAAAAATAAAGCACAACAGAAAATTTCGAACATCTCTTTTTCTACAGCATAACACATATAACTTAGTAACTTTAATAAAAACACATTGCTTCGAAAACACAAGTGTTTCTCATTGTAACGTTAAACACCTTTATATCTCGAGTAATTTGAATCATCCATATCGAAAGCTAGATAAAGACTGACGGCTGTGCCTTTTGCACGCACCGACGTTACCTTGCATTCAACAAAAACATTCATCGCACATACGGGATAAGGTTTTTAAGAGCTTGAGAGGAACGATATGACTTATTAAATATTCAAGAGTTTCTTGTTTCATGTTTCTCTCTTTTTTTACGCGATCGACTAAAAAGTAGTCGACGATTAAAAGACAAAAAATTACGTACTTATGGACGAATATTTCATGGGAATATCTCGTAAATATACATCTGCTATATTCTCACGCATTAGCAGTTCAGAGACTATATACATAGTATCGATTTTATTATGTTCGATCGACAGTCTGTAAAAATGTGTGTCGAAAATTATCTGTAAGTAATCCTTAAATTGACAGAAAATTATATTTGAACAAAATATCATTTTATTTTTTTATTAGCAATTTATATCATTATATCTTTTTATTAGCAATTTATTTATTATAAACTTTAATATATTTAATAACTAATTATTCTTATATCTGATATTAGAAATGAAGAATCGGATATATACATATGTATGTATGTAACACTTTCAATGAATATAAGAAACAATATTCAACAATAAGATATTATCACATCTTTTAATTCAATTTGATTATATAAATGATTCTCTAATATTTGTTTCTTTTATGTTATTTAAATATTTTGTATTTCTCACATACTGTATATATATCTTGTGTATTTATTTTATTATATTTTTTTCGAAGTTTTTGAAATTATGATTATATTTTATAATAATTAAATGATTATGTTAAATTTGTTTCTCTATTCTACTTTGTAAAAATTGTTACATAAACATACGTATTAATACACATATATTCTTCAATTATACTCATAATTTGCACTTTATTTCATAATATTAGAATTACTTTGTACATATTTAAATCTTTAAACTGACATTCTAAGTAGAACAGATATATAGCCAGCCGATGTCTTTATTAACTGAAAGGCAAAATATCTTTATAATAATATGAATATATATGTCTCGCCAGAATATTTTGATATAAAATAGAGATGTGTGTGAGAGAGATTAGTTCAAACAATATTCTTATTATAATATAAAAATATAATATAAAAATAATTTTGTTATATATTTCTGTGTATTTTTTTATCAATAATTAATAAAAATTCTAAATTTGCCATCTAATATATTTATAACAAAAATTGACGAATCCAAAACTGCGCAAAATTGCATGTAAGATATTAAGCTAATATATTATAACTTAATTTATATTGCACAGTGATACATAATTCAGCGTATTGAAGTCCTTTAATCGAAATTTAATGTATCTTACACTGCAAAATGTAGCCATTGTTATGGGAAATACTTTTCCCGCGGTGAGATAAACCGGTTTCCTGCTTTTAATTATTACAGGGATCAAATCTCGCGCTTCGCTTGATTCCAAAATATACCACTCTTGACTGTACACAGCGTAATAAATTTTATCACACTTAAAAATATTAAAAAATCTTTTTTGAATATTATAATTGTTATATATATTTTATAACTGGGAAAGCTAAACTTACTTGGGCCATTAGAATCTCGCCGATAGCACAATGAAGGCACATATGACCGAATATATTAATTACATTGCTTATGAGATATACCAAGCGGGTGATTGATACATCATTCTCTTTTGCAAGCAACTGATTAAACCGCGACATGTATAAAAAAACATAACTTTGATATATTGATGATTTTTGACAAGTTTAAATTGCATTATTATATAAATATCGTTATTAGATCATATTTATATATGTGTAATATATTCTTTATTTTAATTCTTATAATATATTCTTTATTTCGTCATTAAAAATATATGTATATCACAATATAAATATGTGAGTTACATAGAAAAATCTTATAATTATTTTTAGACACTCACGTTAATTATAAGAAATCCATAGAACGAGAATAAAAGACCAAAACATAAGAATAATGCGAGAAATATTATATTATATATATCTTCTACAACTGCAATGGCTCTATAAAGTAATATATTAATAATATATTAGTAATATATTTACTATAAACACACTGAAATGATTGAAAGCTAGCTGAGAAAACTACGGTTTTACTTTAAATAAAAACAAAAATTTTTAAATACAAAATTACATAGAGGAAGATTACATAGAGTTTTATGCAAAAGCATTCTTTGAAATAGAAAAAAAAATCTTTTCTGTCAAGCAATTATTATATCAATATTATATGACAAAATTACTTTCAAAGGAGAAGATGCAAAAATAACACAAGCAAAAAAAATACCTCAACAATCGCATGTGATCCCTCACGCAGCTTTTTAAAATTGTATGAAAGTTCATAAACTTGTTCATACGAAGGAAACGATGCCTGAGGAAGTCCAATTGGCCGCAGATGTGAAACACAACCAATCCAAGGAAATTATCGATTCCCGCATAACACGTCATAGCACAAAAGACAGAAATGGAAATCATGATATATGTCAACTCGTATTGCGGGGTTTTCGTTACGTCGTATATGTAATAAGTCTGTATCGGCATCGATCTGCCTGCATCGGTAATATTTGTCAGGCACCTTATGGAGATTCCGAAAATTGGCAGAACGATAATAAAGACGTATGCCAATCCCATAAGACAATACGCGAACGCGATGATTGCGCGCGCGATTACCGCATTTCTCACCATTGCGTTTCTCTCTTTCGTGCTCTTAGATCTTAGCCAATCCTCTATCATCATGTTTATTATCGTTGCAATAGCTTCGAAGATAAAATATTTAATAAGGATGACGTATCTTTATAAATAGCTTTATTAAATTAAATTCACAGAACGTGAGAAACGTTCATTTTCAAGTTAGAAGTCTACCTTTCTTCTTCCACCAAAAGATCATGATTTTTATCACGCTATTGACAGTCGGCACGATAAATTGTAAGTTATCAACCACTTGCATGAGATCCGAATGAGTTATTATCAATGAATATACAGAGGGAATGAGAAGGCTGGTTATTATTACAAGAAATATGACGAGCACGCGTAAGTTACACATTAACTTTTCTCGAGAATTTTGTCGAGTTGTAGGCCATAGCCCCATCAATCCTAAACTGATACGGTTTAATTTCACTGCCCGTTCGAAGTCTACCTGTAGAGATTTTATTAAGTTGGAGCTCTCTTCATGCTCATAACTAATTTTAAAACAGATATATAGGTGATCAAATAAATTTATAAAATGTATAGAAGTTAATTAAAAAGTGAAAATAAAATTAAAAAATATTTTGATATTATTTAATAATAATATATAATTTAATAATAATTTTGCAAAATCTTTTCACTCTTGCACCGTAATAATTGCGATGCGAAGCACCTTCGTATCCAGAATATTCTGAACCACCCATGTCAAATGTTATCTAAAGACTGGCGTCTGTCCTTGCTTCAGGCGACGAAGTCACCTCCTATTAAACTGAGAGCGTTCGTCACGCATGCTCATAAAATTTCTTAAAAGCGTGAAGATAGAATGCATTAAATATTCAGAAGACTCTTTTTCTCCTTCACTTGTTCGAAGTTTGTATGTAGTTACCCCAAAAAAATATGCAGTCTAAGAGGTGAATAACCACACACGACAGCAATACTATGCGTCGAAACATATGTTACGTTTCCACACGCTAATAATCGATTGATAATATCCGTATATAATGTCACATAGATTGATCATATCCGATTATAGATGATTTTAATGAAAGAACGCGTCATTTTTAATTTTGCTTGTAATTATACAGATTATCGATTGTTGATACATATAAAACTATTCATTGTTATATTATTTTATTGCTTTCTATAATAATATTATAGAGTTTTGACGAAATATTTACAGAATGTATATCTAGTAACTTAATATATTTCAGATTTGAAAATTTCAAGTATATAATATTTTTTTAAAATTGTATTTGATTTTATGATGATGATTTTATAAGGAATTTTGTCTCGATTTTAAACAGCTATAGTTATATTCATTGATAATATTCATTAATCATATTCTATATACAAAGTAACACTGTAAGCATGTTTAAGAAATATTAATAAATTTTACAAAATATATTATTAAAATGGGTAAAAAAAATTTTATGAATAAATTCATAGGCATAAGCTTGTAAAAAACTGGCAAAAACATATGACATATTATAGATATATTTTTGAATATCCTGCAATTATTAAAAGATTATTAAAATTATATATACATTTTATTTTATTACATTTATTTATAATGAAATAATTTGATTCGGCTTTAGGTTCGTAAAAAATATGAATATGTACATTGCGATTTAAGTTTGATTTCAATTTCAGATCTCTCTGCTTTATTTTTATACAAATTTTTAACAATTTTTGCAGCATATTTTAATCGAATTATGCAGTAAAATTTAATCACAAATAATTCAATTGATAATTAAACAGTTTTCTAAGCTATCGTATATCTACTCACAAACAATTTTAATTATTTCATATTTTCATTAACTTTTCGTTGTATGCAAAACAGATATATAACCAGCTGATGTTTTTAATAGCTAAAACATTTTTTAAATAGTAATACGATTAATAATATCATCCTATTGTGTTAATTAATCGCGAAGTTAAAGACTGTGCATAGAAAGGTATAAAAAAATAATAATAAATAATAACAAATAATAATAAATTTGTAAACATTTAAAATGAGGTATGGAGATTGTTCGATACATTTTATACAATGAAAGTTTAATGTCATTTAAATCCTTAATACAACAAATTACAATTGTAATCAAACATTAAAATCTTACCCCACAGAATGTAGCCATTGTCATGGGAAACACTTTTCCAGCAGTGAGATAGATCGGTTTAGCGCCTCTAATCAGTAATGGCAACAAATCCCTCGCATTTCTCGAATCCACTGAATACCATTTATTACTATACGCTGCATAATATATCTTATTACACTTGAAAAAGCATCAAAAATGTTTTTAGATACAAATTATTAAATACATATTATTTAATAACAAAATGAGAATCAGAATTAAATCAGTTTTCAAAATATTCATATAAATTACAAATTAACATATTTATATACAATTACGAACACAATTAACTGTTAAATAATATTTTTGTAAAAATATATATATATATATATATATATATATATATATATATATATATATAAGGTAAAAATTTACTATACAATATACATGCCATTTTACAATTCTGAGCATTCTGTCATAAAACAATCTGTTATTATTTTATATTCTTAAAAAAGTTTACATTAAATATATTTTTTATAATATTCAATTTAATAAAAATTAAATAAAATTGTCAAAAAATTTATTTTTATATTATATATAGAAATCAATATTTTTTTTTAAATTTTACTATATACATGTAAAAAATTTGATTTTAATAATATGTTAATCAAATTTTTCTTACATTAAATCGCATATAATGTAAGGTGATGCATATAATGTATTATGTATGTAACTTGTATAGTTTTATTATAAAAAAAAACGATATATAATCTACCTGGGCCACCAAAATTTCGCCAAGAGCACAATATAAACACATATGCGCAAATATATTGAAAACGTTAGATATGAGATACATCAAGTGAGTGAGCGATAGATCATTTCCTTCGTCAAATAGCTAATTAAATTTGTGATATTATATAAAAATAGCTTTTTCGCGTTTTTTTATCTAACATGCGTTATTGATCTCTTCTCTATCGTTAAAGATCAATTTAAATCAAGCTTTCCGATACTTACGCTAATTATCCGGAAACCGTAAAAAGCAAAGAGTATCGCAAAGTACACAAATAACGCGAGAAGCGTTATATTGTACGTATCTTCGATGACGGCGATGGCTCTGTAAAAAAACATACTATTGTATTTTTATGCGAATCTTTTGTTCGCATTCGCGTATAAAATAGCAAACCTGAGCAAACTGGTATGTTTCGCCACGCAGCTTCTCAGCATATCGCCTGAATTGATATATTTATCCAAATACGTCAAACGATCCTTGAGAATGTCCAATTGGCCGCATATGTGAAATATCAGCAGACCGAGAAAATTGTCGATGCCAGTGTAGGCTAACATGGCGAGAAGGATGTAGATTGCCTGACTAATAAATGTCAGCTCGTATTGAGGCCGCCGCGTTACATCGTAGACATAATGGGTTTGCAATGGCATAGGTCTACCCGGATCGGTAATGTTCGGCGTCAATCTCATCGACAGGCCGAATCCGGGTAGGATGATGATGAAAAAGCACGCTACTAGCATTATGCCATACGCGCACGTGATAATTATGCGCGCGCTTCGCGCCCTCCTGATCATTATTCTTCTTTCTCTCGCGGTCTTGGATCTTAACCAATCCTCCGCGATCATATCCATGATCGGCACGATAGCTTCAAAAGTGTCAATATATTGAACGATTCGAATGAGGGCTAAATTGACAGAGAGACTACGTCAAGATTAATCTTAAACAAAAATAAAAGAAGGGAAAAGAAGAAACTGTAAAAAATAATATTTTTTGTTTTACAAGTTTGATAAAAAGGAGAATAATATATAAAAATAATTTCCATAATTTTTCTTTAGGTTAGAGATTCTTGCTGCGCGATAAATTTGTAATTTTTTTTATAAAGACTTATATTAATTTTTTATAAAGACTCTTATATTATATTTAGATAAAATCCTTTACATTATTTCTATAAAAGGAACCGTCTTTTTAAATTCAATTTACGTGTATATCATTTATCGCATAGAATTGTATATCATTTATTTCATAGAGTTATAATACTGGATATATTTGCGTTTTTACCTTCTTTTTTCCACCAAAAGATCACGATTCTTATCGAGCAGCTCACGGCTGGCAAAGTGAATTGTAAATTATCCATCATCAGCATAATATCCCCTTGAATTCTTATCAGGGAATGTATAGCAGGAATTAGAACACCGAGAGTTATCCCCAAAAAGACAACGAGCACTCGAAAATCGCACAATAACTTCTGTCGCGGACTTTGCGGAGTTTTAGGCCAGAGTCCAATCAAGTCTAGAGCGATACGATTTAATTTTACCGCCCATTCGAAATCTACCTGTAGAAATCGCAATGAGTCCAAGTTCGCCGAAATCATCGCATAATGTGTTAAACATGTCATTAATAAAATTCAATTAAATACAAAATGTCGCAAAATATAAAGTATATTATCTGAAAACTATACTATATACTTTCTGTTAATTACAAATTTAGTGTAATCAGTTGAAAATAATAATAATATTTATAATAATAATAAGTAACAGATAATAATAATAAACATAGCAATAATAATAATCATAGCAATTTCAAATTGTCATAATCAGACATAGTCTTTTTATTTGGCATAATATATAAGAAATAATGAATGGAGGAATTTTGCTAAAATATGATATGAAAATAAAACAAGATGAATATTAAAGTATTGCATCATAAAAGATCACGAGTATAAAAATATTTTATACAAGACTGTCTCTTTTCTAATCGCAACCATTACCATAAGCATCTTGATATCCGGAATATTTAGAACCATCCATCTCAAATGTTGTCTAAAGACTGACGTCAGCTTGCTTTTTGCGAAACGACGTTACTTCCTAAACACATCTCTTGCGCATATTCCCAATAAAGAAAGCTTTTAAAAAGGTTAAGCAATAAAAAGTATATTAAATATTCCGTGATAATCGACCCTTGTTTCAAGTTTCAACACTGATCGTGTCGCGCGAAATAATCGTGTGAGCAAAAAATTTCGCAATAACAGACGGGAGAAGAAGAGCGTGCACATCTGTTATACTCTCACGCTTCTATAATCGGCTGTAGTAGTCTACAGTTTCGCTATAGTTAATAAACGATTATAGAGATTCTATCATATGTGTCATCTACGGTTGTTTTTTGAGAAGAAATAGATAAATTTAAAAAATATTATTTAAAATCTTAAAAAAATACTCTTATAGAACATATTAAACAAGTATTCCAATGAAAGATAAAAAATGATTAAAGAAATATTACATATTCTTAAATTTAAGTTTGATTTTTAAGTTAAATTCTTACATTTACGAGATTTCAAATTCTGTGTATACATATGTATATACAGTTCACTAGAAAATATATCGGTACGTATAAAATAATGTAAAACGCAAAAGAGTCTTTTACTCTATAAATATTGTATTAAATAATCTACAAATATTTTATTTCTATTTAAATTCATATATCTCTTTGTTGTTTTAATTTCCAAGCTATCGCATATCTATGCACAAAAAATTATATTTATCTCTATGAACTTTTCGTTGTATGCAAAACAGATATATAACCAGCTGATGTTTTTAATAGCTAAAAACATTTTTTAAATAGTAATACGATTAATATCATGTGTTAATTAATGGCGAAGTTGAAGATTGTACATAGAGAGGTATAAAAAAATAATAATAAATAATAACAAATAATAATAAATTTGTAAACATTTAAAATGAGGTATGGAGATTGTTCGATACATTTCATACAATGAAAGTTTAATGTCATTTAAATCCTTTTAATGCAACAAATTACAATTATAACCAAACATTAAAATATCTTACCCCACAGAATGTAGCCATTGTCATCGGAAACACTTTTCCAGCAGTGAGATAGATCGGTTTAGCGCCTCTGATCAGTAATGGCAACAAATCCCTCGCATTTCTCGAATCCATTGAATACCATTCGTTACTATATGCCGCATAATATATCTCATTACACTTGAAAGAGCATCAGAAATGTTTTTGGATACAAATTATTACATGCATATTATTTAGTAACAAAAAGGGAATCAGAATCAAATTCATTTACAAAATATTGTATAAATTACAAATTACATATTTATATACAAATTATGAACATAATTAACTATTAATTTATATTTTCTTAAAAATTTACTATACATAAGATACATGCCGGTACTTTACAATTCTGAGCATTCTGAAAACAATCTATATTATTTTATATCCTTAAAAAAGTTTACGTTAAATATATTTTCTACGATATTCAATTTAATAAAAATTAAATAAAAATTAAACAAAATGATCAAAAAATTGATTTTTATATTATATATAGAAATCAGTATTTTTTTAAATTTTACTATATATATATACATATATATGTAATAAATTTGATTTTAATAGGATGTTAATCAAATTTTTCTTACATTAAATCGCATAATCAATGTATTATGTATGTGTTTTGCATAATTTTAGTATAAAAGAAAACGATATGTAATTTACCTGGGCCACCAAAATTTCGCCAAGAGCACAATATAGGCACATATGCGCAAATAAGTTGAAAATGTTAGATATAAGATACATCAAGTGAGTGAGGGATAAATCATTTCCTTCATCAAACAGCTAATTAATTCATCTCAATTAAAATTTAGAATTTAAAAATTAAAATATAAGTCTAAATACAAATTTGTAAATTTATGTATTATTTGCATATTTATAAAACTAGCTTTTTTCGCAGTTTTTTTTGTAACATGCTTTATTAGTCTCTTTTATCGTAAAAGGTCAATTTAAGCTTTTCGATACTTACGCTAATTATCCGGAAACCGTAGAAAGCAAAGAGTATCGCAAAGTACACAAATAACGCGAGAAGTGTTATATTGTACGTATCTTCGATGACGGTGATGGCTCTGTAAAAATGCATACTTTTTTTTATGCGAATCTTTTGTTCGCATTCGCATATAAAATAGCAAACCTGAGCAAACTGGTATGTTTCGCCACGCAGCTTCTCAGCATATCGCCTGAATTGATATATTTATCCAAATACGTCAAACGATCCTTGAGAATGTCTAATTGGCCGCATATGTGAAATATTAGCAGACCGAGAAAATTGTCGATGCCAGTGTAGGACAAGATGGCGAGAAGGATATAGATGGCCTGACTGATAAATGTTAGCTCGTATTGCGGTCGTCTCGTTACGTCGTAGACGTAGTGGGTTTGCAATGGCATAGGTCTACCCGGATCGGTGATGTTCGGTGTCAATCTCATCGACAGGCCAACACCGGGTAGAATAATGATGAAACAGCACGCTACTATCATTATGCCATACGCGCACGTGATAATTATGCGCGCGCTTCGCGCCCTCCTAATCATTATTCTTCTCTCTCGTGCAGTCTTGAACTTTAACCAATCTTCCGCGATCATATCCATGATCGGCACGATAGCTTAAAAAATATCAATATATTGAATGCTTCGAATAAGCGCTAATTTGACAGAGACACTACATCAAGCTTAATCTTAAACAAAATAAAAGAAAGGAAAAGAAGAAACTGTGAAAATATATCTTGTTTTATAGGTTTGACAAAAAAGAGAATAATATAATTAAAAACAATTTCCTTAGATTTTCCTGAGATTATCGCTGCGCGATAAATTTGTAATTTTTTTATAAAAATTCTTTATATTATTTGTATAAAATGAATCGTCTTTTTTAATTCAATTTACATGTATTTCATTTATCGCAAAAAGTTATAATGTTGGGTATATTTGCATTTCTACCTTCTTTTTTCCACCAAAAGATCACGATTCTTATCGAGCAGCTCACGGCTGGCAAAGTGAATTGTAAATTATCCATCATCAGCATAATATCCCCTTGAATTCTTATCAGGGAATGTATAGCAGGAATTAGAACACCGAGAGTTATCCCCAAAAAGACGACGAGCACTCGAAAATCGCACAATAACTTCTGTCGCGGACTTCGCGGAGTTTTAGGCCAGAGTCCAATCAAGTCTAGAGCGATACGATTTAATTTTACCGCCCATTCGAAATCTACCTGTAGAAATCGCAATAAGTCCAAGTTCGCCGAAATCATTGCATAATGTGTTAAACATGTCATTAATAAAATTCAATTAAATACAAAATGTCGCAAAATATAAAGTATATTATCTGAAAACTATATACTTTCTGTTAATTATAAATTTAGTGTAATCAGTTGAAAATAATAATAACTTATAATAATAATAAGTAACAGATAATAATAATAAACATATCAATAATAATAATCATAGCAATTTCAAGTTGTCATAATCAGAGATAGTCTTTTTATTTGGCATAATATATAAGAGACAATGAATGGAGGAACTTTGCTAAAATATAATGTGAAAATAAAACAAGATAAATATTAAAGTATTGCATCAAAAAAGATCACGAGTATAAAAATATTTTATACAAGACTGTCTCTTTTCTAATCGCAACCATTACCATAAGCATCTTGATATCCGGAATACTTAGAACCATCCATGTCAAATGTTATCTAAAGACTGACGTCAGTTTGCTTTTTGCGAAATGACGTTACTTCCTAAACACGTTTCTTGCGCATATTCCCAATAAAGAAAGCTTTTAAAAAGGCTAAGCAATAAAAAGTATATTAAATATTCCGTGATAATCGACCCTTGTTTCAAGTTTCAACACTGATCGTGTCGCGCGAAATGATCGTGTGAGCAAAAAATTTCGCAATAACAGGCGGGAGAATAAGAGCGTGCACATCTGGTATACTCTCACGCTTCTATAATCGGCTGTAGTAGTCTACAGTTTCGCTATAGTTAATAAACGATTATATAGATTCTATCATACGTGTCATCTACGTCGTTTTTTGAGAAGAAATGGATAAATTAAAAAAATGTTATTTAAAATCTTAAAAAAAATACTCTTATATAACATATTAAACAAGGATTCCAATGAAAGAAAAAGTGATTAAAGAAATATTACATATTTTTAAATTTAAATTTTAATTTTTAAATTCTTACATTTATGAGAGGTTTTCAAATTCTATTTATATACAGTTCACTAGAAAATATATCGGTGCGTATAAAATTAGTTAAAACTCAAAAGAGTCTTTTACTCTATAAATATTGGATTAAATAATCTACAAATATTTTATTTCTATTTAAATTCATATATCTCTTTGTTATTATTTTGTTCATATAATTATTTAATTGGAGATATATTACACCTACTCTTCTATTACATTGGAATAAATGCTACACTAATATGATTTTTTCACTTTTTTTTATCCTCGCTTTGCTAATAAAAATGATATGTATCCAGCCGATGTTTTTAATAACTGAAACATATGTATAAACGCATAATAGGATATTATTTTTAATTATGGAGAATAAACAGATATATATATATATATTGACAATTAGAAGATAAACTCAATTTCTTTCTGCAAAAATAATTTTAAAAACATATGTCTTTACACAATGTTTATTATATTTTTTTCTAATGATTAAATACTTTTTGAAAGAAATTAAAAAATTAAATTAAAAAATTAAATTGTTAACATTAAAAGTAATTTTTTTCTTTTATACCCATTAAAGAAAAAAAAGCTTCAAATGTAGATGCATATATATTTTCCGATATAATTATTTATGTATTTTAAGCAGATTTATTACATAATAATCTTACGCTGCAAAATGTTGTCATCGTGAGAGGAAATATTTTTCCTGCCGTGATACGGAAGGATTGATTGGCTCGTCTCATTAATAAAATAAGATTTCTTGCCTCTCTTGGCTTGAGTTTGTACCATTCAAGATCACACATAGCGCGATATAGGCTTTCGCACTTAACAATCAATGTGCAGAATAATATATCAAGATAATATGATATGTATGTAATAGTATTGTACAATTTATTTATATTCTTTAGAGTATATATAATTCACTCACTTGCTTTGTCACAATCTCCCCGGCGCCGCAATAAAGAAACGTATGTGTAAGCAAAATAGTAATACCCATTAATGGGAAACATAATTGCGAAAAGGAAAAAGTTTCTTCGGCGATCACCTGGACAATATACCTTGCTAATTAATAAAAACAGATTAATGTGAATCGGATCAATAATATGCGCATAAAATTGGATAAAAGACAGTAAAAAAATTTTTTTCCCATAAATAAAAGTGCAAGTGTTAGATCTTGTTAAGTCTTGTTAAAAATCTTGTTATAAAAAACTTACAGTAAGTAATAGAAATCCATGTAGACAAAATAAAATAGCGAAATAGATCACTAAACCCAACATCATTAGTGTAAAAGTATCTTCAATCATATTGGCAAATCTACCATATTAATTTAATAAGTAGCTTATATATTTTTAATATATATCATATATTATATTTCATAAAATATATAATTTTAAGAGCTAATATATATGTGTATATATATTTTACATTTTAATTTAAATTTTCTCTATTTTGTTAATTTCTTAATAAAAATTACTTCTTATTTTTTAGTAGACATATATTAAACAAATTTACACATGCAAAATTATTTCCATTATTATTTATATTTTAAGAAAAGTATAAATATAAATAATAGAAAATATAATATAATATAATTATAAATAATTATAAAATATCAGTAATAAAACTTCTACTTCACATTTTAAATTTTAAATAAAAAAATATAACACATATAACACTTCTCTCTCTCTCTCTCTCTCTCTCTCTCTCTCTTTTTCTCTCTCTCTCTTTCTTACACACATATTGAAACATTAAATTATTAATTATTTAAAATTTTTAATTATTTTTTAAAATAACGTATAATTATTTTCTTCCACAATCTCTTTAAAATAAATGTAAAAAATTATTATATTATTATATTATTATATTATTATATTATTATATTATTAGATTATTAGATTATTAGATTAATCTAAACAAAATTTAATAAAACAATATTTTCCAAAATAAAAACTTTTCTACATTTTGTTTTTAATAATCATATTATTGATTGATTTTTGTAGATACCTGATGAGCCGCAGATGTTTCATCACAATGTTGCTCAGAATGTAGGTAAAATTCTGATATGAAGTTAAAATGGTTATACGACCTCTGAAGTTTTCCAACTGACCGCAGAAGTGAAGGATCGTAAGTCCGAGAAAAGCGTCCACCGACGTGTAAGTAATAGCGGCCAAGAAGATGGTGAGGGCTTGAATGACGTATGTCAACTCGAATTGCGGGCTCGGATCTGTATCGTAAAAATAGTAAGTCTGCAACGGTAACGGTTTGCCCGGATCCGTGAGATTCGTCAAGTGCCTTGTCAACAGCAAACCGAAATACGGAAGAACAATGACAACGACGAACGCCAACATCATCAGAACATATCCACTGATGACGATCGTCCGAGTGATCTGCGCTCGTCCTATCATCACATCTCTTTCCTTTACCGTTTTTAATTCCGTCCAGTCTTCCGCCATCATATTCACGATGGCTAAGAGCGCTTTGTGTGAAATACAGTAATCATTGACATAATGATATTACATTTTATTCTTCGTGCAAAAACATTTGAACAAGTATATTTGAAGAATATTATTCTTCAAATATATTTCATATATTTTTTATAATGGATACAAATTAAAACACGTTTTTGATTTTTGCGTAATACACTTCAGAATAATTCTAGCTGCACATACCTGTCCGTTTCCACCGCATGACGATAAGTTTCAACGAGACCACTAGCAAGGGTAAGGTAACTTGGATATTGTCTATCATAAGTATCATATCGCCCCAGATTCGTATAAGAGAACATATGAGGGGAATACCAGAAACAAACGTCACTATGACAAAAATAATAGCTATGCGAAGATCGGAAGCGATCTTAGTCTTATTGTTAGTAGTTTCATCGCTTCTTGGCCATAAACCGATCAGTTCCAAACCTAAACGATTTAATTTGACCGCCCATACAAAATCTAGCAATATTTTTTTAATATTAAAATGTAAGTTTTTTTTAAAGGAAATTATATATTCTTAAGTAGACCGAAAATAAATGTTTGTCAAAGTTTTAATTATATATATATATATAAAAACAAGATAATATATTTTAAAGTTTTTCTTAAAAAATGGGAATCAAACTTTTACTTAAAAATTAATATATTTATTCACAAAAATTGATGCAAAATTTATTAACAAAAATAAGTATGTACACTTTTAAATGATAAAAAAAGATTTAATTAAAAATTTTACAGTTCCTGAAAAAAAATCATAAAAAAACCTCTTATTTTTGGCTTGTCAGAAGATATAGCTCCTTACAATAAATACAAAAATTGTATAAATTAAAATGTGCGGAAAACTATAAAAATTCTAAAAGATTTATGAAATCAAAGGTAAAAAACTGATGAAAAAGAAATATGATTTTAAGTTTCTAATAATTCAAATTGCAACTTCAATCTCAAAATTAAAGCGAACATTTTAAAGTTTAAAAGTATCACAATCGCACTGCAATCGATGTGTAAAGGATTTACACTAGTTTTGTTAATAATTTTCATGTTTCATTAACAATACAATAATCCAAGAAAATTTTCGACGAAGGTATAACTTTCACTGTGAATAATCAGGAATAAAGAATACGTAATAGACACTCGATACCTCTGTAACCCGAATGTTTTGAAATGTCCATGTCGAAGACTGAAGTTCCACGCTGTACCATCGAAAACAATGATCATCACGCATGCTCGCGACACGAGTGCGACAACCTGTGACAGTCTATTTTTCATCGAAAAATGCATTAAATATTACAAATGTTACGCCCACTTTTGATAACAACTATTCGTTTCACGCGATAAAACTTTATGCGAGCATAAGAGGGTACGTGGCAAAAAGCAGATGTCTATACCACTAATAGAAAGGGAGTTATATTGTGTTAAAGGTAAGTAACGAACTTTTGTTGTGCAAGTTTCTTCGTACTTTATAATGATAATCGTATTCATCTCCCATAACGAGAGATAATATTGCATGTTCATATTGCATTTTTAATCTCTATAGAGGGGAGCTCGTATAAGAGAAGAAGACATAAGAAAACTTCAGTCACGCACACACAAAAAAAACGTTCAATATCCTGTATAAATTGTAAGAATATCAATGTCTATCTTAAAGATATTTTTTTTATAATAAATATTAATAAATACCATACTATTAAAAGAGATATAATATACATATATATTACATATGCATATATATTAAATTATTTCTTCAAAAAGATGTGAACTATCTTTCGATAATTACTCTTAAAAATATACTTTTAATGATTTTTTCAATTTAGACACATAGAGATTATTATGTTATAGAGAATTGTGTGGTTAGAATGGTATAGAGAATTATGTTATTGTATAATAATAATTATTTTTTTACCATAATAATTTTAATATACATGAAACATCTTCGTCTCTGATATTATTGATTAGTTTTACTTATGCGAATTAATAGAAAAAAATAGTGCAAGTTTTGTTAGTGGATTTTTGGAATATTCTAAATATATATAAATATTAAATATTATATTTATAATAATACAACTTATATAAATTTTACAAATTATTACTATATTCTGTAACTAATATAATTATTAATTTCCTGGCCATTTTTATCTCATATATTATTATTCATCTTTTTCAAATTCCAAAAAATATATGATGTAACTTCTCTCAAGCTTCAATTTCGCGATTTGCTAATAAGAATGATATATAACCGGCCGATGTTTTAAACAACTAAAAAATATACTTGTACATTTTTAACCGCGTGAGATTTCGCTTGAAATAACAAAAAAATATTTTGATTACAGATTATTAATTCTCTTACGCTGCAGAATGTAGTCATCGTAAGTGGAAATACTTTTCCCGCGGTGATGTGAAAAGATTCACTGGCTCGTGTCATCAGTAAAATCAAGGCTCTTCCTTTTTTTGGCTCCAATTTGTACCATTCCAGATCGCATATAACACGGTACACTGCTTTGCACTTATGTTAGCACATACAGCACATATAATACGGATATATCTGTGTTATTTCAATATATCGACAGTTCTTTGGTAAATACTAATTAAAATTAAGATTTAATTGAAGATTCTTTATTTCTGTTTAAAGAAAAAAAATATAAAAAAAGAAAAAAATCTAAGCGAATAAATTTAAAAAAATGAAAAATTTATTAAATTAATTTCAGTTAATATATCTACAAAAACAATTTTATTTATATAATAAATATTATACATAATAACGTGTTTTTTAAAAACTCGTTTAATTTCATCAAACTAAACTGACAAGTAAAACTACAAAGCTGTACAAAAATTTATTAGTTTGAAATATTTCGATATATCTTTACATTGGTTATATTAAATTTATTTCTTATATAGATTTCGTATATGCAACTTACTTGTTTCGTTATAATCTCTCCGGCACCGCAATAGAGAAATGTATGCGCTAATAAAGTAACAATACCGATTACCACGAAGCATACTCGTTGAGGTGACATGTTACTTATATTGTCACCGGTAAACACCTAAATAATATCTTATTAATTAATAACATTACAATCACAGGTAAGAAATACTTCATATAATTTTTTTATTATAAAAAATGAAAAAAATACAAGAGCAAGAGAATGAAAAGAATGTCTCAACGTTTTTTCTCATCGACACTTACAGTAACCAATAGAAATCCGAATAGACAAAATACAATACCAAAATAAAATACTAGTCCCAACATCAGTAAAGTAAATGTATCTTCGATATTTGCTGCGAATCTATAGATTATAAACACGTTCAAAGCTTTCATCAAAGATTTCATAAAAATTATAATTAATAAAATGCATATAAGTTTAATTATACAATTTAACAAAAAATAATTTTTGTCTAACATAAGAAACAGAGTAATTATTTTTCATAGTTTTTTTTCATGTCTAGTTTTGACGACTTTGGTTTTCAAATTGCTGAAAAAATAATCTATTTTAATCATAATCATCTTCAATCATAAATTTATGACGTTAAACTGTGGATAAAAATTGTGATGTAATGGATTTGGACGCCAGAGTTGTATGTAATGTTGAAAAAAAATTATGAGAAATAATTATTCTCTTTTTTGTATTTTTTGTTGATTTATTGTAAAAATTTAATTTTAATTTACTAATCATTATAGTAAATTTAACAACTGAAATTTTTATAGAAACACCTTATCAGTCGTATATGAGTTTGCACGTTGTCGCGTAAAGCGCTATCGAAATCTTTGCAAGAGACCAAGTTGGCAAGTCGGTATCTAAAATTTTCCAACTGACCGCAGATGTGAAAGATCGTCAATGCAAGGAAAGCATCTACTGATGTGTAAGTTATCGCGCCTAGGAACATCGTCACGGCTTGGATACCAAGAGTGAGCTCGAATTGCGGGCTCTTTTCCGTATCGTAGAAATAATATGCTTGCAATGGTAACAGTCTGCCATGATTTGTGTGATTTGTTATGTGTCGAAAATGTAGACCAAATGACGGAAGAATGATGAGCACGGTAAACGCGAATATCATCAAAACGTATCCGCAGATACCGACCAGCCGAGCAGCTCGCGCTCGTCTGATCATCACGTTCCTCTCCCTGTCTATCTTCAAATCTACCCAATCTTCCGCCATCATCCTCACGAGAAGCGAGATAGCTTAGAATAATTTAATATAATCAACTTCATTTTTCTCTTTTTTTTAAATAGAGGAAGAAAAACATATTAAATTATATTTTAAACCTTATAAATCTAAAAATATCACACAAACATATATTCTATTTTTTTATATAATTTATAAGTATAAATCTTTTCTCTCTTCCTCACATATAATTAAAGTTATTATATGGAAATAATAAATAAATATTAATAAGATAATTGAAATATATTTTTAATGATATTTTTAATTCTAAAATTATTATATATTTTTTAAACTAAATTTATATAAATTTTAGTTTTAAAAATTTTCAAAAATTAAACAATTTTATTCTTTAAACATATATTGATCAAATATAATTAAACTAAAATTATTGGAAAAATATATAACATTAAGATTGTATATTTTTTTATAATATTTTTTACATATAGCTTTTTTATACGTCTCTTTTTCCTTCTTACTCTCTCTAGTGTCATAATCGAATGATTATAATGAGACAGATTTCAAATATACCTGTACGTTTCCATCGTATGATGATTAGTTTCAGCGAAACCATCAGCAAAGGTAAAGTAGTTTGGAGATTGTCTATCATGAGAATCATATCACCCCAAATATGTACTAGAGAACATATGAGAGGAACAACTGACAAGAAAGTTACTATAACAAAAATAATGCTCACGCGAAGATCGGAAAGAAAACTGTCTTTAGTTGTTTTATCGGTTTCGGGCCACAAACCGATCAGCTCCAAGCTGACCCGATGTAATTCAACTGCCCATACAAAATCTAACAGAATTTTATTACGTAATAATTAAAATATTTATTATATAAGAAATGTAAAATATATAAAATATAAAAATTTAAAAATTCAGAAATGTAAAATTTTTATAACAGTTTAAGATTTCATAGATTTAATTACTTATAAAAATCGAAAAAATTTCGTTATTTAATCTTGTCAGAATCAAATAAAAATGCAAAAAATTCTTGAATTTATAAATCTGAGTATAAATCTAAAGCAAAAATAAAAAACTTATCTATCAATTGAACAACGAAAGATACAAGATGAAATATATCACTAGAAGTGTATGGAATATATGTACAAATTTAATTCTATTTATATAAATATTTCTCCTTTTGAACTAATATAATAAAATAATTATAAAAGATAATATAAATCGTGAGTAAAAACACATGTGATAAACACTCGATACCTTTGTAACCCGAATGTTTGGTAATGTCCATGTCGAAGATTAATGAAGAGAAACTTGCTATCCCCACTTCAAAAGTAGCGAACAATGATCATCTAACACACTCGAGTGCAACAACCAGACTATTTTTTCGAAAGACATTAAATATTACAGATGTGCTATCTCTAATTGTGATAATAGTTCTACGTCTCGTAAGGAAAACTTTATCAGCAATAAAGGCATCGATGTCTATGCTAATAAGAGAGATATGTATATTATACCATCATACATAGCAAGCTCGTCGAACTTGTTATGCAAGTTTTTTTGCAGCACATATACTTACCTTGTAACAAGAGATAATGGCATAGTTGAATTTTTAATGGATCCCTGTAGGAGGAACATGAGAACAGAAAAAACTGATACAAAAAAAAGATGAAAAAGATGACAAAGGTACGATCATTCCATAAACTATACCCTTGTGTATATACTCGTTTAGAATGAAATAATCATTGAGAATGAAATATTGAATAATTATAATATGTGCGAAGTGATGATATAATATAAATTTTATAATTATCTATTATTCAAGTTTTTAAAGATTTCCAATTTTATAGGAAATTTGTGTAAAATTGATTTATGTCATATTTTAGAGTCTAATGCATTTCTTTAATACGAGACACGATGGATCGAATATATTTGTCTTATTTTTTTATAAATCTATTTGTATAAAATAATAAAAAGATAGATGTGATAAATTTAAGAAAATTCTTGCATATAAATCGAAACATTCGATAAGACATAAAATTTTGCAATAAATAACAAATAGCGAAATAAATAACACAAATATACTTTATTTTTACCATATCAACATATAGATTATCGACTATAGATTATCGACATCAACATATAGATTATCGACTTTTATTCGTAATTATCTAATTAGCAACAATTTTTTAAATAATTAAATATTTAAATCTCGTTAATTCTTTTAATTAAATATTTAGTAATAATACACTAATAATATTTCTGCTTCAGCCCTGCTTTGCTAATAAAAATGATATATAGCCAGCTGATGATTTTAATAGCTGAAAAACAATATATATCTCTACTTACAAGTTAGATGTATCAATATGAATAAGATTATGTTAAAATATGCAAAAATGTACATTATTTTAATGTGATGGATTATTAATATAATCTTACGCTACAAAACGTGGTCATCGTCAACGGAATGACTTTTCCTGCAGTAATGCGAAAAGGTTCACTGGCACGTATCATTACTAAAATTAAGTTTCTTGCTTCTGTTGACTTCAGTTTATACCAATCAAGATTGTACAGGGCACAGTATATCGCATCGCACTTAACATTTACATACATAATGACATATAGATATCTATTCCAATCTATATCGGTCGCTTTCACAAGCATTAATCAATTAATTTTTATTATTTATACATAATATCAGATTATAACTTTGTCTTTCTTTCAGAAAAATCAAAAAAATCAATTATATATATAATAATTAATGTTTATGGAGACGTGTATATATGAAATATAAATTGAATATAAATATAAGCTAATAATTCTTTAAATGTATGTGCTTTCTTTTGACAAATAACTCAAAATAATAAATCAAGAAAAAATGTGAATTATAACGCAAATCTGTTTATTGATTTGAAAATATATGTATGTATTACTGAACTAAAATTGAATATCAGTAGTTGCGATAAACATCAATATTAAAATCGGATTAAACATTAATATTAAAAATCTTTAATATTTTTTGAATAAGATGTATTACTTACTTGCTTTGTTATAATTTCGCCGGCATGACAATAGAGAAACGTATGCGCTAATAGAGTAACGACACCAACTATCACATAGATTATTCGTGAAGGAGAAACGTTCTCTGCGTTAGTGACCACCTGATCAATACAAAACATGTTTTACTATTTATTTAAAAATAGATTTTTAGATTTTTAGATTTAAAGATTTATTTTAAAGAAATATTAAAATTTAAAATTTATTAAAAGAAATTAAGATAAAGATTTATTTAAAGATATAAATATTTTAAAATATACATAAAAATATAATCGCAGACAAGAATATAACATGCAGTTTTATGTATTCTAAAAAAAGCGTAATACATTAATATTTGTAATGCATATCTTACTAAACTTACAGTGAGCAATAGAAATCCATATAAACAAAATACGATACCAAAGTAAACTACTAGACCCAATATCATTAAGGCAAATATATCCTCGATTTTATTGGCAAATCTACAAAGAACATATATATTTAAAAAAGATATATGTATTGAAATATTAAAAAATAAAAATATTTTGCAGAAATAAAAGAGCCTATGGAAAATGTGCAAAATCCTATATAATTATAGGTATTTTTACATAGATATTTAATAAATACAAATTATGCGTCTACAAAGAATTTAATATTTAAGAGTAAAAATTATATAATATAAATTTCATTTACAATCATATAATGTTTGTAAGGTTCAATTTGTATGAATAGTGTTTCCACTATATGAAATACTATTAAAACCTGTGGAAACCTGATGAGTCGCAGATGAGCGATCACGCTGTTGCGTAGAGCACAATCGAAATCTTTGCGCGAGGACAAGCTGATTAATCGCCGTCTGAAGTTCTCTAACTGGCCGCAGATATGGAGGATTGTGAGCCCGAGGAAAGCATCCACCGACGTGTAAGTTATAGCCGCCAAGAAGATCGTCATGGCCTGAACGAGAAGCGTCAATTCAAATTGCGGACTCTTATCCGTGTCATAAAAATAATACGTTTGCAGCGGCAACGTCCTATCCCGATCCGTAAGATTCGTTAGACGTCTGAATGGCAGACCGAAGCAAGGAAAAACGATGATTGAAGTGAACGCGAATATCATCAGAACGTATCCGCAGATGACGATCAGCCGTGCAGTCTGCGCACGCTTTATCATCACGTTTCTCTCCGCGTCTATTTTCGGCGCCATCCAGTCTTCTGCCATCATTTTCACGATGGATAAGAAAGCTTGCAAATACAATAGTGTGATATATAAAATAGGACCTCGCATGAGAATTTTATTTGCATTTTTTATTTATTTATAATAAAAAAATATCCATCTTTAGAATGATATATTGAAATTATTTAGAATGATATATTGAAAAAATGTATCAAATAATGTTCAAATTATATAATCTTTTTTGAAAACGATTTTAAATTGAGATTGATTATATCGTGATTTAGGAAAAGATTGCCTAAACGCATCATTTTTCAAAAAACATTATATATTTTAAACATTATTCGATTTTTTCAATATATTACTATAAAGAGGGATATGTTTCATTTTTTTTAAATTTTTACTACATTTTAAATATAAAAAAATTATAAATCAATGCAGTTTAGAAACGAGTCTCTTAAATCTTACCATAAATTGTCAAATTGCACATACATATAATGCATATGAAAAAAAACACTGTAAAGTTTGAAAAGTTTGAAAAATAAAATTACTTTTTATGAGCTGTGATATACAGAATAAACAGCATATAACAACTTAATTTAATGTTAGAAGTAATATAAACTATATACTTAAAAATTTAATAGCAATTTTTTTTAAATTTACATATATAATTTCCAATTTTTAATATAATATAGACATGTAATTCTTTCGAGATAAAGAGAATCTAAAATTAAATGTCTTATGTTTAGAATAATTTTAAGCACGTACCTGTTCGTTTCCATCTAATGATAACAAGTTTCAACGAGACCACTATCAGAGGTAACGTAATTTGCAAGTTGTCTATCACGAGTATCATATCGTTTCGAACTCGTATTAGAGAACATATGAGAGGAATACCGGAAATAAACATTATTATAACAAAAATGATTCCTACGCGAAGATCGGACGTGTAATTATCCTTAGCTACTTTGTTTATTCTGGGCCATAAACCGACCAGTTCCAGACCAAATCGATTTAATTCCACGGCCCACACAAAATCTAGCAGAATTTCAACATTAGAAAGCAAAAACGCTATAAAAGTACATTAACGCTATAACAACGCTATAAAAGTACATTAAAAACCTAATAAACGCTATAAAAGTACATTAAAAACCTAAAGAAGAATTCAGAGATTCAAAGAAAAACTTCAGACTTTTTTAATAATTCCATCCAATTTCCAAATCTTTTCATTTAATATAATAAAAAAATGATAATCTAGAAACTAGAGCAATTTAATTGTAAGATTCAAGAAATTTAACGTAAAAGAAAGATTCACTATATATTCACACATTATATGTAGAAAATAGTAAAGAAATGTAACACATATATAAACTGATGTTATATAATAATTATTGTTTTAAATAGCAATATACAATAATAACATTAAGAATTTTTAGAAAGTAAATTTCAAAATAAGTGCGAAAAACATGATAAACACTTGGTACCTTTGTAGCCGGAATAATATTCGGAAACGTCCATGGCGAAGACTAATGCGCGAAACTTTGTTCCAATCCTCGTCAATATATGGCAAAAAATTCTCATTACGCATGCTTGCAACACGAGTACAACAACCTGCTGCTTCTCATCGAGGGGTGCATTAAATATTAAAATTATTTTCTCCCTCTCAGACGATTACAATTGTTTGATAACAAAACTTTACAGGCATAAGAACAAGTCATAAAAAGTGTCATAATATCTAATAAGAGAGGAAAATGTGAGGAATATATACTATGTGCCACATTATTCGTCTTATCATATTATTCGAACTTTTTAAAAGTTTCTTTACATAGTTTGCTATATACGCGTACAAAATGCGAAAACAATACGTAAATGCATTTTTAATGGATTTTTATAGCAAAGAATACACGCGAAAAAATAGAGAAATTACAGTTAATAAGCAAAAAGAGGCATTGCATTGCACGTTCTTACCAATATTTTGAATATTTATTTCAAAAACATGTCGCTGACATGAAACATGTATATGAATATCGAATCAAACAGATGACATATTTTATAATTGTCTTTAGCGTTAGTCAAGTACATATACATATAAATATTGAAATCCTTTCGAAATACATTTTTCTCGTTCAGATTTCTCTTCTTTTCTCTCCTCATATTTCAATTATGCCTCTTGGTAAGTTTTGCCTAAAAATCGCAATTTTATATTTATTTAAAAAATATTTATTTTAAAAATATTTATTTATATATCATATTAAATACAAAGTATTATAATAGGCGACAAGTTTTTGTATTTTAAAAAAATTGCGCTTCTGCGAACTAACGCTATAAAATTTCAATTGCAGTATTTATAAAAATATAACATGAAGTATAGTGAAATTTATTAAAATATTTTTAAATTATTTTTCTACGTTATATTAGAAAACACACTATATATGTTCTACATATAACATATATTCTATATATTTGTAAAAATCTATTATAATACATTATTCGCGTTCTTAATCAAAATGACTGAGAAAAGGGAAAATTGCATAAATAATGTGTAATCATATTATTTAGATAATTCATACATTTTATTTATTTTAATTTTAATAATGTAATAATTTTTGATATCTATTTTAATTTTAATTTATTTTTTAATCTACTTTCAATATTTACTTTTCTCAATATAGATTTCTTCATTTAAAATTATGTTGTGACAAGAACATCTAAAAATGATCTTATAAAATGTAAAATTTTTATAAAATAATTAAACAAAAGTTTTTAATATATTTTTATAAATGATACATTTTTATTCTCTTGTATTTTTTTGCGTCTTGAAATTAAATTTTGTTATGTTTCTAATCAATGTATCCTAAAATTTTTAAGATATTGTAAACTGCATTAAATATCTCGATCTGAAGTTTATAGTTTGACAAAAGACCAGTCTTCTCTATTGAAATCAACACCCTATGTAGTCTTGGTAAAAATATGTTGAATAAAAATTTTGAGAAAAATTCAATTTGTTTAATAGTATTAAAGACAAAGCAAAATATAATTTTCGGATGCAGTATCATCTTTATGATCAAATTTATAGATAATTTTTCCATAGGACATAAGTCCTCTTGTTCAGTCAATAAGGCAATTAAATTGAAAGAATCTAATATAATTTTATTATTTGGATTAATTCCTATCAAATTTATTAGGTTTGTAATCGAAGATAATGCATTGGCTCGTTTGTATCTCAAGAGAGATATTTCTGAAGATATATTGAAATGACTCATGTTATGATTCTGGTCACCTGAAAAAATATTACAATAATATATTTGTTGTGAGAAATACAAATATTAATTTTTTAAAAGATTAATTTCCATATTAGTTATACTCGCATTTTCATTTACAAAAGATATATATATCAATTATAGTGTAGCGATATTAAATAAATAGCTTTTTTTCGATTATATGATGAGTTTATATAAATTTAAAAAAAAACGCGCATGTAAAAGAATAATATTAAAAGATTACAAATTGTGACGATACATTGCATTATATAAAATTAGAGAAATTTTATGTATCATAGCGCGTCATTCAATCCTATAATTTTAAAAAATATTAAAAATTTTCATAACAAATTTTCATGAAAAAGATCGAAATTTTTTTAAATAGTAATGTTATATAATTATCATTATATAACATTATTATTTAAAAATGGTTTAAAAATATTTTAAATATTCAACGTTAAATATATTATTATATATTAACTATATAAATATTTTAATATATAGTAATAATATATGTTAATATAATTTGTATAAAATTTGTATAAAATTTGTATAAAATTTGTATAAAATAATTTGTATAAAATTATATATTATGATATATAGCTTACCTATAGTTTCTTCTATTAAATCGACATTTTCATTATTATATATCCTGCAGGATATATTTCCAAATATTACAGCCAGACAGAAAACAAGAATTGATATTTTCATTTTGCGAATAATTGGCTTTAAATAAAAGTATAAAAGTTTTTTTTTATCTCGTTAATCCACTTTTGTCTCGTCTCTTGTCTTGTCGAAGTTTCTCTGGGTAGACACCTTTCCGAGATCTTACTTTTATCGTTTTCTTTCAATCAGTTTGACAAAAATAGTTTTATACTGTTGGGCAGAATATATGGCACTACGTACTAGTAGATATAAATTTATTGAATCTCACGTAAGTGAAATGACAATGCAGAGTGCAATATAATAATATGCGTCAACAGATGGAATGCAATAATGTTGAATTAAGAGAATTAAGAGAGTAACACAAAGACACACAACGATGACGCAACATAACGTAACGTCATTAAAAAAACGTACATAAAAAAAAGTAATATAGAGAGGGCACAATGAGAGTTGACCGGTGGTCCGGTTTTGACCCGGACGGTCAGGTATTTAGGAGTCTTATCTGGTGTCCGGTTGACAAGTCAAATCAAACATCGGACGTTTCTAAAATTGTTTGAAAAACAATATTGTAAAAGAGAGAAAGGAAAAAGAGAAAGAAAGAGAGAGAGGGAGAAAGAGAGAGAGAGTTTCTTACTTGAAATTTTGTATTTAATGTAGTTTTATGTTTACTGTTTCTGTCCGGTTTTGTCCAGTTAGATTTAGTCCCACGAAATGCCCGGTAGTTTAGATTTTTGGATTTGGCAACCCTAAGCGCGATAAGGGCGATGATTACAGCGCCACTGGCGTGATGAGCGTTAGGAATGAATTTCCAACATATGCAATTTTTTGAAAACTTGACATTCTAGCTGATATAAATTAATCGACTCTGTACATAATAAAAATGGCAAATGATGTTTAAAAGAAACGTTGTATTATTTCGCAAATTGATATTGTATTTTCTAATTATATTTATACCATCCAATTAATCTTAATAATGAATTAATAATGAATTTATTTTAGGTGTTTTACGTTTTTTTATCCATATAAAATTTTTCTTTACTTTCTTTCAATAAATGTACAATCGCGCATTCAAGTTTTAATTAACTGCTCACTCGGAAAGATAAAAGACTAATAATAATGAACGACTTTTAATAGAAAAAATTGATGCTGTTATTATCTGAACTGTGATGAAATAATTTCAATTAAACATATAGGTGACATTATCATTTTTTAGATTTTTAGATTTTTAAGACATTTTTTATGTACTTGGTGTATTTTTTGTAAAGTTTTTTTAATGGAATAGATTTTAATGGAATAGATGGAATAGAAATTAGAGTCCTTCTTGAGAAATTTTTCTTGTGCCTCTTGGTGAGTTCTGCTAAAAATACTAAATAACTAAATAACTAAAATAACAAATTTATACTTATTTAAAGGATATTTAAACACAAATAATACGACCGGTTTTTGCATCTTGAAAAAAGTTACTCTTCTGCTGCGAAAACTGGTATTGTAAAACTCCAATCACAATTGGATTCATCAAAGAATATTAAGATAAAACACAATACAAAAATCTAATTATTTCTTTAAATTTATGTGATCACGTACACAAGAAACGCATAAACAATGAAGAAAAAGTTTAAATAATAAATTTAAACAATAAATTCGTATTCTTGTCGGAATATTTCTACAGTGGACATTATTTCTTATGCCATTATACAATATATTTTATAATAATTTTATTTATAAATGTCGAATATTGAGTTTTGAATAACATAGAACTTTATTTCTGCAATAATACTAATAAAATATACTAATTTATGAATAACTAAATGATGATACATTATTATATGATTCTTAATTCCGCTTTGCTAGAAGTAAAGATATATAGCCAGCCGAAGTTCTTAATAGCTGAAAATAATATATATCTTTAATCAAGAAGCGAGAGATTCTATAAAACGATATTCTATAAAACAAAAATTAAAATAATTGTTAAAGAAAATAATGTTAATATTTTTTATATGTTTTTTTATCTATATTTGTTAAAATAATTTTTTATATTAACATAAATAGAGAGAAGACATATATTCTTGCTATAAAAAATTCATACTACAAGAAATTATAACATTTAAAAAAATATCCTAATTAAATATTTGTTAAAAAAACTTCGAAGAGGAAAATACATTGCAATATAGATTTTATTAATAATCTTACGCTGCAAAATGTGGTCATCGTTAACGGGAGAATTTTTCCCGCAGTAATACGAAAGGGTTCCTTGGCTAGTAACATTAATAGAATAAGATTTCTCGCCTTGCGCGACTCCAATGTATACCACTCAAGATCGCAAATAGTACGGTATACCGCGTCACACTTAATAGAAATACATATATATATTTATAATTGCAATAACAATAATTAATTATATGATGTATCTGTAATTATAATAATATTTAAATTTCCATATTTAGAGTCTCGTTGCCATTAATAAAAAGTAAACATTAATAAAAATTAAATTCTTATTTTAATTTTATCGAATTTATTTTAATAATTTCGAAATATATATATGTTTTTATCTTTATATTTAAAAACATAGAAACAAAAAAAAACATATTTAATTTTAATGAATTAATTAATATTTATAAGTTAATTAATATGTTGTATAAAATTTATATGTTGTATAAAATATATATTTATTAAATATATATAATACAAATATGTATAGAATAATAAGCATTAATACTTTCTTAAAAATGCGACATCAAAATTACTCAGTGAAAAATGGCACAAATGTAACTACATAGAGAGACACATATAAAAAATATATAAATTTTATATACATGTAAAAAGCGTTTATTTTAATGAGAATATATGATCAACAGACTTATTGTAATCTATAAAATTCTCATTACGACGCACAACATTTTGCTGTGTTTATGTGAATATATGATTTACTTGTTCGGTTATTAAATCTCCGCCAAAGCAGTAGAGAAATGTTTGCATAAATAGAGAGACGACGGCAACTATCATGTAACTTATTAATGTGAAATTTGCAACGTTTAAGTTTTCGTCAGTCATTACCTAAATAATATATCTCATTAATTGAAAAAAAAAATCAGATCGATATAAATTAAATAGACAATTACATGTACCAACAAAATATAAATTATTATACTCATTAGAACTCTTACATACACTAAGCAATATGAATCCACATAAACAAAATCCGATACCAAATTGAAATATCAATACAAACAACATTAATGTAAATGCATTTTCGGTATTATTGGCAAATCTACATAAACATATTAAAAAAAATATTATATTGAAATTCTCATACTATATGCAGAAATAATTATATATAAAGTGTCTTTCCATTCAATATTGCATTATTTAATGAATTTATATTTAAATTGTATTTTGATATAATAACAAACTTATTTATATGTATTTCGATATAATAATAAATTTCTTATAATAATAATTTAGACATAAGTTGTCCTCCAATCCTGTCCTCCTTTATCAAAATAAATAAGAATCTATTAATGAAAAGTTGCAAAAAAAGGAATACAGATTCTAAATTGAATAAAAAAGAGAAAAAGTACAAGAAATATGTGACACATAATCACACGTATTAAAAAGTACCAATACACAAGTTAATAACGAGTATATAATATTCGAAAAAGAGAGAGACAATGTCTAAGATAAATTTAATATTTTTAAAAATTAAAAATCCACACACCTTTACTCAAGACTTAAATACTTGCAGAGATTTTGCTGAAATTTTATTATATTTATTGCATTATATAATTAAAACCCACCTGATAAGACGTAAATGAATTACTATGCTGTTACTCAAAATTCTGTTGAAATTTTTGCACGAGATCAAATTGTTTAAGCGGCCTTTAAAGTTTTCCAGTTGACCGCAGATGTGAAGGATCACGCATCCAACAAAAGCATTTACCGCTATGTAAATTATTATTACTAGAAATATTGTTACAGCTTGAGCGAAGAATGTCAATTCAAATTGCGGACTCTTATCAGTGTCATAAAAATAATAACTTTGCAGCGGTAATGGCTTGCTCCGATCCGTGAGATTCGTTAAATGTCTGAATGGTAGACCGAAGTAAGGAAGAATAACGACCAAAATAAATAACGATATTAATATAATAAAACCACATATCATAATTAATCGAGCCCTCCGAGCGTACTTTAGCATTACATTTCTTTCAACGCTTAGTTTTAGCGCTAACCAATCCTCTGCTATCATGTCTATGATGCATAAGAGAACTTGGAAATATAAGAAAGCGATATTGATAATATAATAAAGTTATCGAATGACATTAGTAACTACTTTAACATATCGAAAAACAAACATTCTATATATATCATAAATTATTCTAATATAATATAATACATTATTATGAGAATAAATGTGTACAATTATTTTTATTATTATAATCTGATATGTGATTGTAGTAATAAATAAAAAGTTGTAAAAAAATTTCGACGAAATAAAATGTGAACGTTTTACATCATAGTTTTATACATGCCTGATTGTTTCCATCGCATGATAACAAGTTTTAATAAAACCGTCAGAATAGGTAATGTAATTCGTAAATTGTCTATCATTAATGCCATATTGCCCCACACTCGCGTAAGTGCACAAACAAGAGGGATGCCAGAAATGAATAGTATCATAATAAAAATGAAACCTGCACGAATGTCAGGACCGAGTTTTCTTTTAACGATTCCATCAGTATTAGGCCACAAGCCGATCAATTCTAAGCTCCAACGGTTTAGTTCAATTGCCCATATAAAATCTTTAAGCAAGACTTTTATTTAAAAAATTTGAATAGTAATCACAAATTTATAAAGTAGGTCGTAAAGTTTTAATAAAAATAATGCAAATGTGCTGTATATGTATGTGAGTCTATAAATAATATTTATAATACAATACTATGAGCCTATAAATAATATTTATAATACAATACTATCTTTCAGGCATGTAAATTTAATGTACACTATAAGTGAAAAACATACAAGAAAGATTCAGTACCTTTGTAACCCGAGGATTCCGATATGTCCATATCAAAATCTAATATGAATGTAGAGGTGTTGATCGGATTGTTCTTTCCACCCTCTATGAGACACCCTCAGATGACTGTACATACTTGTAAAGAGAGTACAAGAACCTGCTGCTTTTGCCGAAGGTGCATTAAATATTAAAGATGCTACTTCCAGTCGTTCACAGTTCTCCTTCATAATAAAACTTTATAAGCATAAAAACAGTTACGAACGCTTGTTTTAATAAAGTGAGGAATATATTATAACTCGGTATATCTTCGAACTTGTGTTAAAGGTTCTCTCATAAATTATAATGCTTCATGTATGTGTCATTCATGTGTCTTAACATTGAAGAGATAGTAGAAAGTAATTGTATGTTTGAAAAGTAATTGAAAAAAATTTCTGTGTACCTAAAAAATGATAGCAAAAAAGAAAGAAAAAAGTGCAATAAAAAAGGTATATTACGAACGATTTATTTTTTTTAATAATGTTGGAAGTATATTGTATATCGCTATATATTTCGTAGAAAAGTCGTGACAAACTTGTTTCAAAAGTTTTTTCATACTTTATAATACTTCAGATATGTGCGTTCATTTTGAAAAGATAATGACACGTAAACATGTTATGTAGTCTAAAAAGTTTTTTGTATAACAAATTGCATCAAGTAAGAAAGAAAGAAAAGTACAATGTGGAAGATATGAAATATCACATTTACTTTAAATACATATTTTTTGCATATTTATTGTCAGAACACATTTATTAATGTAACATTAAATAATGAATATAGAAAATTTCGTGTTAATTGTCTGTTTTTTTCTATATGACAAAAGTGCTACATAAAAATTTATAGCTTTATGAAGCTGTTCTTATATAACCGTGATTATTTTATAATAATGATTGTAATCAAACAAGAATAACATAATTTACGAAAAATAGCAAATAAAAAGTTAAGTGGAATGAAATTTTATTTTCTTTATAATACATATAATGATATTAATTTTTATTAGTATTTTTTAACTAGAGATAATATGTTTATTATTTATATTGTTGTCTACTAGAATGAATAAAATATTCATGTAGTAACTTGATTCTTTTAATTCTGTATTGCCAACAAAACTGATATATAACTAACCGATGTATTTAACAGCTGCAAATAAATATATCTACATTTAAAAGTTTATTTTCGGAACTATAAAATAAGATTTTTTTTAAATATAATATTGATCAGTGTCATTTGTATTTACATCTTTAATATCTAAATTTTTTAAAATTTACAAATGTTCTTCTATCAGACAAACAGATTTACTGAAATTAAAAGTAATATAAACACAATTTGAAAAAAGCTTTTTATTTTGATATTTATTAAAAAGTCAGAAAATGTTATTTCATATTTATTCATATATGGATTTCCCTCTTTTAAATGATTGATAATTTTATTATATTTTATTATACAAATGTAGAAGAGGGAAAGTGTAAGAGAAAAATAGAATGTAGTTAAAGTAGAAATTATTGATAACCTTACGTTGCAAAAAGTGGTCATCGTTAGTGGAACAATTTTTCCTGCAGTGATACGAAAGGGTTCCTGAGTTTGAATCATTAATAGAATAAGATTTCTTGCTTGTGTTGACTTCCATTGGTACCATTCAAGATCGTACACAGCACGGTATAGTTTTTCACACTTAACAAGGAGAAATATATAATAATATAATAATACATAAATATTCATATTATTCCAATATCGGTCATTATTATAAAATCATTAATAAAAGTTAAGTAAAATTTTATATATATGTATGTTAATTATATATATATGTAATAAAATAATAGAGTGTTTTTTTAACTTTTATCTTTATGCAAACAAAAAATATACGACTATAAAAAATTAATATTTTAAACACAGAAAAAGAATGAAAAGTTAATTTTAACATTTCTTTATAGCAATATAATTAAAATAAATATCAAAAAGCCTAACCATGACATAAAAAAAGAAATTAATAAAAATAAGGAATCAATAAAAAAAGAATTAATAAAAATATGCTTACTAAATTTATTATATAATATATCAAATACAATGTATAATTAAATGATAGTATAATTAATTTGATAGACGGCAGATAGTATGTACATATATCACAATTAGAATATATGTGTATATATAAGGTTGTAACTTACTTGTTCTGCCATTAATTCTCCAAGATAACAATAGAAAAACGTTTGCAAAAAAAATATAATGATAGTTGCTACCATGTAGTATATTTGTAATAAATTCTTAGTATTTATCTTCTCATTAGTTATTAACTGAATAATATAATCACTGATTAATAAAAACCAAATAAGAAAAAATGAATAACAGTAATTTAAATGAATATGAATACACACATAATACATATTGAGTGTATAAATTGTATATTTTAAAAATTAACACATTAAAAGATTTAAAAACATTTAATATTTTTAATATAGTTTATGTTACTTACAATAATGATCAGAAATGCGGATAGACAAAATATAATACCAAAATATGTTATCGATCCAAGCATCATTAAATTGAATATATCTTCTATTTTATTGACATACCTTCCATCATAGAATACATTTAAAATTTCATTATATTAAAATCAATAAAAATTATACACCTAGTACATATTGTGCAAAAATGCATGCTTAAGATTATAAAGACATGCAATAATGATGTATAACGTTTTATATTGCATTGCCTGCTAAATATTTTTTTTTAATAATAATAAATATATCGAAAATAAAAGCAACTTTCAATTCTGACAAGTTAAGTTTTAAAAAAATGAAATATTTCAATATAATTTAATTTAATGATGTAAAATGTGTAAAGAATTCCTCATTGAATTTTTGCAAAGAGAGAATTTAGATAAGGACCATTCATTTAAATAAAAAAATCTAAAAGTAAAGGAAAGAAAAAATTTATCTTACATATATAATGATAATATATAATCATCAGATATTTTATATGATCAAATCGCAAAAAAAAATTAAATTTATAAAGATTAAAATACAATATGTGTTATATATTATAACTTCTTCAAAAGTTCAAGTTAAACTTATGAAATTTTGTCATGTTACAATCAAAACTCATACTTAATAATTCGTAAATGAATCTCTATGTTGTCACTCAAGACTTTGTCGAACTCTTTACTCGGCATCAAATTGACGAACCGACCTCTGAAATTCTCTAATTGACCGCAGACATGAAGAATCACTAAGCCAAGAAAACTATCTACCGATATATATACTATGACGGCTAGATATGCTGTTATAATTTGATAAAGATATGTCAACTCAAACTGCGGACTCTTATCTGTATCGTAGAAATAATATGTCTGCAGAAAGAACGGTCTGTCCCCATCCGTGAGATTTGTCAAAGATCTGAACGATAGGCCAAAATAAGGAAAAATTGAAATTGCAGTTATTGTACATATCATCAGAATATATGCACAAATTACAATTAGTCGAAAAGTCCGCATACGCTTTATCATTATATTTCTTTCTACTTCTAGCTTTAACGTCATCCAATCTTCTTTCATCATATTTATAATGGATGAAAGCACTTAAATATGTGAAAAAAGCGATAATAAGTAATATAATTAAATATAATTAAATTTATATCTAATTTACTGTTATGTGTTAATTTATAATTCCAAAAGAAAATTAGTATATATTGAAATTTTAATTTAATTCGACTTATTTTGCAATAATGAATAATGAGTATATAACTCTTAATTCTTAAAAATGTTTTTAACATTACATAATTAATTTTCATATTATTATATAATATTATTCCCAATATGAGCATTAAATTAAATACTGTACTATTTGATATAAAATTGAGATCTCTCTATAACTACATATTACATATTACATATATCAAATTGATCTAGACATACCTGATTGTTTATATCGCATCATAATAAATTTTAATAACAACGTCAGGAGAGGTATTGTGATACGTAAATTTTCTACCATTAGTCCCACATCGCCCCAAACTCGTATAAGCGCATATATAAGAGGAATAGCAAGAATAATTGTAAGAGAAATGATAGTGAAACCTGCACGAATATCAGAACCAACTCTTCTTTTAATGATTTCATTCATATTAGGCCATAACCCGATCAAGTCTAAGCTCCGCCGGTTTAGTTCAATTGTCCATACGAAATCTTTGTGCATGATTTTTATATAAGAAACGTGAGTAGTAATTACAAATTTACATATACATGATAAAATTTTGACAAGAAATAATGAAAATATTATGTATCTACTCTCTAAAAGTGAATCAGTGTATTATCAATGAAAAACAGTAAATAATCACTGATTACAGCAGTTATAAGTACAGCACTGTAAATCAGTGATATTTTATGAAAGAATCAGTTAATAATTTTGACTGTTTTAATCAGTAATATTTCTTTCTATCGTCAGTAATATTAAACTATAATTCATCATCTCTTAATAATTTTCATTAAGTCGTCAGACATTTATTTGTCCGATTTATATATGATCGATTTAATACTTGAACCCTCTCTATTGAGATTGTATCATAAATTAAATCGAAGTAATACTTTTAATTTTATCTGTCGCTCTTTCCAAACTTTATATAATTCTTATGATTAAAACTAAACATGAGAGAGATAGCGATCGTAGCGGTAAACGAACTAGCGATTACTGGTTACAGTAAAATTTACTAGTTTTATAGTGAATTTTATCTTAACTGATCATAATCAGTGAGATATAAGATAAAATAACAAAAAATAAGCGTTTCCACTGAAAATCAGTAAAATACTCACTGATTCTCAGTGAAACCTTATTTTACTATTTAAATTAGTGATATTTTCATTGATTCACTTTTAAAGAGTATGTGTAACATATAAATTTTGTAATACAATACTCAAAAACATATTGAAAATTTAGCATGCACTATAAGTGAAAAATGTATAACAAAAATTCAGTACCTCTGTAACCTGAAGATTGTGATATGTCCATATCAAAGTTTATTACGGATATATTTATATTGAAGGGGTGTTGATCGTTGTATTCTTTCCACTCTATAATGATATGACTATCACGCAGACTTGTGAAGCGAGTATAATAACCTGGCTTTATCGGAGAATACATTAAATATTAAAAATGCTATCTCCCGTAAGTTAGAATTGCCGGCTTTGTAACAAAAGTTTATAAGGATAAGAACTGTTCGAATGTCTGTTTTTTCAATGGAATAATAAATGTATTGTGTCTCTGTATATCATTGAACTCGTCGAACATGTTTTAAAAGTTTTTTATACTTTATAATATTTTTTTACGTGCGCTTCTTTAGGTTCATTTTGTAACGAAACATAATGTATTTGCATGTTAAGTAGTGGGAAAACTTTTTTGTATAGCGACTACAGAAACTGCAATAAATAAAATGGTATAATAAGAAAAGGTAGAATGTTACATTTGCTGCACATATTTCACTCTCGCATCTTTGCTACAAGTATACATTCATTGATATAACATTAAATATAATAATTAATTGTATTAAGTAAATCAGTGAACTAAATACATTTGATAATTATTTTTAATATAATAATATTATCAACGTTTCACGCGGATCTGTTCGTGTAAACAAGTGATCCCATTGTTTTAATAAATTTATTGGCAACAATTCTAGAGGAATGATATCATCATAAAATCATCAAATAATATCTAGCGCATTTTATTTTTCATACATGTCAAGATCAAGTATTTATTCTCTTCCTCGTCTACTTACAAAATTGCAGCTAGCGATAAAATTATTACAGATATTACGTAATCGTATATCTATCTCATAAACGTTATAAAAAAATTTAAATTAAAATTATAAAATTTTAACACAATTTACTATATTATAGTGTAAAATAAATGCAAATAATATTTATTTTCTGTTAAATATAAAAATAATTATTTTGAATATTTATTTATTAAACTTTATCATTGATACTTTACAATTAATTTTATATATATACAAAAAGTGAAGAACTGGAGAAAATTTTTAATCACAAATTTGTTCTCTTTCTATTTAAAAAAAACGCATTTTTTAATACAAATATATGTATATGTTATATACATATATGGATATGTTAATGTTATATAGATTAATATATACACGCTATTCTAGCTATCGTGTGCCAAAGAAAAATCATAAGTAGATCTCGCTAAATTAAACTAAAAAGTCTTATAGCATTTTGCAAAAAAAAACTATGTAAAATTTCGAGATATTAATTTTAAAAAATCGGCTAATTCGCGCGAGCGAAAGCGCGTGGTGAGAAAGGCCGTCCCTTGCAGAAAATAGTTATCATAAGATAAATATTATGAAGAAATTCTAGATTTGTATTATATAATATAATTACATTCTTTACAATAAATAACAAGTACATTGATGTAAAATACGTGAAACTTTATTCTGTCATAATAAATATAATATTGTTCCTTATTGTTTCTTTTTGTATTAAAATTATGGAAAAATAAATTCATTTTTCTTCTTATTCATTTTTGAATTATTATATAATAAGATATACTAGAAAACTTGTCATTTCTTTAGGCTTGCGTCAGTAAAAATGATATATATCCAATCGACGTTTTTACAAACTGAAAATAAATAAATGTTTATTAAATAAAGTTTGCAAAATATTATATTGATTATGCCTTCTTAAAAATTTATAATCACAATTGTAATATTAAAGCAATATAATAATTAGATGATATATTTGTAATCTATACACATAAGAATAATAGAACAGATACTACATATGAATAATAGAAAGTTAGAATAATTATAAGAATTATTTAGCAATTGTTAAAAATTGTTTTAGCAATTGTTAAAAAATCAACAAAAACATATATCATCGCATTTTTCCCGATTTATATAAGTAAACGATGATTAATAATTTAATTTTATTATAAATGCTACTAAGTATATTTAAAGATATTTAATAGTATATCTTACGCTGCAAAAAGTAGTTATTGTTAGAGGAACAATTCTTCCTGCAGTGATGCGAAGAGGTTTTTGGATTCGTATCATTAATATAATAAGATTTTTAGCTTGACTCGATTTCAGTTTATACCATTCAAGCTCGCACAAAGTATAATATATTGCTTCACACTAAGCAAATATATATATATATATATATATATATATATATATATAATATATGATAATCATCAGATATTAAATTACATTAACAAAAGTTAAAGGAAAATGTACTATTATGTGGTAAATTTGCCATTTCAGCGCAAAAAGTCACAAATCCATGAGAAACTATACAATTATTTCGCTTCGTATTAAAAGCATTGGATATAAGATAGATCTTGCTTTACGTAAAAAATAGCAAACTTACGTAGAGCCTCACACCCGATCATATATATAAACAATAAATGACAGCTAAGATATTTTGAAGAGATTATTCAGAATCTTGATAATATATGATAAGATAAAAATCATCTTGTCACATTACCTATGAGTATTAGACTAAAATAAACATTTATTATTACATTCATGTATAACTTACTTTTTCTGTTATTAGCTCTCCAACATAACAATAAAGAAACATTTGTACAAATAGAATTACAACGACAAATACTATATAGCCTACTCGTAGGATTCCCGCATCATTAATTTTTCCTTCTGTAATCACCTGAATAATAGGTCATTAATAAAAATCAATTAATATAAGTTTAATATTAACAATATGCAACATATATTACCTAAAAATTTTCATTTTAAAAATAAATTATATACTTTTTAAATATTACTGATACATTTATGCGCTATTGAAACTTACGATAAGCGACTGAAATCCATATAGACAAAATATAATAGCAAAATATAATATCAATCCAAGCATTATAAAAGTGAATATATCTTCGATGTTATAGACAAACCTAGATACACGTATATGTTTAAAAGATGTGATAATAAAATCAAGAATTAAAATCTTTGAGATCTAAAGTGTACATATGTATATAACATTTAAAAATATATATACATAATAATTACCAAATGTTTTTATTCAATATTGCATATAGTTTGTTAATTTTCTACTTTTGAATGCTTTCTTATAATAATATATAAATACAAATAATTTAAATTAAACAATTACAAATAAGTTAAAGTTTTAATGATATATTTTAATAATTATATGCTTCAGAAATGCAATTAATCACATTTAAACCACTTAACATAATATAATTTAATCAATTATATATAATATAATATATTAAATTTACAGAAAGAAGATTCTCTTTCTCTCTCTCTACTACAAGTTAAAGAAAATGTTTGTAATTTTTAATTAAAGTTTTATTAAGTAATTTTTAATTAATAATTTTTAAAAAATTTTAAGTATAAAGAAAAACAAATAAAAAAGATATTATAAAGAAAAATATATTTAAACATATAATGTCCAATAATTAATGTAAATTTATATATTCTGTATAATTAAACACACAACATTATACTACATAATATTCTGTATAATTAAATATACAAAAAACGAGTCTTTTGTTCAAATAATCAAAAATCTCACACAAAAATCAAACAATTTTACTTTGTAAAGCTTTCTTATTACAATCAAAATGCACACCTAATAATTCGTGTATGAGTCATAATATTACTATTTAATGCTCTGTCGAAATCTTTGCATGAAACCAAATTGACTAATCGATGTCTTAAATTCTCCAATTGACCACAGGTGTGAAGAACAATGAGTCCAAGTGAACCGTCTACCGACAGATAAACAAGCAAAGTAAGAAGTATCGTTAAGGCTTGTATGAAAAATGTCAATTCGAATTGCGGACTCTTATCTGTGTCATAGAAATAATACGTCTGGAGCGGTAATGGTTTGTTCCGATCTGTAAGGTTTGTCAGATATCTGAATGGTTGGCCAATACATGGAGGAACAATGATCAAACTGAACGTGGATACCGTCACAACATATGTATAAATTGCAAATAATCGAGCAGTCCGCGCATATTTTATCATTATATTCCTCTCTGCGTTTAGCTTTGATACCATCCAATCGTCCACCATCATGTTTAAAACGGATGAAAAGACTGAAAAAAATAGAAAATATTATATCGGCAATATACAAAGATAAAGTTAAACTATAAAGTTAAGCTATACAGTTACTTATAAGCTAACGAATCGAAAGGAAAAATATCGACATATATAAATTATATATAATTAAATTATATATAATTCCTTATTTGTGCGCAAATAAATTATATATAATTCCTTATTTGTGTGTGATATTATAATTCAATATTGCATTTACAAAAAATAAAAAAAAATTGTGTGATAAAAAAATTATATAATTTACATTGCAACCATACATTTTCATTGCAGATATACCTGTTTGTTTCCATCGCATGATAACAAGTTTCAGTGAAACTATAATTAAAGGTAATGTAATTCGTAAGTTGTCAATCATTAATTCCAAATCGCCCCAAACTCGCATAAGCGCAGATATAGATGGAATACCGGAAATCAACATTATCAAAATGAAAATAGAACCCACGCGAATATCAAGTTCGATTCTTCTTTTAGTAGCATTGGTAGGCCATAAACCGATCAATCCCAAACCTAAATGGTTTAATTCAACCGCCCACACGAAATCTGGCAAAGTAAACTTTTTACTTGATGATGGCGATAACAATTAAATTAATATGTGAGTTGTATAAAATAAATAAATTGTAATCTTGACAAACAGATAGAAATGCGATAGTATAAAATTCTAATGCAATATTATATATATGTAATGCAAAATTATATTAATTATATTTATTAGAAAATTATTACAGTATAAAACACATATAACATATTAAAAGCGAAAGATATACAATATATTATTGATTATTAAATCCGTACCTTTGTAACCTGTAGATCTTGAAACATCCATATCGTAAACTGATATAAGGGAGCTGATATGAATATAAGGGAGATCTTCCCTCTTCTTACCATTTTACAATGCTCATTACGCATGCTTGCAGCGTGAGTACAGCAACTTTGTCGAAGCTGTTTTGTCGAAGAACGCATATTAAATATTAAAAATGCTACTTCTAGTTAAGCGCAATTTTTTTCGCGTAAAAAAACTACTCGATAGACGTAGGAATAAGTCATAAAAAGTATCCACCATCTGATACTACGTTGCAATATATCGGGAACATATCAAACTTGTTTGAAAAATTTTTTTTGTACTTCGCAACGTTGTACGTTCAATTTATAGCGCGGTACGTAATTACACGTTACAAGGTGCTAAAAGTTTTCTGTATAAAAAAACTACAGAAATTGTGTGCATCAAAAAAGGGAGAAACAATACACTGAAGAAGGTATAATGTAAAGGCCTCAAGTAAACTGTAGCAAGCGAACTGTAATATGTATGTACATGTCAAGTGTATACGTATATGTTTCAAATGTCTGTTGCAAAGGATATACCTGCTAAAAACATGATAAATGACGTATCAAATAGGAACTGTAATATACATCTCACAGCTATCTTTTTTGACAGTAAAAACAGTTATAAATATCAGAGTTTCGCATACGAAACTTTAAGCATAAATTTTCCATTTTTTCTTATTGAGCGTTACTTTAGACAATGTAAAATTACAATTTTATATATATATGATATGACAACATTTCAAAATGTGGCAACAATTTTTCTACTAAATGATCAATACAATCTGACGTGTCAACATTGAGTAATAATCAGGCAAGCTTAAATGTAAGATATCCATTCAATGCACTTCAATCTAATTTTTTTTCAGAAAATTTAGTACAGTTAAGAATGCAATAAACATAAAAAATCACATAGTAAAATATTTATCCCATATTAATTTATTAATTTATGTTGCTCGTGTATGGACAGCCAAACCACTCGCTTCAAATGACTATCGAACGTAATCAACGGGTTACTTTTGCCTGACATTTTTCTTGGAGGGATACGAACAAGGGAACTTTACAAGCAACAAGTCACCAAATGGATTGTGGCGCAATTTCACGGAAATTTACCAAATTTTTCAAACGACCCACATATATATAACATCAGCTTGATTCTTTTAATCCTGTATTGCCATCAAAAATGACATATAGCCAGCCGATGTTTTTAATAGCTGCAAATAAATATATCTTTATTTAAAAGTTTATTTACAATAATATAAAATAAAATTATTTAAAAATTAATATTGACTGCACAATTTCAGCTGTCCATTTTGAGTTATATTTTTAGTTACATATCCAATATTTAAAAATTTCAAAATTTTATAATTAAATGATATTTCCCTAACAGATTTAATTTAAAATTAAAAGTTATAAAATATCAACACAAAAAAAGCTTTTTTGAAAAAAGGTTTTATTTTAATATTTTTAATATTTGTTTTTTAAGAATTTTAAGAAAAAAAGTTATATCATTGCATAAACTTTCTCTGTAAATGGTAAATATGATTCATAATTATATTTTATTATATAAATATAGAAGAGGGAGAACGAAACAGAATGTAAGAGAGGAATAAAATGTAATTAAAGTGGAAATTATTAACAATCTTACGTTGCAAAAAGTGGTCATTGTTAGTGGAAAAATCTTCCCTGCAGTGATACAAAAGGGTTTCTGAGTTTGAATCATTAATAAAATAAGATTTCTCGCCTGTTTTGGCTCCCATTTATACCATTTAAGATCGTATACAGTACGGTATATTGCTTCATACTTAACAAGGAAATATATAATAAGATATAAATATTCATATAATTTCAATAACATTTTTATAAACATATAACATTCATATAAACATTAATTAAAGTAAAATTTAATTTAATATATACATATATATACAGGGTGGACCAATAACTCTGTCCATCTATATCTCCGTTATTTTTAGAGATACAAAAATTTTGTACTTATAAAAGTTGTACGGTACCAAGAGAGCCGTAATATGCTACTAATAATTTTTTGTAGGTGGAGACGCTTTAGAGAATTCAAGGTCATCTCCATTTTTTTAAATGGAACTCCCTCATTTTTTATTTACCTATTTTTATAGCTTATCTCGAGAACTTTCCAAAACACTATAATAAAATATTTCTTCATTAAGTACTTTTCGAGTTATGAGGCTTGAAATAATTTCTTAATTTTACATATACCATAAAATAGCTAGTAAAATAATCATTTTTCCATTATCTATTATATATATTATATATATATATATATATATATATATATATATAAATTATCTTTATATAATTGCATATTGTGCTTTACTCTTCATTTATAGACTTTTTAATGTAATCAAATATCTGTATAATCTGTATAAATCCGTGAACAAATTAATTGCAAAAAATACAGACAATATAATCTCATTTAAATGCATTTCTGATATTTGAAAAAATAAACATGTATGCATAGCAACATTGAGCAATAATTAAACATCCGAAAAATATAAAATATCATTTTTCATTATGTTTTTGAATTGATATTCTCAGAAATAACATGCACCTAATGTTGAACGCGACATATATGAAAAGATGGATATAAAATGTCGTTAATTATTAATTCGTACAGTTTAGATAAGAGTTTTAAGGAAAAATACACGTAAATAAGCCTATTCCTGCAGAAATTTCATTAATAGTGAACAGAAAAATACAATGCATAACATATTAGCGAGACGCTTTACAATAAAAAATTGCAACTTGAATATATTGATACAAAAATTACTTCACAAATCTTTTTTGTTAGGAGATTAATTTATCTCTTGTAAAGATCTAAAAAATCTGATATGTACTGATCTGATAGCTATAAGGAGCTATAAGGATTCTTTAGCTACTATTCTATCTTAACATTTGATTATTTTAATACTTCTGTAATTTTTCCTCACTGTCATATATTTATTGTTTTCATTTTTTTCTTAAACATTATATTTTTTATATGCCGATAAACAATACGTTTTCAACTATCAAGAGATATTTTAACTTATAAAAGATATTTTTTCCAAAAGAATTGAACTTTATCTTTAACAATAAAAAACGGATTTCTTTTTTTAACAATATCTTTAACAATAAAATTCTTTAACAAAATCTTTAACAATAAAAAATGTATTATTTATAGTTTTACATGTAGAATTAACTTTAATTAATGTTTAAAGAAATATATGGCCGTAAAATGTACATATTAAACGTAAGCAGATAATATAAAACGATAAATATTTCAATATTATCGTAGCAATATGTTATATAAAGTTAAATAATGAAAAATACAATATTACATAAAATATTCAATAAAAATACAACGTAATATAAAAAAGTTTTTTATTAGTATAAAAATATATTTTTTCAACTTATTATACAATGTAAATAATAAAATAAAACTTTGATAAACTACAAATAATATATAACATATTTATTTATATAAATTTGTAACTTACTTGTTTTGTTAGTAGCTCTGCAGTATAACAATAAAAAAACATTTGCATAAAAAAAATAATAATAACTGCTAGTATATAGTATATTCGTAAGAAACTCGTAACATTTTCATTTATCTTCTCATTCTTAATCATCTGAATAACATCTCACTGATTAATAAAAATAGTTTGAAAAAAAAATTATAATACATCAGTAAACACATATTGCATATTGCACATAATACATAATACATATAACACATAATACATATTGCACAGATAGCATATTTTAGCAATCATTAAACTTAAAATATACATTTAGTATTTTTAATATAATATATATATATATATATATATATATATATATATATATTAGTAGAACTTACAACAATTAACATAAATCCGGTCAGACAAAGTATAATGCCAAAATATATTATCGATCCGAGCATGATTAAATTGAATATATCTTCGACTTTATCGATATATCCCCAATCATAGAATACATTAAAATTTTTTTTATATTAAAATCAATAAAAATTATATACTTAAATACATATTGTGCATACACGCTTAAACTAGTATAAATACATGTAATAATGATATATAAAACATTATTAATTTAATATTGCATAATTTGCTAAATATTTTTTTGTATTATAATAAATGTGTTATTATTAATAATAATTATTATAATAAAAGTAATAAAATATTTATAATTAATTATAATTTTGTATTATTATAAATTAAAACAATTTTGAATTTTGACAAATCGATCTAATAATATCAATATTCATAACATTCGTTATGAATATCGATAATAAGTAATATAATTATACATAAATTTTCAGAAAAATGAAACAATTTAATATAATTTATATAATTCAAGGATATAAAATGTGAGTAGAATTTTCTATTGAGTTGTTGCAAAGAGAGAATTATGACTATTAATTTAAATAACAAAAATACATGTAACATTAAAAAATTAAGAAATTCTTTTCTTACACATATAATGATAATAATCATCGGATATCTTATGTGATTAAATCGCATAAGAAAAATGTAAAAAGATGCATAATGAATGTTAAAAAAATGTTTAAAGATTAAAATATTGTGTTATAAAATAAAATTTCTTCAAAAATTTCGTGAAATAAATTTGTGAAAATCTGTCCTATCACAATCAAAATCCACACCTGATAAGTCGTAAATGAATCATTACGTTGTTACTCAAATTTTTATTGAAATCTTTGTTTGCAATCAAATTGTCTAACCGGCCTCTGAAATTCTCCAATTGACCGCAGATATGAAAGATCACTAATCCAAGAAAAGCATCTACCGATGTATATATTATTATAACTAGAATCATTAATATGATTTGAGTAAGATATGTCAATTCAAACTGCGGACTCTTATCTGTGTCATATAAATAATACGTCTGCAGCAGTAACGGTCTGTCCCGATCCGTCAGATTTGTTAAATGTCTGAACGATAGGCCAAAACAAGGAAGTATATTCATCATAATTAACGCGGATACCATCAGAATGTATGCACAAATTACAATCAATCGAGAAGTCCGCATACGCTTCATCATTACATCTCTTTCTGCGTTTAGCTTTACCGTTATCCAATCTTCTTTCATCATGTTTATAACGGATAATAGCACTTACACATGAAAAAAGCGATATCAATATAATAAGTAATATAATTAAATAATTTATATCTAATTCAATGTTATTTGTTAATCTATATTTACAAAAAAAACATTGTACAAATTAAAATTTTTATTGAATTCGACATGTATATATGTATATATATATATATATATATATATATATATGTGTGTACGTATTACACGTTGCCATAATGAAATATGAGTATATACTCTTAAGTAGTAAATATGAGTATATACTCTTAATATTTTTTTAATATTATATAATTAACTTTCATAATATATATAACATTATTCTCAATATGAGATGTCTTATAACAAATGCTGTAATAAAATTTGACAAAAATGAAATCTGTAACTATGTATTCTTCATCAAATCGATTTAGATATACCTGATTGCTTCCATCGCATGATAACAAGTTTTAATAAAATTGTTATCATAGGTATTGTAACACGTAAATTGTCTATCATTAATGTCATGTCTCCCCAAACTCGCATAAGCGCATGTACAAGAGGAATACCAAGAATAAATGCAATCATAATGAAAGCAAAACTTGCACGAATATCAGAGCCAAATCTTCTTTTAACGATTCCATCCATATTAGGCCATAAACCTATCAATTCTAAGCTCGGGCGGTTTAATTCAATTGCCCATACGAAATCTTTAAGCAGATTTTTATTTAAAAAACTTGAGTAATAATTACAAATTTATTTGTATATAGTAAATTTTTGACAAGAAGTAATGAAAACACTATGTATGTATGATAACATACAAATTTATGATACTTTACTTCAAGCATATTCGAAATTTAATGTACGCTCTATAAGTCGAAAACGTATAATATATATTCAATACCTCTGTAACCTGGAGATTTCGATATGTCCATATTGAAATCTGATGCTATTATTGAAGAGATGTTGATCGTCGTGTTTTTTCTACCTTAATGATACAACGCTATTACGCATGCTTGTGGGGCGAGTACAACCACCTGGCTGGTCGGAGAATGCATTAAATATTAAAGATGCTATTTCCACTGGCTTTATTTCCTGCGTCGTAAAAGTTTATAAGCATTATGATAATTCGAATATCTAGCTTTTTAACAAAGTAAAAATGTATTGTGTCTCTGCATATTATCGAAAACTCGTCGAACTTGTCTTAAAAGTTTTTTTATACTTCTATAACATTTTTTTCGTGCGCTTCTTTACGATCATTTTGCAACGAGAAATATACTTGCACGCTATATGATGGAAAAACTTTTTTATACAGCGAATACAGAAAATTGCAATAAATAAAATGATACGATAAAAGGTACATTTACTTTATATATTTTTTCTTCGCATTTTGCCTGCAAATAAGTGTCTTCTTATATTCGTTGATATAACAATAAATGTGTAATAATTAATTGTACTAGTACATATCAGTGTGTGAACTAAATATAATTTTTTATCAATATAATAATATTATCAATTTCCTATATTAATTTTTTTGTTAAAAGATCGTTTTACTTTTTCTAAAATTCTCACTTAAAAAGTAATGCTCAGTTGTAATTTTGCTAAAGAAAAAAGTTGTTTGTTTTGATACGAACAATCACGCTGTAGAGTCCGTATCCCATATGAATTCTGATACACTCTGTATATTGTATATTGAACTTCATATTTTATAACGTTTTATATACGAGCATTCACTTTGAAGGAATAGTGACATATATTTTGTGTAATAAAAAAATTTTTTTGTATAGCAAATAATTGTATCAAGAAGGAAAAAAAAATATTAATCAAGAGATTAAGGAAAATTATTTAAAGACAAGTATAGAAGATATAGAATATCATATTTTACAATATTCTTCACATATTTATTGCAAAAACATATTCATTGATATAACATTAAATGCGGTGATGGACGCAGAAAAATTTAAATTAATACTTTATTCTTTTTCTGTACGAGAAAAATGCGATATGAAAATATAAAGTTTTAATCAAAATATTTGTAATAACAGTGATAATTGTAATCTTCAAACAAGAATAACATAGTTTACAAAACATAGCAAATATCAAATATTAAATAATGTGAAATTTTATTTTCTTGATAACGAAAGTAATTATTGACTTTTATTAGTACTTTTAACTGAAAATAAAAAATAGAATTTATTGTTCATTCTTATCTATTTGAATTAATGTAATATCTATATATAATATCAGCTTGATTCCTTTAATTCTGTATTGCCAATAAAAATGATATATAACCAGCCGATGTTTTTAATAACTGTAAATAAATATATCTTTATTTGAATTTTAACAAAACAGTTTTCACAAAAACAAAACTAAAGTTATTTAATAAATAATATTGACTACAATCGCAGTTATATTTTTACATTTTCAATATCTAAATTTCAAAGTCCCTCCTATAATTAAATCATACTTTCTTCTAACGGATTTAATTTAAAATTAAAAGTTACAAATGTTGTTAACACATTTTGAAAAAATCTTTTATTTTAATATTTGTCAAGAAGTAAGCAAAAATTATATCATTGCATGAACTTTCTGTATTTAAATGATAAATATGATTAATAATTATATTTTGTTATAAGTATAGATGTAAAAGAGAGAGAAAGAGAGAAATAGAATGAGGAAGTTAAAATAGAAATAATAATAATCTTACGCTGCAAAAAGTGGCCATTGTCAATGGAACAATTTTTCCTGCAGTGATACGGAAGGGTTGCTGCACTCGTATCATTAATAGAATAAGATTTCTCGCTTGTTTTGATTCCCAGTTGTACCATTCAAGATCGTAGACAGCATGATATACTGCTTCACACTTAATAGAAAACATGTATATTTATAAATATAATATATTTATAAATATTTATATTATATCAATATCGGCCAATTTTTCATAAACATTAATAAAAGTTAAATAAAATTAAATTTATATATATATACATAAATTATATATATATATATATATATATTATATACTATTTAAATTTAACATTTTTTCTGTCTCTTTGTTAGACATTATATATATATATATATATATATATATATATATATATATATAATATCTAACAAGAGACAGAAGAAAATGTTAAAAATTTTAATAGAAAACAAACTTGACAATATAACACATTAAACAACGAAAAACATCGATGACATACATAAGTTCTTAATAGAGAAACATGCTCACTATTTATTACAAGATACTTAGATAATAAAATTAGTTACACAATGATGTATATTATTTTTTATATTTATTTATACATGTATAAAATTATAACTTACTTGTTCTGTTATTAGATCTCCAGCATAGCAATAGAAAAACATTTGCATAAAATAAATAGTGATAATTGCTGTCATGTAGTATATTCGTAAAAAATTGGCAGCATTTATCTTCTCATTATTGATCATCTGAATAACATTTCACTGATTAATAAAAACGATTCAAGAGAAGATAAATATAATAATAACATCTGAGTACACAATATGTACTACATAAACCGAATATTTTAAAAATTATTAAACTTAAAACTATTTAATAATTTCAATTTAATCTGTGTTATTAGAACTTACAACAATCAACACAAATCCGGATAAGCAAAATATAATGCCAAAATATATTATAGTTCCGAGCATCATTAAATTAAACATATCTTCGAGTTTATCGACATACCTCAAAATATAGAACACATTTATCATCTATAATATTATTTAAAATATCACTATAATAAAATAAATAAAAATTATATATTTAACACATATTATACGAAGATACATGCCTACAATTATAAACATATGTAATAATAATATATAAAATGCCATTCATTTAATATTGTATTGTATGCTAAATATTTTTTTATAATATTATAATTATAATAAGTATATTTAGTATTATAATAAGTACTATTGATATAAAAAAACTTTCAAAATTGATGAGTTAAATTTCAAAAACGCAACAATTTAATATATTATAAATAAATTTAATGATTTAACATGCCAACAAAATGCCATTAATGCCAATTTTAGTAGATAAGAGTTTAGATAAAAAATCATCAATATAAATAAATAATTAATTTTTTTCCAAAATTCCATTAAATTTGTGAAATTATGTCAGAATCAAAATCCACACCTGATAAGTCGTAAATGAGTCACTACGTTATTACTTAAAGTTTTGTTAAACTCATTTCCTGCATCCAAACTAATTAATCGGCTTCTGAAGTTCTCTAATTGACCGCAGATATGAAAAATCACTAATCCAAGAAAACTATCTACCGACGTATATATTACGACAGCTAGAAACATCCCTATGACTTGAGTAAGATATGTCAATTCGAATTGTGGACTCTTATCTGTGTCGTAGAAATAATACGACTGCAGGAGTAACGGTCTGTCCCGATCCGTAAGATTTGTCACACGTCTAAACGATAGGCCAAAACAAGGAAATATGGTGATCATAATTAACGTAAATGTCATCAAAATGTATGCACAAATTACAATTAGTCGAGAAATCTGTACATGCTTGATCATTATGTCTCTTTCTGTGTTTCGCTTTAACGTTATCCAATCTTCTTTCATCATCTTTATGACGGACAAAAGTACTTAAACATTAAAAAAAGGAATCTCGGTAATAAATAAAATAATTAAATAATTTATATCTAATTTATAGTTATTTGTTAATCTATATAAATCAAAAGGAGAATTGGTACATATTGAAATCTTAATTCAATTCGTTATATATATTGCAAGAATAAAATATAAGACAGAGAGAGAGAGAGAGAGAGAGAGAGAGGGAAAAAGAAAAAAAAGAAAGAATATAACTCCTAATTTTTTTTTAAATTTTTTATATGATTTATATGATTAATTCTTTAGTATAATATTATCCCAAACAAAAATTAACCGTCACAAAATATAAAATTTGACATAAAAATGAAATCTATAGCTATGTACTCTATATTAAATTAATTCAGACATACCTGATTGCTTCCGTCGCATGACAACAAGTTTTAATAAAACTGATAGCATAGGTAATGTAATTCGTAAATTTTCTATCATTAGTACCATGTCGCCCCAAACTCGCGTAAGCGCATGTACAAGAGGAATACCAAGAACAAATGTAATCATAATGAAAGTGAAATTTGCACGTATGTTAGAACCGAGAGTTCTTTTAGAAATTCCATTAATTTTTGGCCATAAGCCGATCAATTCTAAGCTCGGACGATTTAGTTCAATTGCCCACACAAAATCTTTAAGCAAGATTTTTATTTAGAAAATTTGAATAGTAATTACAAATTTATATATAGATCGTAAAGTTTTGATAAAAAGTAAAGGAAATGAAATATATGTATATATGTAATAAATAAATAAATAAGTAAATATATATAATTTAAATGTATGTAATATATAAATTTATAATATAATATTAACTTAAAAACAAATTAAGAATTTAACCTACACATAAGGAGAAAATTTATATCGTAGACTTACTACCTTTATAACCTGATTCCGATATGTCCATATCGAATGTCTTAATGTGACTATATTGAAAACGTATTTGCCATCGTATTTTTCCCATTACATAATAATACGACTATCACGCATGCCTAATAGGCGTATAATAACCCGAGCTTCGGCAAAAAATGCATTAAATATTAAAGATGCTGCTTTCAATGACTTATAGTCGGTTGTTTCGAAACAAAACTTTAGACGTATGAAAATAATACGAACATCTCTTTTAGTAAAGTAGAAGGTATATTTATTGCTACCTCTCTCATCGAAAACTTATCAAACTTGTCTTAAAAGTTTTTTCATGCTTTAAAACGCTAAAACGTTTATGTGTATTCACTTTGCAACAAGAGATAATGATATATATTTGCATGTTTGTAGTGAAAAAAATGTATGTATCATATACAGAAAACTGCAATAAGAAAAAGAAAAATAGTGTTACGATAATAAAATTTCGTTTGCTGTACAAATTTCTCTCGAGAGAGAGAGAGAAATTGCAAATGAATTTAAAATATCGAATAAAATAAAAAAAATGTGAAATTTTATTTATTTTTTTTATTCCTTCGTTCCACGGATAGCCGGCTGTTCGTTATGTCACGTGCTCTTTTTTATATTGACATGTGCTTCAATTCTGCGATTTTTCTGTGTGAATTTCTCGCTCATATATTCCTTACTTTTACGCTTATCCTTTAACAATATTTAGTCTCCTGCCAGTGCCTTTTCTGCTTTTGCATTGCATTTTTACACGACAATGGATTCTGGAATGTTGTTGCGGAAAGTTGCTTATTTGCAACGTTTAAAGCGACAGTTTTTCTGACCTTTGTTTGTTCTGCAGCACTTTATAGAAGGGATATTAGTAAGGTGAGCTTCCCGTCCCGCAGCTTATGACATGTAATTGTAATTATTATAATATTTTTACTTTTACTCCATTCTGTGTTTTTTGCGATTTTTGTATTCTCGCGTTTCTATATGAACTTTTGATTGTAATTTTGCAACCACTATGCTCTTGACAGCCTTTTTATTTTCATTAACATTTTAACACATGTTTTTATTTGATATATTTTTTAAATTTATTTTCATTCAATTTTGTAATGTTTATAATGACATTGATAAAAACCTGTGGAGCAGGCCGAAACGTTTTGTCTTTTTCTGGCCATTTACATTCTATGTATTTCACTCTTTTTTCTGTATAATTTTTTTATATTTTATATGATTTAGAAATAATAATAATTATTTTACGCTTTAACAACGGCGCTTATTTCTTAGTCTTCTGCATTTTATATGATTGAAATTGTATTTATTTTATAATGGATATAATCATTGATTTTTATTAATAATTCTAACTAAAGAAAGTTTTTAACTTTGTAGTAGAAAATAAAATTATTATTAATATTCTTATCTACTTGAATTAATGTAATAATCATATATGTAATAATCATATAGTACTATATTTATATCTAATTTGATTTCTTTAATTCTGTATTGCCAATAAGAATGATATATAACTAGCTGATGTTTTTAATAGCTGCAAATAAATATATACATCTATATATAAATCTATATATAAATCTATATATAAATATATATAATAAATATATCTTTATTTATAAAAATATATTTACGAAAACATAAAATAAAATTATTTAGAAAATAGTATTGATTACAATTACATTTATAATTATAATTATATTTATAATTATATTCTTTATATCAAAATTAATAAAATTTTATAATTAAGTACTTTTTTCAGAACATAGATTTAATTTAAAATTACAAATCACAAGTTGTATTAACACATTGTGAGAAAAAGATTTTTTCCCTTTAATATTTGTCATAAAATTAGAAAAACATATAATTGCATGCAATTTCTATACATTAAAATAATAAATATATCAATATTTATATTTTATTACATTGATACAGAAAAGGAAAACAGAATAAGATAAAATAAAATAAATAAAGTAGAAAATATTAATAATCTTACGCTGCAAAAAGTGGTCATCGTTAATGGAACCATCTTTCCCGCAGTGATACGGAAGGATTGTTGAACTCGTATCATTAATAGAATAAGATTTCTTGCTTGCTTTGACTCCCAATTATACCACTCAATATCATACACAGCATGGTATACTGCTTCACACTTAACAAGAAAATATGTCATAATATATATTTATATTTGTCAATATCGATCACTTTTATAAATATTAATAAAAGTTAAATAAAATTTAATTTATATACTAAATGTACATATATAATTTTATATTTATATAGAAATATATTTATTGAACTTATTACAATATATCCGTAACAAAATTAAATAGGCGAAAAAAATGTAAATTATTCTTCATATTTATTTATACGTTCATAAAGTTGTAACTTACTTGTTCTATCATTATTTCTCCAGCATAGCAATAGAAAAACATTTGCATAAAATAAACAATAATAGCTGCTATCATATAGTATATTTGTAACAAATTTGCGACATTTATTTCTTCACTTTTAATCATCTGAATAATATCTCACTAATTAATAAAAATAGCTCACAAGAAAAAATAAATAATTATGATAAATGAATACACATAATGCATATTGCACAGATTATATATTTTAGAAACTATTAAATTTGAAATACACATTTTTACTATAATCTATGTTAATAGAACTTACAACGATAAACACAAATCCGCATAGACAAAATATAATGCCAAAATATATCACTGATCCGAGCATCATTAAATTATATATATCTTCGAGTTTATCGACATACCTCCAATCATAGAACACATTAAAAATTTCATATTAAAATCAATAAAAATTAATACATATAGTGCGAAAATACACATTTAATTATATACACATGTAATAATTATGGAAAATAATTATAAAAAAAATAAAATACATATATAATGTTTCTAGTTGTATTATATGCGAAATACTTTTTTGAATTATAATAAGTGCATTATAAATAAAATCAACTTTCAATTTTGGCAATTTGATCTTAAAATAGGGACAATTCAATATAATTTAATTTAATGATATAAAGTGTGAGTAGATTTCTCTATTGAATTTTTGCAAAGATAGAGTTAAAATGGAGAATCGCTAATTTAAATAAAAAATTATAAAAATAAGGAATAAAATAACTTTCCTTTTATACATATAAAGATCACATATAATATCAAATATCTTATATAATTAAATCACATAACAAAAGTTAGAAGTTAATTTATAAAAACTAAAATATCGTGTTAGGCATTAGAATTTCTTCAAAAGTTTTGTTAAGTTTCTGAAATTTTATTATATTACAATCAAATATACCTGATAAGTCGTAAATGATTCACTATGTTGTTACTCAATGCTTTGTTGAACTCTTTGCCCGCAATCAAATTTATTAATCGTCCTCTGAAATTCTCTAATTGACCGCAGATATGAAAGATCACTAATCCAAGAAAAGTATCTACCGACGCATATATTATTAGGCCCAAAAACAGTGTTATAATTTGAGTAAGATATGTCAACTCGAACTGTGGACTCTTATCTGTGTCGTAGAAATAATATGTCTGCAGGAGTAACGGTCTGTTCCGATCCGTGAGATTTGTTAAACGTCTGAACGATAGGCCAAAACAAGAAAAAATAGTGATCACAATTGATGTGCATACCATCACAAAGTATGCACAAATTACAATCAGTCGAGAAGTCCGCATACGCTTCATCATTACATTTCTTTCTACGTCTAGCTTTAACGCTATCCAATCTTCTTTCATCATGTTTATAACGGATAACAGTACTTAAACATGTGAAAAGAGCGATTTCGATAATAATTAACATAATTAAATAATTTATATTTAATTTATTTGTTAATCTATAAATCGAAAATCGATATACATTGAAATTTTAATTTGATATATATGTATGTGTGTGTGTGTATGTGTTGTGATGGTAAAAAAATTATGATAAGTATCTTTTAATATATTTTTAATATTATATAATTAATTTTAATATAATAGTACTCTCAATATATAAAGTAATAAATTAATAAATTAAGTTCTATAATAGCGTTTGACAAAAAAATAAGACTTATATATTGTACATCAAATCCATCCAAACATACCTGATTGCTTCCATCGCATGATAACAAGTTTTAATAAAATTGTCAAAAAAGGCAATGTAAATCGTAAATTGTCTATCATTAGTACCATGTTGCCCCAAACTCGCGTAAGCGCATGAACAAGAGGAATAATAAGAAAAAATGTTATTGTAATGAAAGCGAAACTCACACGAATGTTTGGACCGATACTTCTTTTAGAGATTCCATCAATTTTTGGCCATAAGCCGATCAATTCTAAGCTCGGGCGGTTTAGTTCAATTGCCCATACGAAATCTTTAAAAAAAATTTTTATTTAAGATACTTGAGTAATTACATATTTATATGTAGATCGTAAAATTTTGACAAAAAACGATATAAATGTGCAATAACATGTGTATATAACATATAAATTTGTAGTACAACGCTATTTTAAAAGTACATTGAAAATTTATTACTACAAATGAAAAACGTATGATAGAAACATTACCTCTGTAACCTGACGATTTCGATATATCCATGTCAAATGTTCTAATTTGATTATATTGAAGAAGTGTTGACCGTCGTGTTTCTCCCATTCTATAATAAGACGACTATCACGCATGCCCATGAGGCGGTACAACAACCTGAGCTTCGGCGAAGAATACATTAAATATTAAAGATGCTACTTCAATAACTTATAGTTGCTTATTTCGAAACAAAACTTTATAGGCATAAGAATAGTTACAAACTTCTGTTTTAATAAAGTGGGAGATATATTATATCGCTATATATCGTCGAAAACTCTTGTCGAACTTGTCTCAAAAGTTTTTTGCTTTTTAACGCTTTATTATGCGTTCACTTTTCAACAAGAGATAATGATAAGTTTGCATGTTATATAGTAGAAAAAATGTTTTATACAGCGAATACAAAAAAACTACAATAAGAAAACAGAAAAAAAAGGTAATAAAAAAATAAAATGTTACGTGTGCTATACAAATTTCTTTCTGGAATTTAAAGAAAGTCTATAATATATAAAAAGTATAGAATATCGCATTTACTTTATATATTTTTTCGCATATTTGTTGCAAGAATATTATTATTATTATATAACATTATTTATTGTACAACATTAAATGGTGAACGCAGATAATTTTGAATAAAGAATTTGTTTTTTTTTGTTTTTTTGTTTTATAAAATCGATTATTATAATTTTCAAGCAATAATAACATAATGTACGAAAAATATCAAACATCTAATTAAATTTTTACTGTAAAGATTTATTTTTATTTAATGAATATAATTATTGGCTTTTATTAGTAATTTTGACTACAAAAAAATGTATTCATTGTTCGTATTCTCATCTGTTTGAATTGATGTAATATCCATGCAATATAATATATAGCAAAATGTAATATATAGTATCAGCTTGATTCCTTTAATTCTGTAATGCCAATAAAAATGATATATAACCAACCGATGTTTTTAATAACTGCAAATAAATATATCTTTAATTAAAAACTTATTTATGAAAGTATAAAATAAAATTATTTAAGAAATAATATTAAGACTATAGTTATGTATAAAATATTTTTAATTAAATAAATAAATTTAATAAAATTTTCTAAATTTAAATTTTTTATAAGTGATACTTTTCGGATCAACAGATTTAATTTAGGATTAAAAGTTACAAATTACGAACACATTAGGAAAAAAACCTTTTAATATCAGTCAGAGAGAGAGAAAGAGAAAGATATATTACATCCAATTTCACAATGAAAAATATAATTAAAAATTATATTTCGTTGATATTAATAAGATTGATAAAAAAGGGAAAAAGAGTGAGATAAAATATAATTAAACTAAAAGATAATAATCTTACACTGCAAAAAGTGGTCATTGTTAGTGGAACAATCTTTCCTGCAGTGATATGAAAGGGTACTTGGACTCGTCCTATTAATAAAATAAGATTTTTAGCTTGTTTTGGCTTCCATTTGTACCACTCAAGGTTGTAGATAGTACGATATACTGCTTCATACTTAACAAAAAAACATATATAATATAATAATATTTAGATTATTTCAATATCAGCCACTTCTATAATCATTAATAAAAGTTAAGAAAGTTTAATTTTTATATATGTATATTAAATAATAGTATTTATAATTTTATTTTTACATAAAAGGATAATCTCAATTTGAAATTGTGCTTTATTCATTATGTATAGATTATAGATATATATTTGGTACTGATCCAAATAAATTTACATCTGTGTAAATTCGAATTTAATAAAATTAATCGCGAAAAATAAGGATAACATAATCCTATTTTGATTCATTCATGACATATAAGTAATAAACATCGACATTAATATTGAGCAATGATTAAATATCTGGTACTTTTAAGTACAAATTATCTAGTCAATAAGTTTCTCAGAAAAGACATCTAATATTGATATACAATATGTATAAGAAATGATGTATACAAAATATCCATTTTAATTATTAATATATACATATTATTTACATATGACTTTTAAGAAAAGATATGTGCAAATAATCCCATTCTTACAGAAACTTCATTAGTGCTGAAAAGAAAATACGATGCATAATAGACGATACGCTTTGCAATAAAAGAAATAACAACTTAAATATATCAACATAAAAATTACTCATTTGCTGGTATTCTAAATTATCTGATTGTAAAGAATTAAAAATTCTCTCATATTTATTAATCTAACTATCTAATACGTATTAATTCTTTTTAAATTTTGTCTTAATATTTTTAATACTTATTTGTTGTGACTTTCCTTCATTATCATTTTTTCGACTTTTCTTTCAAAATATTTTGTACATAAATAAATAATAAATTTCAGTTATTTTACAAAAAATCTTCTTTAAAAAGAATTAAATTTCATTTTCAACACGAAAAACAGACAAAATGTTTTATTTATATTTTTCAGAATTAACTTTAATTAATTAATATTTATAGAAATACATAGCCATATATAATGTATATTTTAAACACAGATATCGTAACAATATAATTAAAGTTAAACAGTGAAAAATACAATATAAAAAAGTACATTAGTGCCGAAATATGCTAAACTTATTATATGATGTATACAATAAAATAAAAATTTGATAGAAGACAAATAACATATATTATATCTATTTATAACTTTATATGTATAAAGTTGCAACTTACTTGTTCTGATACTAGCTCTGCAATATAGCAATAGAAAAACATTTGCCCAAAAAATATAATAATAACTACTATCGTATAGTATATTCGTAAGAAACTCGTAACATTTTCAGTTACTTTTTCATTTTTAATCATCTAAATAATATCTCATTGATTAATAAAAATAGTTTACAAGAAGAAATAAATAATTGTGAGACATAAATACACGTAATAAATATTGCACAGATTGTATATTTTAGGAATTATTAAATTTAAAATACATACATTTAACATTTTTAATATAATCTATATACTATAACTTACAGCCATCAACAGAAATCCAGATAGAGAAAATATAATGGCAATATATATTATCGATCCAAGCATCATTAAATTGAATATATCTTCGATTTTATTGATATACCTCCAATTAGAATATATTTAAAATTAGAATATGTTTAAAATTAGAATATATTTAAAATTTCTTTATTAAAATTAATAAAAATAATATACTTAGTAAATATTGTGCGAAAACACAAGCCTAAGGCTATAGATACTTATAATGATATGTAAAACAATATTCATTTAATGTTGCATTATTCACGTACTAAATATTTTTTTATTATAATAAATATATTTATTATTATTTGTAATAATAATTATAATAAAATATAATTTGTAATAATTGTATTATTATAAATTAAAGCAATTTTGAATTTACAAAAATTGAATTTCAAAAAATAAAATAATTTAATATAATGTAATTTAATGATAATATGTGAGTAGAATATTCTATTAAGAATTTTTACAAAGAGAGAATTTAGATAAGAACCATTTATTAAAATAAAAAATTTAAAAATAAAGAATAAAAATTTGTTATCTTACGCATATAATGATAATATGAAATCATCGGATATCTTGTGTGAACAAATCGCATAAAAAAATGTTAAAATATGAAGACTGAAGTATTATGTTAGAGATTAGAATTTCTTCAAAAGTTTCGTTATATTTGTGACATTTTGTTACGTCATAATCAAAACCCGTACCTAATAAGTCGTAAATGAATCACTACGTTGTTACTTAAGACTTTGTTGAAGTCCTTGCCAGCAATCAAATTGATTAACCGTCCTCTGAAATTCTCTAATTGACCGCAGACATGAAAGACTACTAATCCAAGAAAAGTATCTATCGATACATATATTACGAGGCCCAAAACCAGTGTTATGATTTGAGTAAGATATGTCAATTCAAACTGCGGACTCTTATCTGTGTCATAGAGATAATATGTCTGCAAGAGTAACGGTCTGCTCCGATCGGTAAGATTTGTCAAACGTCTGAACGATAGGCCAAAACAAGAAAAAATAATAACCACAAATGCACCGCATACCATCATAAAGTATGCACAAATTACAATTAGTCGAGAAGTCTGCATATGCTTCATCATTACATCTCTTTCTGCGTCTTGTTTTAACATCATCCAATCTTCTTTCATCATGTTTATAATGGATAACAGTACTTAAATATGTAAAAAAATGATAATAAGTAATATAATTAAATAATTTATATCTAATTTACTATTATTTGCTAACCTATAAATAAAAAATCGGTACATATTGTAATTTTAATTTAATTTGATATATATATATATATATATATAACTTTTATATGTGCTTAATTTATAAATTAAGCATATATAAAAGTAAATATATATAATATGAAAATAAATATAAATATACGTAAAGTAATAAATTAATTTCTGTAACAAAACATGTGATAAAGAAATGTGATCTATAGATATTCTACATCAAATCGAATTAATTTCGATCGAAGAAATTTAAACATACCTGATTGTTTCCACCGCATGACGGCAAGTTTTAATAAACACGTCAGCATTGGTAACGTAATTCGTAAATTGTCTATCATTAGTGTCATATCGCCCCAAACTCGAGTAAGTGCATGTACAACAGGAATAATAAGAAAGAATGTTATCATAATAAAAGCGAAAGCTGCACGAATATTAGAACCGAGACTTTTTTTGGAGATTCTATCAGTTGTAGGCCATAAGCCAATCAATTCTAAGCTCAGACGATTTAGTTCAATTGCCGATGCAAAATCTTAAAAAAAATTTTTTATTTAAGATATACTTAAATAATTGCATATATGTGTTTATATGTGTAGATTGTAAAATTTTTACAAAAAGTGATATAAATACAATCTATGTGTGTCTAACATTGTGGTAAAACATGTGTAGTACAACAATAACTTAAAAATATATTATAAATTTATATTAAAAATTTATTATTACAAGTATAGAAAATATATGATATAGATGTATTACCACTGTAACCTGGTGATTCCGATATGTTCATGTCGAATATGTCAAAGGCTAACATAGATATGTTATAGAAGTGTTGATCGCGAGTCCTTGCTATTTTATAACAAAATGACGATGCATATTCGGTGCTGCATATTCGTGGGGCGAATATAGCAGCACCTAATACTGCTTCAATAAAGGGTACATTAAATATTAAAGATGCTACTTCAATGGCTTAGTTGCTTCGAAACAAAACTTCGTAGATATAAGAAAAGTTTGAAACGTCTGTTTTAGTAAAGTGAAAAGTATATCGCTATATGTTGTTGAAACTCTTGTCGAACTTGTCTCGAAAGTTTTTCATGCTTCGTAATGCTTTATTACGTGTGTTCGCTTTGCAGTGAAAGATAATGATATGTTTGTATGTAGTGGAAAAAATTTGTATAGCGGAATATGAAAAAATTATAATAAAGGAGAAAAAATAAGATGATGGAAAAGATAAAATGTTATATGTACTTCACAAAAATTTCTTTCTGCTATTTAAAAAGAAAGTCTACAATATAGTATGTATAAAATATCGCATTTGCTTTATACAATATATTTTTCGCATTTATTGCAAGAACATTTATTGTGTAACATTAAGTGCACGTAGTGTTGAAAATTTTGAATAAACATGATATCGAAATCTGTGATAGTCTGTGAAAAAACCATTCTTATAATATTGTATATTTTTCAAACAAAAATAAAATAATTTACGATAAACAGCAAACATCGAGTTATAATAATGTGAATTTTATTTCTTTCATTACAAATATAATTATTGACATTCATTAACACTTTTAATTGGAGAAAATATATACGTTGTTCATTTTTATTTACTTGAATTTGACTTATTTGACTTATTAATGAAATATTCATATATAATACAGCTTGATTCCTTTAATTTTGTATTGCCAATAAAACCGACATATAACTAGCCGATGTTTTTAATAGCTAAAAATAAATACATCTTTATTTTAAGATTTATTTACGAAACTATAAAATATAATTATTTATAAATAATATTGATTACAGTTCTATATTATATTTGTAACATTATATTTTTAATATCTAAATATTTAATATCTTAAAACTAAATTAAATTAAATTAAATTAAATTAAATTAAATTTTTGTTTTATAATTTCTATAAATTTTTCTAACAAATTTAATTTAAGAATTACAAATTGTCAACATATTTTGAATATAAAACTCTTATTTTAATGTTGTCAAAAAATCAGAAAAGATTAAATCATTATATGAGTTTATGAACTTTCCCTATTTAATTGATAAATATGTTAATTAATAATTATTTTATAAATACAGAAAATAGAAAAAGAGAGAATTAGAATATAGTTAAAATAATTAATAACATACATTGCAAAAAGTGGTCATTGTTAGTGGAACAATCTTTCCTGCAGTGATACGAAAGGGTTTCTGAATTCGAATCATTAATAAAATAAGATTTCTCGCTTGTTTAGATTCCCAATTGTACCATTCAAGGTCGTATACAGAATGATATACTGCTTCAGACTTAATAAGAAAACATACAATAAGGTATATAAATAATATTATTATTAAATATTAATATTATTATTGATGTTGATGTGTTGATATTATTGTTGATAAAAATTTCTCTCCATTATCATTTTTAAAAAATTTTTTTCAAAACATAGTATTCGAATATCAAAATCTAAACGCTAAATTTTAATCTTACAAACAGTGTTTTTGCAAATAGAAATAAGATTCATTTTTAATATAAGAAACGCTTTATATTTATATTTTGCAGAATTATCTTTATTTAATGCTTAGGGAAATATATAGATATATAATATGTTAAACGTATATATATATATATATATATATATATATATATAAACAAAAATATATGTATATTAAACATATGTAATGTACCAAACATATATATTATTAAACGTACACAGAATTTAGAAGACAAATTTCAATATAGTATTGTAGCACTATACTAAAGTTCAACAATGAATAATACAACTATAAAAATCCTTTTTTAATATAAAAATATTTGCTAAACTTATTATACAGGGTGATTCTGAACAAACGTTTATCTTTAAAATATCAAATTCTTGAATTCTAAGACGATTTTTCCTCTTGCAAAATTTTGCCCGGAGCTTAGTTTTTAAACTATAAAGGGAAATAGTTCACTATTTAAGGAATGAGTACAAGCAGGGACGGCGCGATATAGGCGATTACGTGGAGCGTTCACCGCGATCAGCTGATTGCTATACGCGATGACTGTAACAATTAGTTTGTGTGTGTGTGTGTGTATGTGCGTGCGTACACATTCTCACACACACACTGATTGTTACAGTCATCGCGTATAGCAATCAGCTGATCGCGGCGAATGCTCCACGTAATCGCTTATATCGCGCCGTCCCTGCCTACCTCTTGTACTCGTTCCATAAGTAGTGAACTATTTCCCTTTATAGTTTAAAAACTAAGCTCCGGGCAAAATTTTGCAAGAAGAAAAATCGTCTTAGAATTCATTCAAGAATATGATATTTTAAAGACAAACATTTGTTTAGAATCACCCTGTATAATGCATATAATATTAAAATAAAACTGTAATAGATCACGAATAATGTATATCATATTTATATTATATGTATATAAAGTTGTAACTTACTTGTTCTGTTATTAGCTCTGCACCATAACAATAGAAAAACATTTGCGCGAATAAAATAATGATAATTACTATTATATAATATATTCGTGAGAAACTCGCAGCATTTATCTTCTCATTATTAATCATCTGAATAATAAAAACGAATTACAAGAAAAAATAATAATAATAAATAATAATAACAAACGATTATATACAATGCATATCGCAACTAAATATTTTAAGAATTATTTAAATACATTTAATATATTTAATATAATTTATAATATGTTACCATAACTTACAACAATCAGCACAAATCCGAATACACAAAATAAAAAGCTAAAATGTACCATCGATGTGAGCATCATTAAATTGAATATATCTTCGACTATGTCAACATATCTGCAAACATAGAACACATTTAAAGTTATATTAAAATCAATAAAAATACATTCAGTACATATTGTATGATAATACACTTAAGATTTTATACAGCTATTGTATCTATAAAACAATCTGTAATTAATTAATCTATGATTAATCTTGCATTATTTGCTAAATATTTTGCTATATTTCAACAAATATTGAATATAAAATACATCGCATATAAAAACTTTCAATTTTTTAACAAGTTGAGTTTCATAAAAAGCCAATTTAATAAAATTTAATAAAAAATTAGTTCAATGAATCAAAAAACACATAGAATGATATTAGTATTAATTTTTACAAAAGAAAGAATTTATATAATAATAATTGTAGATGAAAATTAAAAAGAAAAAATTGAAAAAAAATTTTATTTTACATATGTGTGTTTGTGTGTGTGTGTGTGTGTGTGTGTGTGTGTGTGTGTGTGTGTGTGTGTTTGTATACTCATAGAATGTCTTCTATAATTAAATCACATAAGAAGAAAGTTAAATCTAAAAGATCGTATTAGGATTAATTTTTTTTTAAATTAAATTTATCAAGTCAAAATCAAAACTCCCACCTGATAAGTCGCACATGCGTTTCTACGTTATAACTCAAAGCTTTTTTGAACTCGTTATCTGCATCCAAATTGACTAATCGGCCTCTGAAGTTCTCTAATTGACCGCAAACATGAAAAATTACTAATCCAAGAAAACTATCTATCGATGCATACATTACGACAGCCATAAACAGTCCTACAACTTGAGTAAAATATGTCAACTCAAACTGTGGACTTTTATCTGTGTCGTAACAATAATATGTCTGCAGAATTAATGGTTTGTTCCGATCCGTAAGATTTGTTAGATGTCTGAACGATAGACCAAAATAAGGAAAAATAGTTATCATAATTAACGTAAATACCATCAGAACGTATGAACAAATTATAATCAAACGAGAGATCCGTACACGCTTCATCATTACATCTCTTTCTGCGACTTGTGTTAACGTCATCCAATCTTCTTTCATCATGTTTATAACGGATAATAGTACTTAAACGTGTAAAAAAACCATAATAAATAAAATAATTAAACAATATTTATGTCTAATTTATTGTTATTTGTTAATCTATAAATCAAAAAGAGAATTGATATATATTTTAATTTAATATATATATATTGCACTAATATAATTAACTTTAAGTAATATTACTCCTAATATGTGAATAATAAATTAAATGTTTTAATAGAATTTAACAAAGAAATGAGATATATATAGCTACGTATTCTACATTAAATCTAGACATACCTGATTGCTTTTGTCGCATAATAACAAATTTTAATAAAATCGAAAATATAGGTAATGTAAGTCGTAAATTGTCTATCATTAGTATCATGTCACCCCAAACTCGCATAAATGCATGTACAAGAGGAATACCAAGAATAAATACGATCATAATGAAAGCAAAACTTGCACGAATGTCAGGACCAAATCTTCTTTTAACAACTCCATCCATATTAGGCCATAAGCCGATCAATTCTAAGCTCCGACGGTTTAAGTCAATTGCCCATAAGAAATCTTTAAGTAAAACTTTTATTTAATAAACTTAAGTAGTAATTATAAATTAACATGTAAATTATGAAATTTTGATAAAAAGTAATGAAAATGCTATATATGTATATATAACATATAAATTTATAATATAACATTAACTTAAAGTCATATTGAAAATTCAGTGTTATATTACTAGCAAAAAAATATATAACGTATGCTCAGTACCTCTGTAACCTGAAGATTCCATAGATGTATCTCAAAGGTATATATCGAAGGTTAACACGGATATATTAAAAAGATGTCGTCTTGGTTTTCCCACTCTATAATAAAATAACTATCACGCATGCTCATAGAGAGAGTACAACAACCTGACTATTTCATCGAAGAATGCATTAAATATTAAAGATGCTATTTCCTATTGCTTAGTTTTCTGCGTCGTAAAAACTTTGTAAGCGTTAAAATAGTTATGTGAACATCTTTTTTTTTAATAACGTGAGAAGTGTTGTTATATATCGTCGATAACTTGTCAAACTTGTCTTGAAAGTTTTTTCATGCTGCGTAACGCTTTATTACGTGCGTTCACTTTGCAGTGAGAGATAATGATATGTTTGTATGTTATGTAGTGGAACCATTTTTTTTGTATAGCGAATATGGAAAAATTACAATAAAAAGAGAAAAAATAAGACAATGGAAAAATGTTATATGTACTTTACAAAAATATCTTTCTGGTATTTAAAAAGTCTACAATATAGAATGTACAAAATATCGCATTTACTTTATATATTTTTCGCATTTGTTGCATGATCACATTTATTGTATAGCATTAAGTACAATAGTATTGAAAATTTTGAATAAAAAATTAATTCTTTTACTGTTGAAAAACTTGATATCGAAATCTATGATGGTCTGTGATAAAGCTTTTCTTATAATATTGTATTCTTCAAATAAAAATAATATAATTTACGATAAACAGCAAACATCGAGTTATAATAATGAAAATTTATTTTTTTTTTATTACAAATATAATTATTGACATTTATTAACACTTTTAATTGGAGAAAATATATTCGTTGTTGATTTTTATTTACTTGAATTAATGAAATATTCATAAATATTTATATATAATACAGCTTGATTCTTTTAATTTTGTATTGCCAATAAAACTGACATATAGCTAGCCGATGTTTTTAATAGCTAAAAACAAATATATCTTTATTTTAAGACTTATTTACGAAACTATACAATATAATTATTTATAAAATATTATTGATTACAGTTCTATATTATGTTTGGAAAATTATATTTTCAATATCTAAATATTTAATATCTTATAATTAAATTAAATTAAATTAAATTAAATTAAATTAAATTTTTGTTTTATAATTTTTAAACATTTCTAACAGATTTAATTTAAGATTAAAAGTTACAAGTTGTCAATATATTATGATAAATATTGATTAATAATTATTTTTTATAAATACAAAACATAGAAAAAGAGAGTATTAGAATATAGTTAAAATATAAATAATTAATAACTAACGTTGCAAAAAGTGGTCATCGTTAGTGGAACAATTTTTCCTGCAGTGATACGAAAGGGTTCTTGAATTTGAATCATTAATAAAATAAGATTTCTCGCTTGTTTAGATTCCCAATTGTACCATTGAAGATCGTATACAGTACGATATACTGCTTCAGACTTAATAAGGAAACATACAATAGGGTATATAAATATTATTATTATTAAATATAATTAAATAATATTATTATATTAAATAATATTAATAATATTATTATTAAATATTAATATTATTGTTGATATTATTGTGTTGATATTATTGTTGATAAAAATTTCCCTCCATTATCATTTTTTTAAATTTTTTCCAAAACATAATAGTATTCAGATATCGAAATATAAACACTAAGTTTCAATCTTACAAAGAGTCTTTTTGCAAATAGAAGTAAAATTTATTTTTAATATGAAAAACACTTCATATTTATATTTTGCAAAATTATCTTTATTTAATGCTTAGAGAAATATATAAATATATAATATGTTAAACATATATATATATATATATATATATATATATATAAACAAAAATATATATATATTAAATATATTTAATATACCAAAAATTAAATATATTTAATATACCAAACGTATGTATTATTAAACGTACACAGAATTTAGAAAACAAATTTCAATATAGTATTTATTATATTGTAGCACTATACTAAAGTTCAACAATGAATAATACAACTATAAAAATTCTTTTTTAATATAAAAAGGTTTGCTAAACTTATTATATAATGCATATAATATTAAGATAAAACTGTGATTGATCACGAATAATGTATGTCATATTTATATTATATGTATATTATATTTATATTATATAAAGTTGTAACTTACTTGTTCTGTTATTAGCTCTGCACCATAACAATACAAAAACATTTGCGCAAATAAAATAATGATAATTACTATCACGTAATATATTCGTGAGAAACTCGCAGCATTTATCTTCTCATTATTAATCATCTGAATAACATCAACAATGAATAACAAAAACGAATTACAAGAAAAAATAATAATAATAAATAATAATAACAAACGATTACATACAATGCATATTGCAACTAAATATTTTAAGGATTATTTAAATACATTTAACATATTTAATATAATTTATAATATGTTACCATAACTTACAACAATCAGCACAAATCCGGATATACAAAATAAAAAGCTAAAATATGTCATCGATGCGAGCATCATTAAATTGAATATATCTTCGACTATGTCAATATACCTCCAAACATAGAACATATTTAAGTGCCATTATATTAAAACAAATAAAAATACATTCAGTACATATTTTGTATGACAATACAGTTAAGATTTTATACAGCTATTGTACGTATAAAACAATCTGTAATTAATTAATCTATAATTAATCTTGCATTATTTGCTAAATATTTTGCTATATTTCAACAAACATTGAATATAAAAATACTTCGAATACAAAAACTTTCAATTTTGACAAGTTAAGTTTCATAAAAAGCCAATTTAATAAAATGTAATATTTAATGATTCAAAAAGCAAATAGAATAACATTAGTATTAATTAATTTTTACAAAAGAAAGAATTTATATGATAATTATAAATGTAGATGAAAATTAAAAAGTAAAGATAGGAAAAAATCTCATTTTACATATGTACATATGTATGCATATATGTATATACGTATGTATATATGTGTGTATACGCGCGCACGCGCGCGCGTGTGTGTATGATCATAGAATGTTTTCTATAATAAGGTCACATCAGAAGAAAGTTAAATCTAAAACATCGTGTTAGAATTAATTTCTTCCAAAACTAATTTGACATTTTATCAAGTCAGAATCAAAATCCACACCTGATAAGTCGCACATGCGTTTCTATATTGTAACTCAAAGCTTCTTTGAACTCATGATTTGCGTCCAAATTGACTAGTCGTCTTCTAAAATTCTCTAATTGACCGCAGATGTGAAAAATCACTAATCCAAGAAAACTATCTATCGATATATATATTATGATAGCCAGAAACATTCCTATGACTTGAGTAAGATATGTCAACTCAAACTGTGGACTTTTATCTGTGTCGTAACAATAATATGTCTGCAGAATTAATGGTTTGTTTCGATCCGTAAGATTTGTCAGATGTCTGAACGATAGACCAAAATAAGGAAAAATAATCATCATAATGAACGTAAATACTGTCAGAACGTATGCACAAATTACAATCAATCGAGAGATCCGTACACGCTTCATCATTACATCTCTCTCTGTAACTTGTTTTAACGTCATCCAATCTTCTTTCATCATGTTTATAACGGATAATAGTACTTAACATGTAAAAAAGCAATATCGGTAATAAATAAAATAATTAAATAATTTATGTCTAATTTATTGTTATTTGTTAATTTATAATATAAATCGAAAAGAGAATTGGTATTTATTTTTATTTAATATATATATATATATATATATATATATATATATATACATATATATATATTGCGATAATAAAATTAACTTTAAGTAATATTATTTCTAATATGTGATTAATAAATTAAATACTGTAATAAAATTTGACAAAGAAATGAAATATAATATGTAGCTACGTATTCTATATTTAATCCAGACATATACCTGATTGCTTTTGTCGCATAATAACAAATTTTAATAAAATCGTTAACATAGGTAATGTAAGTCGTAAATTGTCTATCATTAGTGTCATGTCACCCCAAACTCGCATAAATGCATGTACAAGGGGAATACCAAGAATAAATGCAATCATAATGAAAGTAAAACTTGCACGAATGTCAGGACCAAATCTTCTTTTAACAACTCCATCCATATTAGGCCATAAGCCGATCAATTCTAAGCTCTGACGGTTTAAGTCAATTGCCCATAAGAAATCTTTAAGTAAAACTTTTATTTAATAAACTTAAGTAATAATTATAAATTAAAATGTAGATTATAAAATTTTGATTAAAAGTATTGAAAATTTAATGTTATACTACAAGCAAAAAAATATATAACGTAGGCTGAGTACCTCTATAACCTGAAGATTCGATAGATGTCTCCATATCGAAAGTTAACACGGATATATTAAAAAGATGTCATCTTGGTTTTCCCTCTCTATATTAAAATAATTACCACGCATGCTCATAAAGGAAGTACAATAACCTGACTATTTCATCGAAGTATGCATTAATTATTAAAGATGCTATTTCCTGTTGCTTAGTTTTCTGCGTCGTAAAAAACTTTGTAGCATAAAATAGTTATGTGAACGTCTTTTTTTTTAATAAAGTGAGAAGTGTTGTTATATCGTCGATAACTTGTCGAACTTGTCTCGAAAGTTTCATACTTTATAGCTTCTTTACGTGCGTTCACTTTGCAACAAGGGATAATGATATTGCATATTGTATTGAAAGAAATTTCATAAATAGCATATACAGAAAATTATGATAAAAAAAAGAAAAAAAATATTACAATAATAAGAATAGAGCGCTACATTTGCTCAACAAATTTCCCTCTTACATTTAAAACATTGAATAAAATAATGTGAAATTTTATTTTCTTTATAATAAATATAATTAATAACTTTTATTAATAATTTTAACTGAAGAATATGTATTTATTATTCATATTCTTATATACATGAATTAATGTAGTAATCATATATAGTACCGTATATAGTACCATTTTCATGTAATTATATAATCATAATTTGATTTCTTTAATTCTGTATTGCCAATAAAAATGATATATAACCAGCTGATGTTTTTAATAGCTGCAAATAAATATATTTTTATTTACAAATTTATTTAAATATATAATAAATTATAAAATAAGAAAATATAGAATCAAAATAAAATTAAAATAAAATTATGGTAAATGTTTACTTTACGTCACACAGCTCGAAAAATTTTTATTTTCATATATGTTGTAGAGGAAATATTTATCAAAAATATTTAAAAAGTAATATTAATTACAATTTCATTTATAATTATATTTATAATTATATTTATAATTACATTTTTAATGTCAAAATTTTGAAGTTCTATAATTAAATATTTTTCGAACTACAGATTTAATTTGAAATTAAAAGTCATAAGTTATATTAACTCATTTTGAAAAAAAAATTTTCTTTTGAATATTTGTCGAAAAGTCAGAAAAAAATATATCATTCCATCCAATTTCCACATTTAAATGATAAATATAATTCAATATTATATTTCATTATATCGAAATATTCTGCATTATATGCAAAAAAGGAGAAAAAGTGAGATAGAATATATTTAAACTAAAAAATATTAATAATCTTACGCTGCAAAAAGTGGCCATTGTTAATGGAACAATCTTTCCCGCAGTAATACGGAATGGTTGCTGAACTCGTACCATTAATAAAATAAGATTTCTCGCTTGTTTAGATTCCCAATTGTACCATTCAAGATTGTACACAGTATGATATACTGCTTCACACTTAACAAGGGAAGAAATACATATATAATAATGTATAAATATTCATATTATTTTGATGTATCGATATTTCTATAAACATTAATAAAAGTTAGATAAAATTTAATTTATATACCATATATATTTATTTTTATTTAGTTTTGTATTAATATAGAAATATGTATAAATAATCATTTTCCATATTTATTTATACGTGCATGAATTTATAACTTACTTGTTCTATTATTAGCTCTCCAACATAGCAATAGAAAAACATTTGCATAAAATAAATAATAATAGCTGCCATCATGCAATATGTTTGTAATAAATTCGTAACATTTATCTTTTCGTTATTGATCATCTGAATAACATATCGCCGATTAATAAAGCCAGATCAAGAAAAAATAAACAATAATAACATACAAATGCATACAATACATACTGCACAAATTGTTTTAAAAATTAACACATATGAAACATTTTTAATACAATCTATGTTATTCGAACTTACAACGATGAACACAAATCCGGAAAGGCAAAATATAATGCCAAAATATATTACTGATCCAAGCATTATTAAAGTGAATATGTCTTCGATGTTATCGACATATCTCCAAACATATTTAAAATTATTATTATTTAGATATTATTTAAAATTAATAAAAATTATACACTTAATATACATTGTACAAGAATATTCGCTTAAGATTATGTATATACGCACGATTATGTATATAGCGTGTGATGAATAATTATATATAAAAATGTTTTCTGCTTAACATTACATTATTTACTAAATGCTCTTTTATTATAATTAATGTTGGAAATAAAACTAAAGCTTTCAATTTTCAAATGTGCAACAATTTAATATAATTTCATTTAATGATATAAAACATGAGTAGAATGCTAGTGAATTTTTGTAAAAAAAAAATTTAGATAAAAATCAACAACTGTATAAATAGAAATGAAAAAAAGAATTTTTATTTTATATATAAAATTTTGTGTATGTATGTGTATGTGTACATTTATCGGATGTTTAATCAGATTAGATGAGAAGAAATTTAAATCTATAAAAATTGAAATACTGTGTTAAGATCAATTTCTTCAAAAGTTCCGTTAAATTTGTAAAATTCTATCACAATCAAAACGCACACCTGATAAGTCGTAAATGAGTCACTATGTTATTACTCAAAGCTTTGTTGAATTCTTTGCCCGCGATCAAATTAACTAACCGGCCTCTGAAATTCTCTAATTGACCGCAGACATGAAAGATCATGAATCCAAGAAAAGTATCTACCGATGTATATATTATCAAGACCAAAAACGATGCTACAATTTGAGTAAGATAAGTCAACTCGTACTGTGGACTCTTATCTGTGTCATACAAATAATATGACTGCAGAAAAAACGGTTTGTTCCGATCCGTGAGATTCGTCAGATGTCTAAATGATAGACCAAAATAAGGACAAATAATCATGATAATTAACGTGACTACCATTAGGACGTATGCACAAATTACAATCAGTCGAGAGGTTTGCATACGCTTCATCATTACATTTCTTTCTCCGTCTTGCTTTAATATCATCCAATCTTCTTTCATCATATTTACGACAGACAACAGTACTAAATACACAAAAGAAGCAATATCGATAAGTAATATAAATAAATAATTCATATTTAATTCATATCTAATTTGCTGTTATTTGTTAATCTATAAATCAAAAGGAAAATCGATACATTGAAATTTTAATTTAATTCGATATATATATTATAATGTTGCGATAATGAAAAAATATATTGTGATATATGACTTATATAATATATTTATAATTTATTTTAATATAATATTAATCCCAATATATAAAATAATAAATTAAGTATAGACATAAGAATATAACAATGAAATGAGATCTATAGCTATGTATTCTACATCAATCCAGACATACCTGATTGCTTCCATCGCATGATAACAAGCTTTAGTAAAACTGTCAAAACAGGTAATGTAAATCGTAAATTGTCTATCATTAGTGACATATTGCCCCAAACTCGCGTAAGTGCATGTACAAGAGGAATAATAAGGAAAAATGTTATCGTAAGGAAAGCGAAACTCGCACGAATATTAGAACCGAGACCTTTTTTGGTGATTCCATCAGTTGAAGGCCATAAGCCAATCAATTCTAAGCTGGGACGGTTTAATTCAATTGCCCACACGAAATCTTTAAATAAGACTTTTATTTAAGAAATTTGAGTAGTAATTACTAACTTATATATAAATAAAATTTTGACAAAAAGTGATGAAGGTATAATATATGTATGTGTTGTAATATAAATTTATATTATATATAAATTTAATATAAATTTATATTATATTTAAATTTATAAATTTATATTATATATAAATTTATAATACAATATTAATTTAAATATATTGAAAATTTGTCACTATAAGAAAAATGTATGATATAGGTTTCTTACCTCTGTGACCTGAGGATTTCGATATATCCATGTCAAAGTCTAACAAATATATATTGTAGAGGTGCTGACCATCATATTCTTTCTATTCTGTAATAACTATCACGCATGCTCATAGAACGAGTACAACAACCTGGCTATTTTGTGGCGAAAGAGGCATTAAATATTAAAGATGTTACTTTCAATGGCTTATAGTTTCTTATTTCGAGATAAAACTTTATGAGCATAAGAAAAGTTAGGTACACGTCTGTATTAGTAAAATGGAAGATATATTGTGTTACTATATTGTTGAAAAGTCTTATCGAACTTGTCAGAAAAGTTTTTTCATGTTTTGTAACGTTTTATTATATGCGTTCACATTACAACGAGAGATAATGATATATTTGTATGTTATGTAGTGGATAAATTTTGTACTGCGAATATAGAAAAATTAAAAAAAAAAGAATAACGATGAAAACGATACAGAAAATACTACATTTGCTTTACTTATTTCTTTCTCGCATCTAAAAAGAAAGTCTACAATATAGAAAGTATGGAGTATCACATTTTTATTTTACACATTTTTTACATATTTGTTGCAAAAACACATTTATTGTGTAACATTGCAATAGTCGGTGTACAAAATTTTGAATTAAGCATTTGTTCTTTTTCTGTATTTTGTTGAGAAAAACGCGATATAGAAATCTACTTAATCGAGTTCTTCTGATAACAATGATGATTGTAATTTTAAAATAAAAATTTTATTTTCTTGATAACAAAGATAATTATTGGCTTTCATTAAGATTTTTATTAGTATTTTTAACTGAAATATGTATATTCGTTGTTCATTTCTATCTACACTTGAATTAATGAATATTCATGAACAATAATAATTTGTTTTTTAATTTTGCATTGCCAATAAAATTGACATATTACTAGCCGATGTTTTTAATAGCTGCAAATATAAATATATCTTTATTTAAAAAATAACTTACGAAACTATAAAATAAAATTATTTAAAAAATAATATTGATTATTGATCCATGTTACATATGTAATTACATCTTCAATATTTAAATTTTTCATATCTTATAATTGAAAAAAAAAACTTAATATAATTCGACCACACTGGCAATTTATTGGTTAATAATGTGTCACAACGTTTCGACCATGGGTTTTGGTCCTTATCTAATGCCAGTTTGCTAAGATACTTTCACTTGATGTGTGGTCGAATTATATTAAGTTTTTTTTAATTTATCTACTGGCAACTTTCAAGAATTTATTATTATTCTTATAATTGAATTAAATTAAATAATTAAATTTTTAATGTCTTGTAATTAACTTTTAATAACTTGTAATTTTAATGTCTTTAATTAACGTTAAATAACTTTTCTGATTTAATTTAAAATTATAGTTCCAAGTTGTAAACACATTTTAAGAATAAACTTTTCATTTTAATATTTATCAAAAAGTCAGAAAAGATTACATTATTATATTTATAAACTCTCCATTTTTAATTGATAAATATGTTGATTAATAATTTCTTGACAGAGATCTGATTTCTTTCTCTTTCATCATCGAAAAAACTCCTATAAAATCTTGTATTTATTAGTTTGATATATAGTTCCATTCGCTTCTGTCTATAATTAATCTATTTTGACATTTGAATTCTATATATAATTAATCTTTATCTTGACATTTGAATTTTTTATCATTCATCTTTAATAACTTCAACTTCCAAGATTTGTTATTATGTTTATAATCATTTTTTTTAAACTTTTTGTTGAAACTTTTCATATAGAGTTATCTCAAATATTCTTCTCTTGATAAGATTTGCCAACGCTTTATGAAATATAAAAACGCAATTTTATAATATATGTGATAACAATTTAAATTTGCCAAATCCTTCCTAGCAAGGATAATTTAGTGTATTTTTCCATCTCAAAGATCATACTTCTGTTCATCTTTTTTTTTTTAAATTGGAGCAAATGATATACAATACATCTAAAACCACAATTATGTAAATGAATGCATTTCTCGATGTTGGTTTGAAGATATAAATTAAACACAAACGTCACTATCACTATCACTAGATATACACGTAACACAAAGAATGTATGCACTAACACTAAAGAGATTTTAAAATATAAGTTGATATTTTTTTTTCAAAAATACACAGATTTCTAGTTTTTAGATCGAGCTTTATTCTTGTGACGGATAAAAATGGATACAAATCATATGTCACAATACACAATAATTTATTATAAATATAGCAAATACAATGAGATAAACAATGTAATTTTTATTTCTACTAACAATTACTTAATACAATTTTATTTTATCTATAATATTATAATATACACCTAATTGGAAATATATGTTCATTTCTTTTTGTCAAAAAAATAAGTAACTAATAATAACACTATTATTTTCGATGTATATTTTCAACTTCGCTTCGCCAATAAAAACGATATATAGCCAGCTGATGTTTTCAATAACTGAAAATAAATATGTTTTAGAAATATGTTATAATCACAAAATATATATGTTAAAAAAGGAAAAACTTTTGCACATTTAATGTTGATATGTTTTCATGTCATATAATCACGTAACATTTATAATTGAGATTAATAATTAGACAGTATTTTCTCGGCTAAAAATCTAATATAAATGAATTTTAAAAAATTTTTAAGAATGCGGGCGGGAAAACGTAAATTAAGGGTGATCTTACGCTGCAAAAAGTGGTCATGGTTAATGGAACAATTTTTCCAGCAGTGATACGAAAGGGTTCATGGATTCGTATCATTAATATAATAAGATTCCTCGCCTTTCTCGACTCCAATTTGTACCACTCAAGATCGCACACTGCACGATATACTGCATTACACTTAACAAATATACACATAACGATATATAAATATCCATGTTTATTTCATAATACAAGCCGTTCTCATAAACGTTAATAAAAATTTATTGAAATATACTTAATATCATCATCTAACGAAATACATTTTACAGAAAAATACATTTTTGAAATAGATAAAAAATTTTTTAATTTTAATCAACAATCATATTTATGTAAATAATTTTACAAATATGTATAACAATGTGAAGCTCAATGATTTTTAAACAATATGAAAAATTAAATTTAAGATTTGTATTTGTGATAAATGACAAACACAATTGTAATATATTAAAATTCTATTAATGTAGTTTTATTAAACATATAATATGAAAAATATTAAAAATATTGTTTTACTACTACAATGTACACAAAAAAATTAAATGTATATTATACTTACTTATTTAAATATATAATTTACTTCATTTATTCAATATATGTGACTTATTCTCGTATTTAAATATATGACTTACATGTTGTATTATAAGCTCTCCGGCACCGCAATAGAGAAATGTATGCGATAATAAAATAAGAGCAGCAACTGCCATGTAGCATGCTTGTGGAAGACCCGCATTACTTACCTTTTTATCAGTAACTACCTGAATAACATATCTCGCTAATTAATAGAAACAGATAAATGTAAAACAAATATCACGAATTTTAGATATATTATGGAAATTAGAAGAACAAAAATAAAACACTTGTTTAACATTTTTAAATATACTCGTAATACAATAGAAAACTTACGGTAAGCAACAAGAATCCGCATAAACAAAACACAATACCAAAATAGGATAGCAATCCCAGCATCATTAAAGTGAACGTATCCTCAATGTTATCAGCAAATCTGTAAGTATTATATATAAATATTTTTAAAATAATGTCGCATTAAAATCAATAAATTTTTTACACGCATTTAAGAACAACTAAAGAACAATAAAAAATCTGTGTGATAGATCGTATTAAAAAGATTGATGTTTACATCAAAATATGAATAAAAGTTTAACACTTAAAAATTAAAATCCTCGTTCAAAAATCAATCTTTTTTAGAAATTTTACCAATCTTTGTAATATTTTGATATATTGACACAATTTTCAAAAGCCATACCTGATGAGTCGTAAATGAGTCACCACACTATTACTTAGAGCATTGTTGAAATCTTTGCACGAGACCAAATTTATCACTCGGCGCCTAAAGTTCTCCAATTGGCCGCAGATATGAAGGATCACGAGTCCCAAAAAAGCATCTACCGATGTATAAATTATACCTGCCAAAGAAATCGTTATGACTTGAGCAAAAAATGTCAATTCAAATTGCGGGCTCTGATCTGTGTCGTAGAAATAATACGTCTGCAGCGGTAACGGTTTGTTTCGATCCGTAAGATTCGTTAGATGCCTGATTTGTATACCAAAGCAGGGAAGAATAATTAGCATGACAAACGCCAGCATCATTATAACATATCCGAAAATTACGAGTAACCGTGCGGTTCGTGCTCGTTTTATCATCACGTCCCTCTCCGTGGCTAACTTTAACGTTGTCCAATCTTCCGCCATCATATTTACGATGGATAATAAAACTTGAAAATATAAAAAAATAGGTATTATTAAAATACAAAGATGAAAGATTTTAATAAGCGATTTTTTAAATTTAAAATAAAGAAAGAAGAAATCTTTCGGCATTTTATAGTTTAATTTATTTTGTGTGTGTGTATTACAATTTTAAATAATTAATAATTCCTAATTTTTCCGAGATCATAATTCAATATGCTTCTAATAAATCAATAAAATCCATGAAAAAATTTGACGAAAGAAAAGGAAATGCAAGATTAGATTTTGCATCACAAATAGAGTCCAGCCCATACCTGTTCGTTTCCATCGCATGATAACAAATTTTATCGAAACCACTATGAGAGGTAATGTAATTCGCAAATTATCTATCATAAGTACCATATCGCCCCAAACTCGTAAGAGCGCCCATATAAGGGGAACACCAGAGGCAAGTATCACCGTAATAAAGGCAAGACCCATTCGAATGTCAGACCCGTGACCTTTTTTCGCGGTTTCATCGGTTTTACAATTAGGCCATAAACCGATCAGTTCCAAACCCAAGCGATGTAGTTCAACTGCCCACACGAAATCTGACAATTGTTTTTTCTTTAATTTCATAAACAGCTTGAACAATAATTACACTTATAGATCATGGAAGATAATATCTTTACAGAAGAAATAATAGATGAAAAATTGTCAATTCAAAAATATATTGGAATGTGAAATATACTAGAAGCGAAAAATGTACGATATGATCTGTTTAGTACCTTTGTATCCTGAAGATCTTGAAATGTTCATGTCGAAGACTAGCACATGAGGAGAAGTTTTCTCTTCCCACTCTGCGATATAAAATGATCATCACGCATGCTCGCGACATAAGTGCAAGCGCCTCTATCTACTTGCATTAAATATTACAAATGCTATCCCTAGTTGGTAGCAGAGAGAGTTTTTCGTTTTATAACAAAACTTTTCAAGCATGAAGAGAGAAAAGAGTCGTAAGTAGAAACAATAACAAGAACATATATTGTATCTCAATATTTTGCGAGTTTGCGTGAAACTTCTTTTTTGCACTTTATAATGCTTTACGTCGAAAAATAATACATTGTATAAGTAGAGTCCTAGGAAAAAAACAAAAGAAACAAAAATATTGTACAAAAAAGAGCAATTTGTACGATGAAAAATGTGCAAAATATTAAATTAACAGGAACAGAAGATAATTTAATAATTTAATAATTTGAAATTTTTTTAAAAACATTTTCTTAAATTGCGATATAAATATGCGAATAGAGATGCAATATTATTTCATCTGGTTAACTATAACACACATATATTACAATTAATTCTTTCAATATGTGACATTAAGTAGGCCAAATTGCTATGCAAAAGAATATAATGCAAAAAAATAATATGATAATTATAGAAAACAAACTTTTTTACTCTATTTTTTTATTCTATTGCGCAATTAAATTTCTTGTTAATACGAAGAAAATGAAGGAAGTATATTATAAATTTATTTATAGTCGATATTGAAGGCAATAGTAATACATTGGCTACTTTTTCATTACTAATTCAATGAGATTATCGGAGCGGAACACAGCATATTTGTCAAATATAATCTAAATAAAATATACAAAATATATATATATATATATATATATATATATATATATATGAAATGAAAAGAGTATACAAGATTATCTTTTTATAACAAATTCAAAATCAAATACAATCATATTTTAAATAAAAATACTTTAAATACTGTCCAGTCCTCTATCCCACTGTCGATGTTCAATAATAATATCATCATGATAATTATTGTTATTATCATAATTATAATAATTATATATTAATGCGATTCAATGGTATATATTAATCACGTCGCGCAAGCAAAACCGATATATAACCGCCTGACGTTTTTAATAGCTGAAATAATAAGCAAGCTGTATTTTGAGCAATTGTATGGCATTAACATTATAACATTGGTGAAATCTTTTTCTATGAAAATATAAAACTCTTTAATAAAATAACTGAAATATACATTATATACGAATTTACAATTATATATTCACTTACGCTGCAAAAAGCATTCATCGTTAAAGGAAATATCTTGCCAACTGTTACGTAAAGTGGCTTATTTGCGCGAATCATTAATAAAATTAGATTTCTCGCTTGCTTTGGCTCTAATTTATACCAACGATAATCACACGCAGCATGATATATACCTTCGCACTACAATTCAATATAAACTTCAGAGAAGTTGATCATTAATTAATATTTTTATACTATTGAAAATTATAAAAAATATTAAAGAAATTATTATAAAGAACGAAAATTAAGATCTTCAATTACATTCCTTATTTATTTTATTTTAATAAAAATTGCTTTAGTAAAAAAGAATCTAATGAGAAACAATGTTTACCTGCGTTATTAGAAATTCTCCAACTATACAATACAAACACATATGCCCAAAAATATTCACAACGACCATTATAAGAAACAATAATCTTACGAGAGACAAATGACGTCCATCGGTGATAACCTACGATTAAAGAAGAAAGAAACACTAGAAATATTACATTTATTACTGTACAAATAAATATTTTCATGATATAATAATTGGATTTTTATACATATGTATATCTAACATTTCATATGCGGATGCTAGACATTTTATATGCGGATGTATACGTTTTCTTTTCGCAATATATAAAAATTATATGTTTTGTGTAAAATTATTGCGTACAATCGGATACACACACACATAATTTGCTCACAATTTTATATCATATATATATTTATGTTTAATTATGTATAATTGCATAAATATTCCATATTATCTTGTTGACACGCATAATAAATCGACTAAATCTCGTATAGTTTATCAAGGACTTGTGTATAAAGTATGTGTGGTATATTTAAAAAATATAATTTTCATTTAATTTTAATCTAAATATACACAATAAAAGCAAAATATTGAATAGAACAAATTCAAACCGATAAATAAATTTTTTTCCTATGAAGGAAAAAAATTTGTCAACTTACGGTAACTAGTAAGAATCCATAGAGACTAAATAATGTACCGAAATAAAGGAATAATCCAAGAAGCATTAAAGTAAATGTACTCTCGATGACTTTAACACATCTATAATAAATAAAATTTACAATTAAAAAATAAGAAGATAGAATATCTTTTAATTATTTATAATTGATTATGTCTGAAAAATTATAAACATATGTATATTTTATAATTTCAGGTTTTCCGAAAAAGCTGTCACGAAATTTTTCTATCGGAAAAATACATCTATTAATTTCTTCGAATGATTTTATTCCAATCTTCATCATCGTCAATAAAACAATCGAATCAGTGAATAAGCAATGAGTACGAAACCTGATAAGGCGTACATGATCCGTTACCGCATCCGCTAGGACACGATCGAAATTTGGATCCTTTTCATCCGTTAATCGGCCTTTAAGATTCTCCAGTTGGCCGCAGACGTGAAAAACCAGCAATCCAAAGAGGCTGTCGATCGCACTGTAACCCATGGCGGATATCATGAGAGTGACACCCTGAGCGAGAAACGTCAGCTCGAAATACGGACTCTTGTCGGTGTCGTACAGGTAGTACGTCTGCAGGGGCAATGGTTTGCCTGGATCGGTCACGTTTGTTATGTATCTCATGGTGATCCCGAGGCACGGCAGAATAAACAGCAAGATAAACGACGCGAACATTATGACGAATCCGCAGATTATGATCATACGAGGGATCCGTGCGCATCTTATCATAATCTTACGCTCCTCGTCGGTCTTCAGCCTCAGCCAATCTTTGGCGATCATGCTCAGGATCGGCGCGAGAGCTTCAAAGGTAGATTATAACGATTAAATGATTAAAGTGAAAAAATCGTGATCGTTGAGTAAATATAACAATACAGATAATTTTGCAATGATAAAATTACAAATTAAAATAATGATCTTGAAAGATTTATTATAAAGTAAGAAAGTTTTTTATCATCGTTGTGTATCTCATATATGTATTTAAATTACATGTATAAAACTAAAAGTTGTTGAGAGGAAATTAGATCTAAACGTAAAACATAAAATAATTTCTTATGTATGTATATATTTTTGCAAAATTGCACGATTTATTAAGTTACACGTGAAACGTATATATCAGTATAATTGCATTGTTATTTCTTGTTCCCTTTAATCGTATTTTAATATTTATTATTTTATAAAACTTTTAATATTTCCTATAACATTATTTTATCTTTTTTTTAAAGAGGTCTCCATTTTCCAAATTCCCACTATGAGAAAAATTGTGAAACGTATCTACCAGCTCTTTTGCTCCACATGATGACGAGCTTCATTATCATCGATACCAAAGGTAAGGTGAACTGCAGATTATCCGTCATCGACATCAGGTCTCCCCAAACTCTTATCAGGGAATGTATGCAGGGAATCACGCAAACGAAAGTTACCATAATTATTAGCAAAAATACACGTACATTTGCCATTAACTTCTCCCGCGTCGTTTCTTCCATTTTCGGCCAAAGACCGATAAGCTCCAGACTATAACGATTCAACTCCACCGCCCACTTAAAGTCTAGCTACGAAAAAACATTGCGTTTGCTTAAACTCACGAATTAATTTAAGGCAACAATATTTTGCATTGCAAAAGTATTGATAAAATACATAATTCATATAACACATTATAACAATTATTAATTATTTTATATCATTATCTCTCTTGGTATCTCAATCCACACATTTCCCTTTTACACTAGTTTAGGAAAATCGAGCACTTTAAGCACTTTGTCTTTCTCTTATAAAAAAATACACTTATATATTATATTTATAATGTTCCTGTAGAAATTATTTAGATCATAATCATTTAAATTATTCAAAATACATTATGCATATGTATACACTTTATACAACTCTAAAAACTCTAAAAATGCACGTTTCTTTAAAACTTGAACAATATATTAATACATAATAATAATAATAATAATAATAATAATAATAATAATAATAATAATAATAATAATAATTGCCATATGTACTACAATTTAATAAAAAAATAATTAACTCTCTTAGATCACCAAACAAATATTTTGATAGAAACGAGAACAACCTGCGTATCCCGAATATTCGGCAGCATCCATATCAAAGGCTGACGATATACTATTTTCCTCCGTAAAAAAAAATTTATCCCCACCAATTACATACTCGGAGATTATCGCGAGATACACGTGGTATTAAACTTAGGGCCTATAGAATAGTCACGTATTAAATATTGCATGCACCGATAACCGATAACCGATGAATAATTCATATCATTAAAATATAATACATCAGTCCCTTGAAGTTCGAGAAAAAAAAAGAAATTCGAGAAAATGTTAACTTCAAAGTTTCTGCACATCGCGAACAAAGTAGAAATAGTTAAAAAAATGCATACTGTTGCATACGTAAATTGATACATTATTAATGTATTCCTATAGAAACCTTCTTCCAGCATAGCATAATAATTCAAGGAAAACTAGTTGCGATTATGTGAACAACGGACGCGAGACAAATGGTAAGAAGTGAATAAAACATACTTTACCCGAGAAATTTTTCTCCGATTTTTTATTTCAATTTCAAATTTCTACTTTGATATTTTGAGCAGTCAAATCATTTTTTTTTTAATTATCTAGCTCCTACTTAAAATCGCCAAATTTTACTTGAATTTTGTTCTCATTTTAATATTTCTACAATTTTTTAATTCTGTTTAATATTATTTAAAAAAGAGAATTAAAAAATATAAAAATTAAATTTTACTATAGTTTGTAAACTTAATTAAAAGCGAAAGATTAATCACAAAAATATAAGTTGTGCTTTTTTATACGAGAAACATATTTTTATAAAATAGATTTTTTTTATTTTTGTCTTTTGTCAGGAACATATTCATCACTTCCATTTACATGAAAATATAAATTTTTTACGATTTGTTTCAAAAAAAGTCTCCCTGTACAAATTGTGAAAATCACTTCAGTCACGCCACTTGAAGACGCCTACTGTCTTAATTAGCGTGCTTAACTAACGAGTAATTAAACCGTAAAATTGACCGAATAATAACTCACACTCTAGCAACTGTGTCAGGATTCTAAGGGTCAATTGTTTGAACTCAACCGTTGTTTCCCGTTTCGCGTATCTTTTTCTCCTTATCGCCAGCCTATAAAAAAAACTCGTTTAATGATATATTTTTAATAGACATTTTTGCTATAAGTTAATTTATTTCCATAATCTACGCAGTGATTCGTCGAATTTCATATATATTCTTTGATTGATTCGGAATCAACTTTTTCTTATTTGATTCTTTTGAGATCATTCTGATTATATTTTATAGAACAAATATAACTAGAGTAAATTGGGTCACGTTATTATTCTATAAAGTGTTAGAAATTTCTCTCAGAGAAATATCAAACACGGATCGCTTTCACTATCATCATTAATCGTTGCTACGTAACGTTATATTACTTATATGTGTGTGTGTGCTTTGCAGTTTATAATGAATCACAAATGACACTAATGCAAAGAAATTAAAATTTATAAGAAATAATAAAATCTTAAATATCTCTTTTTCATAAGAATCTTGCATATTTCAGTCATAAACTTATAATATTTTATTTGCTCTTAAAAACATTTAACATTTTTTCTTCGGATATTTATTAATTTTAGATTTACAATTTACTTATTACAATATATATATATATATATATATATATATATATATATAATTTTATTGTATTTTTTATATTTATTTTATTTTTTGCTTGCTATTGATATTTGTTTTATTTTTTGCCTAATAATAAAACAAATATTATAATAAAATTAATAAATATTAAATAAATCTTAAAATAAAATATAATTTTGATATTTACGTAATATTCTCCTTTATTTTTTAAATAGATATTAATAAAGAAATGTTTTCAATAGAATATAAATTTTTGAAAAACGAGAAAAACACACTTCTAGTATTTCTACGAAGTATATATTTTATCGTAAAAACAGATTCCCTAATACATATTCTTCCCATTGCTTTAATCGCTAATTAATTCAACGTTCGTTCAAGAGACAATCGGGAGGCGTATCTCCTTGAAATTAAAAAGATACAGGTGTGCGACTCTCTCTAAGCATAAGTTCATCGAACCGGAACGATCGCGCGTTAAAACGCTCGATGAATTTTCGCGCGATCGCTCTTTTACCTCGATCTCATCAAATCGCTTTCTCTCGTACTCTCTCCGTCTACCGTTTCCGGTCCGCTTTATTCCGCTCGCGCAGGTGCGACCGCGTACTATATCACCTCGATCACGTGTGCTCAGCGCGCGCGCGCGCGCTCACACACGTTTCAGCAAATTGTCATGAACTAAATGCCGCGAAAGATTCGTAAGCTTACCGCGTGGTGCGCCGGTGTGCGATCTGTCGAGAATGGATGAATGGCGTATTTACGTGTTTTAACGCGCAGCATCGCCTATGTTTCGCCGCTGTATCGCTTGTCCGCGCACCACGTCCCGTTCTGAGATTTTCCACGAGGAAGAGAGCCCTAGGCGCGACAATCAAGCCAGGCGGACGGGCCTCGGTGGAGCTACGTTGCAGAAATCGCATCGTCGTTCGGTAGGCGTTGCTGCTGTCATTTGGCTTCCTCCTCGCTACGCGCTATTTTTTCACCAATTTCACGCCACTCCCGCGGCTCGCACGCGTGATAAGCCTCCCCCCGTAACGTGGATCGCTGATCTTCGGTGTCGGCGAGAAATGCTCGCGGGGGATGCCGCGATGGCGGAACAGGCGTGTGCGATCTGACAGCTGTAAAATCGTGTGCTTTCGTCTCCTATTTTTATGTAGACAGATGATAGACGATGTAGATGGAATTATCGTTATTATATATTCTATTTACGCCGGTTTCTAGTAGATAGTACGCTGATGATTGTTTTCTTGAAGCAGGGACAATGTTTACCAAGAAGAAAAAGAAACCACAGATCTCCACACCGACCAACTTTGAGCACAGGGTGCATACCGGATTTGACAAACGTGAGGGCAAGTTTGTCGGACTACCACTCCAATGGGCTTCGATAGTTGGGAATAATCAGATTCTAAAATCAACCAACAGACCACTGCCACTGGTCGACCCTAGCGAGATCACACCTACTGAGATCCTCGATTTGAAGACTATTGTAAGAGGACACGATCCTAGAATAAATAGACCACTTGTCAACGAGAAAATTGTCGAGAATGGTTTGCCTAAGACCAGTACAGTTGCTCGTTCCAATTCCCTACGCTCTTCGAGTCCACCACGACTCAGGAAAGATTACAGGTATTTTTAATAACTTTAATAGAAACTATTAACTTACTGAAGATTAACATTGTAAATAGTGTTATATAATAGTTGATATAAATAAATGAAGCAGTTTCATATTTACTATGAATAATTTTTAGATACTTATAGCTTTTTTGATGAAATTAATGATTATAATATAATTATATCTTGCAGGCATACAAGCAATCTTCCACCATCCGTCCCCGAAGGCCAGGAAGTACCTTCGAATATAAATCAAGGCTTTGTAAATTTTAGCAAGCCACCTAACTACATTGATAAATTGAGACAGAATTCTCCGAGCGTTGGAAGCGGATTAAGTTCCAGCATGCAGAACATGATACCAAACCTTCAAAATCTTAATCCTAATATGCAATCATCGCCAAACTTAACTCATTCTGGATCAAATGTACCAAATCTATCGATAAATTTCCAAAACCTAAGTCCTATTATTAATTCACAAGCTCCAGTACAAAGTCCAAATAATCCCCAATTTCCAGATCCAGAATTTCATAGACTAAATTCTCAAATGACATCAGCTCAATATAATGGCAATGTACAGGTAATTAATCATACGATATTGCATAATTGTATTTAGCTTCTTTATATAATATTTTTACATTTATAATCTCTTTATAAAATAATTTAATAATATAATATCTTATTCCTCTTAAGCGATAGTTACATATATCAAGTAAAATCATCTCAATTAACTCAATTTATTGCAACAAGAGGCAATCTAAAATTATTTCAAAAATTAAAACGTGAATGTAATATTACCTCTTGTATTCTAAGACAAGGACATGTGTATATTTGTTAATATACAACATGACTAATGTAATAATATTATTTTATTTATTTATTTAGGGTTCATCTATAGAGGCATCGAGAGAACATCAAGTGAGTCAAAATGTGTTATTACACAAGTTACAGCCAAAAATCTCGCCAGTAGGTTCAATAGCCTCGCAAAGACCATTGAGTCAATTGAGTTCACATAACATTAATAAATATCCTCAGGCATATAATATGCCTGAAAATCCATCTAACCTCCAGTCACATTTGAAGAAACCAATGGAAACCTCTCAATCAATGCATAATTTATCAAAGCCAAGCATATCGTCTACAGTATCAGGTAGCAGTTCTACTCCAGATCAAAATCAAAACATGAAGAGTGCTGTCTCTTCAGGAAACTTGGCGGTTGGTACAAGTGCAAATAATGCCAACAAACAAACGGATCAGAGACTTACACATGAACAGTTTAGGGCTGCTTTACAGATGGTGGTATGTAGGATTTTTATTCTCAAAGAATTTATCTATTACATTACAATAAATATACATTAAATGTGTAATATATTTACATATCTTATATATGTATTTAGGTAAGCCAAGGTGATCCAAGAGAAAACTTAGAGAATTTCCTGAAGATCGGCGAAGGCAGTACAGGAACCGTATGCATAGCTACAGATAAGAGTACAAATCGTCAAGTTGCAGTTAAGAAAATGGACTTGAGGAAACAACAAAGACGCGAATTACTTTTCAACGAGGTTGTCATTATGAGAGACTATCATCATCCAAATATAGTCGAAATGTATGATAGTTTCTTGGTAGACGATGAATTGTGGGTCGTAATGGAGTATCTCGAGGGAGGTGCGCTAACTGATATTGTAACACACTCAAGGATGGACGAAAGTCAAATAGCCACAGTGTGTTCTCAGTGCCTTAAACCACTGGCGTACTTACACTCGCAGGGTGTTATACACAGGGATATTAAGTCGGATTCGATATTACTTACGGCAGATGGCAGAGTAAAACTGTCAGATTTTGGTTTCTGTGCTCAAGTCTCTCAAGAATTACCAAAGCGAAAGTCTCTTGTAGGAACCCCATATTGGATGAGTCCCGAAGTCATATCAAGGTATCTTGAATTTATATTATTTACTTTTAAAACTAAATGCAATAAATTTTATGTTTATTTTTATTATACTTGATCACTATAGAAAAATTATACGAGTAATACTTTTCTATTAATTTTGTAATTCTCTCTTCATAAAACTTTCATTTTTTAAAAAATCAAAATAAAAGAAATAGCTCTTCTATTAGTATGTAAAGCTTTAAATATTATGGTTATTTCACACAATTGTTAGACAAATATAAAACCAAAAATGTTAACTGTATATTCATTTACAGGTTGCCATATGGACCTGAAGTGGATATCTGGTCATTAGGAATAATGATCATTGAGATGATTGATGGCGAGCCACCATTTTTCAATGAACCACCTCTACAAGCTATGAGACGCATCAGGGATATGCCGCCACCAAAATTAAAGAATTTTCACAAAGTAATATTATCTTTCTCATCAAATTAGACATAACATTAAAGATTCCTATCTTTATTATTAATATACACATGCGTGTGGTTTAATATTTTAAAATATAATTGTAAATTCAAAATATGAACAACATTTTGTCTTGCAGGTTAGTCCACGTCTTCAAGGTTTTCTTGAACGAATGCTTGTGCGCGACCCGGCACAACGGGCCACGGCAGCTGAATTATTGCAACATCCATTCCTCAGGCAAGCTCAAAGCCCTAGTATTTTGATTCCATTAATGAGAGGTGCCAGGCATACAAATTGTTGAGTTACAATACTTTTGTAAGTTAGAATGTTAGTCAAGGTGGATTTTGATTACAAGAGTAATCATATCCTTAACGAGATATTATCGTTATCCTATTGCAGCTTGTGTTAAAGTTGCAGCTTTTAGCAGTCTATGAGTTAGTTCAGAAGTTTTGACTTCTAAACTCTTATATGCAGGACTTCAAGGTCTTTTTCTTCTTTTTTTCTTTTTTATGATAGGCACGATCGATTTAGAGAATATAATATTTATACAGTTTCAGAGAGAGATAATTTAATTGTAAATATTTAAACGATGTAGTTTAAATATGTCATTTCTGCCTCTGATTTTATACTTTAAATTCTTTACTACTTTAAAGTCTAGATGTGTGCAAAAATTTAAAATAATAAAATTTTAGAATATTGAGTTTCTAATATCATATTGAGTCACATGTAACTAATATAATGAATTTTTATAATTTATAAAAATTTAAATAAGAAATATAAAAAAAAAAACATTTAATTGGCATTGATATTAGAAAAATATCAAAAAAATCGAGAAGAAATATTACTTTGAAGCCAAAGCCTTATTCGTAGCTTAGTTTCTCTTAGAGTTTTGTAAAACTTAAGATTCTAATATAAATCAATCTCTTTAATCCGTGCCTTATATATTTATGTAATAAATTTTTTTCTTTATTTTTATAACTATTTTTGAAAAGTATTCTACACAAGAAAAATCTTAAAAAAAAATTATTATTTTCGAATTTTACATTCCACTCGAGTCTGAGACAGCTTGTGTTTGTAAGTATTATTTTTAAAATAAGCTATTACATTCCTGCATTATTTTATGCATATATATTATATTAATTTTGCATTTATATGAGAATACGAGACATACTATGTCAAAACATTCCTTAAGTATTGGCACTGCCTGCTTAATCCACAGTAATAATTTTAATTTTATGATAAATAGTTCTAACTTTGAGATATTTATAAAACGAATTTTTTTTCACCTAAGTGCCTTAAGCACTAACGCAACAATTAACTTTTTTTGCAAAATAATAGTATTGTTTGTATAAAGTATTCAAATAATTTTTTATTATTATTATTATTTTCATAAATTATGAATAATTTATTATAAATTTATAGGAATTTGCAGTTAAATTTAGACAGTATGTTTTGTTTCATTTTTCTAAGTAATATCATTATACGCATTAATTTATACATTAATTGTGAACTTTTGTAATATTTTACTTTCATTATTTCCTAAAAAGTATAAACGTTCTGAAAAGCGTAAACAACTGGTTATATGGAAAGCTTTAAAAATTAGAATGTATATTTGATTATTGTCTTTTATACAACTGTTGCACATAATTAGATTACTTAAACAAGCATTTTATGTATTTGAGAACAGGGTTATGATATATATTATTTAAAATAAATAGTCTGAATATATAAATATGAAAAGTGTATGTAGATCCATATAGAAATGCTTGTATTTGATAAGAAAATTTATCATTTTCCAATACATCATTAGTATATGTAAAAAAATATCAGGAATGTTACATAGTAACATATATAGAAGGCAGAAAATCGTGATCCTTTGATAGTAATAAATTGTGTACATGTAAGATGTATATTTTTTTAAATCATGTAATTTTTTGTATTGATTGAGATTATTATGTATCGTAATTTTAATTAGGAATTTGTGAATTTTACAATTTCTCTATTGCAGTTTAATTTAAGAATTACACATAGAGAACAGTCTATTATATACTTATCATCTGTATATTTTGGCTATTGACATAATATTTCTAACCATGCGATTTTTTAATTGAAATTATTACATGTCGTTTATCAAAGTGACTATGTGATTCTAAATCTAATCTATAGACTCCAAAAGCAATGACAGTTAACAAAATTTTTGAAAGTATGAAAATATGTTGAGGAACAATGTATAAAATCTGCAATCGTATTAGATAGATCTGTTATACTCGCCATATATTTAAGCCTTATAATATTATTTTACCTTATAATATTATAATCAAGCTAAAAAGATCACCGTATTTCTTATACATTTAGAAGCTATTCTGTAGAATATAAAAAGTCAAGAAGAAGGAATAGGGCTAATAAAATAGAAGCAATAAATAAATGCATTTATATTGTGTAAAAATTTTCTTTAATAATAATGAATAATGTATGTCTTTTCTTCAACATAAAAAGCTAAATAACATACTCTTTTTTTATTTAATCAGCTTTTATGAGCCCTAATCCTTTTTGATTTTTTATATTCAATATATTTTTTGTTTTTACTTATTCTGTATATAATAGAAATTCAAATACCAGCGTGATTTGATTAAATGAACGCCATATTGGCAAATTTTAAATGTATTATAGTGTCCAAAATTTGTTTATTACATATGTGCAGGATTATTGTACACATGTTGTACATTTATTACGTAATAAAGAATCTATTTACAAGAAAACATATCTATATAAAAAATTCCAATAAGCGTTTTCAATGTTACTGACAAATTTCGAACATGTATGTTATAATTCTTTACGTTATAATCTTTCAGTTAATTAGTATGATGATTAAAATATGGGATTGTTTTGTCATATAAAAATATTTTTTAATTTCTTTCTAAAATATAATCATTTACGTATATTTGCACATAATTTTATTTCATACATAATTATGCTGGTTATAGCGTTATCTGTCTTATCGACGTACATGTGTTATCAATTGTATAAAATAAGATATTTACATTATCATATAATTAATATAAGAATATAAACATTTATCATACTCGAGCAAAGTTTATATCCAAAAATTTAAAAGAAACTTAAAATTATGACTGGTATAAGCGATAGAAAGTAAAAAAAAGAGAGAGAAAACAAATACTTGCAAGAGTATAGAATACTTTTGTAAGTAAAAACAACGAATATAACACTCTTGTATGTAATAAACATGAGAGAGAGATGAAATTAGATTACGAAACTTTGTGCCCACTATAAAAATCGATTAAAAAAAATTAAATGCTTAGGAAGTGATTAAAAAAAATTAAATGCTTAGGAAATGATTAAAAAAAATTAAATGCCGAGGAAATGATTAAAAAAAATTAAATGCTTAGAAAATGATTTAAAAAAATTAAATGCTCAGGAAGATATTGACTATCAACAGCAGGTATCCGATTGTTTTAACTTACTTTAATGACTACTATTGCACATTTGTGTTTAAGTATCTTTTTTCTAGGAGGAAATAAGAAGATATAGAAAAAAACAAGAACAACTGAAAAGTTTTAAGAGATTAAAAAGAAAGGTATTCTAAGAAGATTCGTTTCAAATAATTTTATCCTAAAAGTACATATCATTATCGAATTAAACAAATTTAATAAATTTATTAGATAAATTTTACAATATTGTTAAAATTGTTCTCTCTTTTTCTTTATTAAAAAATTAATAATTTATATTTCGTTGTTTTAAAAATTTCATTTATGCCTCGTTTTTAAATTTCTTGCTTTTTCATTTAAATGGACATTGGAAATAATGATACTAATTTATAATTGTATCTAGTACACAATTAAATCAAAGCTGCAAGTAAATATCGAATATACATACATAAAATAGAAAAGAATTCGTGAATCCTTCTTATGAGTAATCAAATATTTTAATTAAATCACGAATTCTTAATTTTCATGAATTCTCTTGAAAAGAGAAAATTTTCGTTTCTGTTTTTTCACGAAATTCGTGGAAATAAATTTCTATCGCTACTCTATTTTTTAACCGATGTCACGGTCACGCGGTTTCCCTCACGTGATCTTCGACCGAGATTTCAGAGGTGTCTTTTAACGCGTCGAAAGAATCCACGTCGCCGGGAGTCGTCGTTACTCAACTCTCCCTCCACGACCAGCGGACGTCGTCGTATGCGATTTGCTGTTACCATGCGGCACATTCCAGGCTGAAAGGCGTTCTACAACGGCCATCGTCGATTGGTCCAACGCAACGACGAGCCCCTGGCTGACCGGAATGACCTTCGCATACTGGTCCGATCCATTGGCGCCACTTAAGATCCTTGCGTAGATGGAACGTGCAACGGCATCATTTATAATAGCTCGCTTTAATCGAGAAACCCGTCTTCTTTTTTTTTTCTTTATACACCTCTCTTCTAAATCTAGTGCGCGGTAAGTAGTACGAGTGAAAATAGACGTGGCCGAGGATGTCCCATGGCCGCAAACCAGCGACGAAGAAAGATGTTCGGCGCGAAATGTTTTCGTCGAAATTGACGAAACGCCTCGAAGCCCATGTCTGTTTGCTTCCGCTGATTTATCGTATGATAAGCACGATACGCAAAAGTCCAATCATTTGCGTAATATTCAAGGTTGAATATTTCAGCGAGACGCAATATCGCGGGCGATTTTGTAAATTCAAGCTCTGACATCGAATGTTTTTTTTTTTTTCAATCAAAATTATAATATATATATAATGTAACTCGTGTCGTTTCTCTTTCGTAAAGCTATTTTTTACGTAGCAATTTTAGTTCTATTTTTCAGTCTTTCGATTATGTAATTAAAAATTCAACATCGATTTAATTCAATACTGAATATTACTTGGCGATTTGATATTATCTGATATCGTCTGATATCATCTGCCTTTTTATCTCTTACATTAATTTTTATATGAATCTATTTTTGGAAGAATTTTATCTCCAACGGTATTGTTTGCGTCGATGTATAAATTTCATCAAATTATTTTGTTCAAAGAATATACTACAGCGAAAATACTACTGAAAATCGTGTCAATATCAAGAACTGATGCATATTGATGTGTCAGTTAGCAAAAACATATCATGCTCTTTAAAATATTATCATACAATACTGACCGTCTACATTTTAATGAATATTTCATTTTAATAAATTATTTTAATTGTCCCTCAGAATTTCTAATTTCAATTTCTCGTCCCGTAGTAGATCCAATCGCCACGCCAATGTAACGCGACATGGTAACAGGATGCTCGTCTGCTCTACTATCGGCGACATAATGTAACGATACATCGTGATAAAAGAGCGATGAGAGATTCGTGGAGTGAGCCGGAATTTTTTGGGATCGAGCCCTTGATGAAGAGAACCCGCGAACATCTGCCACGAGGCCACGTGACAAATGTCACGCAGACGAAAGTGCCGGGAAGATGGTCCAAGCACGATCATCATCGACGTGATGTCGATCCACGCATTATTTCGTCATGTATGTATTATAAGAAACTCCATCATAAGCACTCTTCGAATGCAGACAGAATATTATATACTTCTACATCCTACTTCCTTGAATAATGGAAGTTTGGAACTTTCCCTGGCGATCCTGGGGATGAATGCGTTTAAGAATTAGATTCATTATTGATAACAATCCTGATCCTTTTTTCGATATAGATTTTCCTTGTGTATACAATATTTTTTTCTATTTTTTTTCAATGTAAACTTTGATCGCGCAAACTGTTTTGGCGAGTCACGATTGTCGTTTTTTCGCGTTATCGCATTTCCGCGTGTATGTGTGTGTCCTTCTTACGGACGGTCAAATAAAAATTCATAATGACGGTAATAGAATGTACGTGCGTGACGCAACAATATTGAATTTTATTAGCAGGATAGAAGCGGAACGCAACAACCAATGGGAACGTCGCTTCCGCGGAGGCTCGACCGGCTCGACCCGACTTCCATCACGTTCGTCGAGAGATCCCTGTGGCCGGCCGTTTCTTTCAAGGAGAATCGAGTTGTGGGAAAGTTGTATGCCCGGCTGTCGGCTGATAAAGTTGGCCGTTTATATCGCCTCGCTGGAATATTACGTTATTGCGCATAGAGATAGCCAAGTATTAAATTTCAAAGTTTACAGCGCTGTAAAAAACGAATTTGCACACGATCGCTCGATCTGATCGTTCAATGATATTTATATATTTATAATTGCATAAATGATTTATCAATGCGCGATTATTATACACTTGACTTTCAAGTAGATTCCAAAACGGGAAACGCTATATATTGTCTTATTGTATTAAAAAAATTCCAATTTTCTCAAGTAGATATGTTTCCATACATGTATATTTTCTCAGTATTAATCAGAAATTAAATTTTATAAGATAGAAAGATGAAAGATAAATAAGTAAAACTGTTTTTTAAAAGTTTCTTTCCCTCTCGTGGGGGGAAAAGTCGTAAAAGATGCAAATGAATTATGCAAATAAATTATAAAACTCGGTGGAATATCACGTAGCTCTCTCTTACGTAACTAAGATAGAAACAATGTAAGGCAGTAGTTTTTATCGCGTTTTATGCACTTGCATTATAGAAAATCATATGTATATATGTGCAAAAATGAATATATTATGAATATATATTAATGCAAATTATATAAGTATTAAAAAAATTCACAACGCTAGTATAGATGTCTCTTTATGAACTTTATATCCATATTTGTATTAGCGTGAAAAATCTTTAATTATTAATTATTTATTATTATTTTTTATTATTATTTTACTATTATTATTATTAATTATTATTATTATTTTATTCATTATTAGTAATTATTATTAACCTTTTTAATAATTTTATATATATACATAATTTGTGGCATAAAATATAATTTTTATAAAATTATTAAATGGTTATAAAATACCGATATCTTCTGATACTGATTTGTGAACGTTTGTGTTTTTTCCTCGATCTGGACCCGGCTATTTTTAGGAAGTTTAGGGAGCTATTTATGAAACGTATGCCATATAATCAATGGCAGATGTGAACTTGAATCGCATTTTACAAATTTCGCTCCGCCTTCCTTCCTGTGAAATGGGTGCGAATGAACGTAGAGACAAAGGATCTTTCTCCTACCTACGTCTGTACGGAAAGTTTCCAAGTATTTGCGTCAGCGCCGTTTAACGCCTTTCATCGGAGAGCCTCGCCCATGTTTCTTTCCTTCCTCAGCATCGGTCGCCATGTCTGTATATCTCTCAGCAGTACGAACACAAGTCAGAGATCGTGTTATTACAATAATATGCGTACTCGCATTGAGTACACGCGATAAAATTAACAATCCAGAAGCATTAGCATCTCGCGATCTCGAAAATTTCATAAAACCTGTGGCTATAAATTGAGATAATCAGCAGCAACGACAACGTGTAATTATATCGTATAGCAATGACTGTAATTACTCCTGCATTATACCGTTACACGAGATTGTAATTATCATTACAAAATAATCTGCTGAGGCAAAATCCATCTGGAATTCACTAAGATTGTTATCTATTCATACAATCCTGAGAGAGAGAGACGCAGTTCGCAGCAAAGCTCTTACCTTTGAAAGTTCTTCTCATTCGCGAAAGTTACCTTGCATTATACAGGACCGGTTTTTCAGCAATGTTGATTGACTGCCTAAGTTTGTCTCCGACCAGCGACAGAGAGATTTAGCTACAAGCCGAGTTTGTGTAGTTAACCGACATTGACGTAAAACCAGTCCTAAATACGGTGCAGCTATAATAACGTGTGGCAATATTTTCGTGCTGAAGAAACGTCACTCTATGCGATTTGACGTGTATACCGTCGATCTACAAAGTAAATTCATTCAAAACTATCTGTCAATCGAGAAGATGAGATAAATAATAATAAATAATATCCTGGCAAACAAACATCTGAAATGATATGATATATCAAATTGTATCTCGAATCTAATCTATATACATTATCCTGTAATTCTAATAGTAAATTGATTTTTATCAGACATATTTAAGCACATTTTTCGTTTGCTGCAATTTGTTATATCGATGCATTTTCTTGAATGAAATCAGTGTGTTGTCACTAAAAAAAATGAATAATCATTGTGATAGTCTCAGTATAATATTCTAAATTAGTGAAATCTCACTAATTACTAAAAGAATGAATTAGCGATGATTAACTGTTTCAATCAGTCTTACATCATATATCAAATAAATTTATAATAATATATTTTATATTTATATAATTTATATTTTATTTAAGAGCTATCTAAGTTTAACCAAGAATGTCTGACTGATTTTTGGATACATTTTAAGAATAAAATAATAATATATATAATTTTAAATTTGAATTATTGTACATGTTTCATCCTAGACACGTGGAGTTTCTTTCCAAAATAAATAGAAAAGCTTGAAGAATTACATACTGCAAATATGCTCGTCACTGATATTTTATTGAAATCTTGTCATAATCTTGTCATAATCAGCAAGGTAGAAGTACAAAGTATGAGTATTTTCATTGAAAATCAATGAATCATACTATTAAGTCATTGCTTAATCATCGCTTGATATTTTTACCGATTCACTTTAAGAGATCAGTGTTGACTATCGCGCATTTTGAAGACTTACAAAATGTAGCGAGCTGGGAATCGCCAGCAATGAAGAATATTCGTTTGTCTAAAGAACCAGAACTAAAAAATTTATAAACTCGGACACGAGACCAAGTTTATATCTATTAAAAATGCGTCCCGATCATGTTGCACTCTTGACCTATAACGAATAGATATAAAAGAATCGCAATTGAAAGAGTATATTGTGTCAGCGACGATATCGACCCCGGATCGATCCAACTGTTCGCCGCTTGCATAAGCGGCCTTGGATTCTCCGGAAGAATAAAACATTAATATCGGACAGGCATAGCATACGGAAAGTTTTACGTAAGATGTAAATCGATATGTATTTCCCGTAACTAATCGGATATAAGAAAACGGCGATCTTCGAAAAAAATATATAAGTAGCGTAATCCTGCCTGCAATCTTTGCAGTCACCGTATCGTGAAAAATCGCTTCAAATCGACCTGTTCGCGCGTTGGCACCGAATCTCGCGAAACGCTGTGTTCTCCGATATTTTTCACGGGTAACAATGTTTCACATATGAATATCGCACACCGGTTTGGTTGAAACACGTAAACTTTAGAAATAAGTGTAGATTCGCGCTAGGAAAATGTTCGGAGGTTTCTCAATTGCATATTCTTGACGAAAGGAGTGCGTCGCCAAAAAAAAAAGAAATTGGTCCTCGCTCGAATCCGTTCGTGCCCATTTCTGTGAATTGTTTATATCGTAATCACGTGATCGTCTTAATTTATATCATTCAAGAGTCAAAACATTATTTTGATTAAAAGAGAAATGTAGTAAGAGAAAAAGGAGAAGTATTTCATATTTGCTCCGAAATAGAAGCGTCATTTCGTCCTTATATGTATTTGTCTTTTAATCATAATTTAGCATCATTGGGAGGGAAAAGGATTTATCTAACGATATTTATGAAAAATGCCAAAATCTTGAATAAAATTTTGAATATCTGGGAATAAATCTTGAATAAAATCTTGAATCTTGAATAAAATTTTGAATATCTGGGAATAAATCTTGAATAAAATCTTGAATATCTGGGTACGAACGAACGCGATGGTCCATCTATCGAGGATAAACAACTCGATTCAATAAGTCGATCAGCTGTTTACGAGATGGGATGAATATCGACAATTATTCCGTTCGCTGTATCTTTTAAAAAAATGGAATGTACGGACAACTTTGCTTACTCCGACTGTACCTGTACGTGCCTCCGCGGATGAGTAAGCGTTAAAAATTTGATTTATCGGCACAAAAATAATCCTTGTGTCGCAATACGCTAATCAACTCGTGCGCATTATGCCGAACGTAACGCTATTCGCGGCGGTATCGTTTGAAGGTCATCGTCACTCGCGTGATGTGTCGTCGTGTGGGGGCTCGTCCGGAGGCTGGACCAATCGCGTCGCAGAAAGGCAAGACGGCGCCCGTACGCACACATAGGCACTGCAACACGTCGTTTATTTTACCATCGTCGTTTCTTGGAAGATTACAACAGTTACATCAGCCGCACATCACAGTATGTAACGTTAAAGAATGAATTTAATTAGGCTGCAGGAGGTCCTTGGAAGGAGGAAAAAGGGAGGGGAAGGCAGATTTTGACATTTGCTTCGTGACATTTTTATTCGCGCGATCAACGAATTCGTTTACGACGAGAAAAAAACAGGCGGATGACGTCAGCTCGCACGAGGATGTTTGTCGTTTTACGTAGCACGTATAGGAATGCTCTTAGTAAGATTGTCTCGATTTTCGCAGAATCTAAAAGCAAAAGTGCCACGCGATTGCAAAATTTCGAGATAGTGTTGCGTTTGATTTCAAGATTAAGCGAAATTTACTTCACGTAGAACAGTATAAAATGATCGTATTCTCTTATCTAGACGGAATTATAACGTTTTTAAGAAAAGAATAAGGAGATTAGAATATGAAATAGAGATAAATAATGACTTTGAACTTTTTGTTATGGACCACAAAAGTGCGAAAAACACTCAAAAAGAGAGAATATATCTTTGGGAGGAAAAAAGTCAAGAGACATCTGATTTTAATTTCTATACCCTGTAAAAAAATCTCTATACACTATCAAAGAAAAAAAATCGAAATAATTGAATTTGTTGAATTGTATCAATTATTATCATTAAAATTGTTTTATTATCATGAAAATTAAATTATTATCATTTAAATTGTGTATTAGTTCTGATGCAGGAATTTCTTTTCTTTTTAAAATATAATCCTATGGTTTTTGCATTTGAAAGGAGATTTTGAAACAAGATTGTATATGAATTGTAATAAGAATATGTCTCTTTTCAAGTAATAATTTACAGAGCCATAAATCTACGGATCTAAAAAATCTCTACCCTTTATAGGCAATTGTAAGCCATACAGAATTGATTCTTCATTCGGAATTGAAACGAAAATAGGGAGGAGGGAAAGGAGGTCGTAATGCTGCTTCTAGCTTGTTGACCCCCGTCGCTTTCTATCAAGAGACGTCGGCGCTTCGACGCCGGAACCATAAATTTTTATTATCAGATAAGATCAACAATAAATTGCATCGTCAAGGATGTCTAGTTACGATACGTCGGTTAATAAAAATGATCACTGTGTTTCATTCTGTGATTGATCCCATAAATTCAAAAGTCACGCGTCTTCACAACATTTTTAATTCAATTAATGCTACTCTCTTAAACTGAATCAATGAAAATGTCAGTGATTTCAAATAGTAACATAAGATTTCACCCAGGTATTTAATTGATTTTCGATGAAAACATTCACACTTTTTTCGTTTTACGTTTCATTAATTATGACAATAAAATTTCATTAAAAAATTAGTAATAATGTACATATTCGCGAAATGTAACTTTTAAAACTTTTTTTTATGCTTTATAAATATTCTTCTTTTACTTTTCGTATATTTACGAATGTTTACGAACATTTACAAATGCGATAAAAAGAAACAAAATGCAGAATAATACGAAAAATTTCGAAAAAATTTCCATCTTGAATTTTCAGCGATTTGAAAATCTAAACACAAAGAATATGTATACCTTAATAAAGTAAATATATATCTTATAAAGAGACAATACACAAGTGCCATCTGTGTATCTGTTAAACAGTCCTAGAAGAAATATCATAGAATAGTTATCAATTAACAAATTACTCTTATCAAAACAAGAGATAGCTCTTAATCATAATTTAATTAATAACTCTTCTATTTTAATTCTTGTTGTTGGAAGGACGATAGAAAATAGAACATAAGAAATATATCATAAATTCATTCAGTATCGAAGCTTTGATGAAATCTTGAGATTGTCATAAAAACTTAACATCTAATCTCGCGTATTAGAATGATTTCATCCGTCTCAATAATAACACAGTTCGCATTTTTCATTGTGTCTACATGAGATAAAAATATCCTAGACATGTAATGTGTGGTGATAGTGATTTCAAGATAATTACGTTGATTTTTAACGCGACGATGCGTACTTTGATGTACTGTGAGATAATCTTTCATTTATCATATCATGTAGTCTTCAAACATTTCCAATACTTTCTAAAAATTTGCGCTCGATAAATACATCTCTGACTTCCAGACAATTTTGCATGAATATATATATATATATATATATATATATATATATATATATGTATATGTATATGTATGTTAAAACAAGATAAAATCATTCTTAATTAATTATTCTGTTATCTCGATAAGTCAGTTATTTATTATGTATGTTTTTATTTTTCTCAATAAAATACCGATACAATCGATAAAAATTTTTCTTTTATTATATTTTCTGTATTTAGTTGAATTTTGTATTAATCATGCAAAAGGAATATATATTGCACAAGATAAAAATTTGAACGAAACGTAAAAATGCTTCGTATCACTTTATTAATTTTTTTATTTTTATTCGGAATATATTTAAAGCTATATTAAATTTTCTAATGCACAGTTTTCATTAATCACAAAAGATTGAATGAGACTTTTCCAAGAGTCCATTCGTTTATAATTATTATATTTGATAACGTGTCATAGCTAATTGCAAATAATACATTAGATACCGAAGAAAACAGGATCTTTTCTTACAATAGCTCTTTTATGAATAATCTGCTTTTAAAAGCAATTGTATATATTTGCCACATAATATTACTGATTATTCTTTTATGTATATTTTACTATAAAATAATATTTCTGTTTGCATAAAATACGACGTCAAATGATTTATATATCGTTTACCAAAATCCGTTGAAGGTTTTCGAAGGGGCGAAACGAATGATCCAACATCGATAGGAAATGCGCGATTTCTCGATGACAGGATAATCGTGGACGCGAATCCCGTCGTGAGGATTACTTCCCCATTCGTTGTATAGACCACTCCTGCTGGCACAGCGGGCAACGATTGTTCTGCTTAACCCAGAGCGACATGCAGCAGTAGTGAAACGAGTGGTTGCACTCGCCCCAGACGACCACGCAGTCCTGTCGGCCGTAAACCTCCTTCTTGCTTTCCGCCTGGCATCGTAGACAGGCGTCTGAAAATCAAAAAATAAATTAGTGTTCGCTTTAATATTGGTACAGGATAAAAAAGCTTAGCGTCAATTCTTGGTGCGAGCTTTTTTCTGTCGGCGAAGAAACCGGATCAGAACAGATCGTCTCTCTTTCTCATGTTTCAATTAATTTGATACATCCATATTTGATATTTATAACTAAAATATTGAAATATATATTAAGTTATATATATTTAAAAAGCTTTTTATTCTAAAAAGAAAATTATTCCATGCATCTTATTTTTATTTCATATGTAAATTTCATAGGAAAAATACCAGGAAACTTTCCGAGCAACAAGAGATATATAGAAACGTACAGATTGCTATAGTTTGACCATCAATTCGCAAATACTATCGATAACTCGCAATAAATATTTATAAAGAGGACAATTATTAGAATTCAAAGTTTTTAATCGGGGAGAAGATTAGTTTTATTTTTGTCTAAAAAGTCAATCGGATAGAATCATTTAATTACAATAAAGTTGTCAACAATGTAAGCCAGCAATGAATTGAATAATTCTCGAATTTGATCCTTCAATTAAAAATGATAATATAATATGATAATATAATAAAAATATGATAAAAATATAATAAAAACATAATAAAAATATAATAATATAATAAAAATATAATGAAAATATACACGACGATTAATGTCACGCGTATAAAGATTCCTGATGCTCGCAGTACGTGATTAATGATTGAAAAATTTTTAGTATAAAAAACGATAAAATGTGTCCGTTAGAATCAAGTCGCATGCGTGAGTGATATATCGCGACCTCGCATGTCGAGGCATAAGAATTGATAATTATTAATTAGCAATAATAAAAAAAGGAAAGGACAAGATATATCTCAACTCTTAAAAAATTTCACTGATTCTTTCTATATATGGTTATATAGAGATAAGATTCGCGAGATAAGGTCCCCGGGAGAGCAGACACTCCGCGAAATTAATGCGATTAAAACGACTTATAATCGGTATCGGTAAACGCGATAAACGAGACCGAAATTGCAACGATAACGTTAAGTCTATTTAACTGTGTTATCACGTACGTCACGTACGCTCAAATTTGCCTTATCCTCGTGACTAAGAGAATTGCAACCGTAAAAAGTTGTGCTCTACATTTTTTACATACATCTGTTACTAAAAATGCGAAGATATGATTTTATTTTGAGGGAAGGGACAAGTTATTCAAATTCTTATACATAAATGGAGTGCAAAATAAATAGATTTATTGGCATAAAATGTGTATCTAATGACAGCATTTGATGTTTTTTTTTTCATTCCTGCAAAAATCGTAGAAGATTTATAGAAATCAGAGAAAATGCAGATTCACGATATAAATATTTTGGTTGACCAAATGCTATTATGACTATTGTGACGTGAGCAATCCACAATTTAAAGCACGTATATTTTTATCGTCCTCTCTCTCTCTCGAAGAGAATATCATCTCTTCTTTACACGAAAGTGTCACGAATATAGGTGGAGAGTTGTTTGAAATTTCAGAAGAAAACAAGCCTATCTCATTCCTCGCATTCGCACGTGTATAATATTAATTTTGCACGCGCGTTCTCCTTTAGGAAATTCCTTTCCTTCCAAAGGTGTCGAAAACATAAAGACTATCGCGCTTGCGCGCACGAAACAAAATAAAAGACAAGTACACGAATTGTTTCGCGACCTCGTATTCGGATAATTACGTGCCGATCCCCTTGATTCCACGTTATTACGTCTACGTGTGCTTTTCGGTGTCACGTTCATCCCTTATCGAAATCATTTCCGTGAGACGTAAACGTGCTCGCTCAGCGAAAGCGCAGCATAATCTACCGTCCAGGTCAGACATTCCGCGATGAACGGAAGAATACTGGAGAAAACACACGTGGGGGATCTTCAGAATTAAAGGGACGGGCATCGCGTAAGAGATGAGGCCGTCGAGGTCTTTAATTACACGTGCACCGGGCGGACTTTTAGTCTCTTTGCACAATAGCCAATCGCGCAAAACGCGATATACGCCTCGCGAAGAATTTATTTCTGGCTCCCTATCTACGTTGAATATTCGATAAGTATGTATGAACGGATAAACAGATGCCAGGTGAAATGCGAAACGCCGATAATTCGCGCGATGGAAATAGAACACAGAACTGCGTGATTTTTGTTATCGTTGTTAGATATAATTTTTTTTCCAGCGATATTTTAATTATATATAAACTGCAAATGTAATTTTGCTCCCATTACGTCGCTCGCGTAGCGAAAAATATAAACCGAGTTCTCTCCCCTGCCATACCTGCCGTCAAAGCGGATATCAAGTATCGCCTGACGATGCTCAAGCGAGTGTATAAAGTGTCCGGTAGAATTCCATTGGCTTATCTAACGGACCCCACCGCATAATTATCACGCATGATTATTAGCGATCTGATACGCACAGTGAAAAGAAATACACTCATCGTTCTCCGAACAGATCTCGCTAATGACGGATGAAGTAAGGGTGCGCTGAATCGGCTCCTTTTCTCTCATAGATACCTAACATTATAGTTTTTAAAACACATTATTAATGTGTGCATGCAATTTTACAATATTAATTTTACGCTATCAATCTTAATATCAATATTATTTTTTTATTCTGCGACAGTTTCAAAACCATCGACGTTCTTTTCAAATATCTTTTTTTTCTCAATTTTTAAAAATGACAAGGAAAGTCTTCGATGAAAAAAGGAAGAGTGATACTCAAATCTTGAAAATAAATTCTCTGAGAATTCTAGGTATTTTTGTTTAAAATTCTAGGTAAAATTAAAATAGTTGTATAAATATAATTTTAAAATAAATTTATTTATTGTAAACTTTAACATTAATTTAAAAAAAATATATATATATTTTAATAAAATTTGGACAAAATTTGAACACAAAAACTTATCAAATATATATATAAATTAATTTTTTTAATACCTGCATTCGCCTCTTTTTGGACCTCATTCTCTAAAATTCTTATACGCTTCTCTCTTAATTCTTTCACCTCTAAAATATTCTTCCTTTTTTCAAGTGCTTCTGCAAGTTGCTCTGCAATGGACGCTTGCTGTCGCTCAAGATATTCTCCATAAAGCGAATGTTTATACTTACAATATAAAAATCATCAAAGAAATAGTTTTTAAAAAATTCCCCGAGTCTTAATAAAATTCCATGAGAATTCCCTGATTTTCCAGGTTAAAACAAAAATCCCTGGGAATTTCTTTAAAGAAAGGAAAAAAACCACGACCTGTCTTGGCGCTGGTTTTACCCCCTCGTACGGTGCATATCCCGGCAGCGCACTTGCGTCGATGCGACTCAATCAAATCGTCGATTGACGAGGAAGAAATTTCCGTCGTTATCTTCGCCGTCTATCGACGCTTCGTCGATTAATTCTCGGCAAACGTTCCGCTCGAGGGGGGGTGCGCGAGAGAAGGGGCGACGGGTGTCAGTTTCTCGTTGACCCCCTCCGGGGGATCGGGGCAAACGCTTGAACGTGCCCCCCGGACCCAGGCGAACCATTGGGCCAATTAAGTGCGACGGCGAAGATGCCGTCATCGCGACGAGGACGATCACCGCGAAGTAAACTTCGCGAACGTTCGATTTAATTCCAGGGGAATTAAAGCGCGTTAGAACTTTAGATCGGAGTATCTCTCGTGCGCGGATGCACGTTTTAGATTTTAGATAGTCGATTGCACGACGAAGATGCCAAAGTTGACTTCAATCTTGATAAATAATTTCTTGACGTCAGAGAAAATTCCATGAGAGCAGTCGCTATTTATTTTTGCAGCTTATCGTATTGCATCGAGTAATTAAGAGAGATTTTCACTTATCTAAATCTCGGCTTCTTTTTTTTTATTTAATTTTAATTTATGATGCATTGTTTTCGTATTTTTTTAAATCGCCGAGATTCAAACTTACGAATTTGTCCAAAGGAAGGCTCCTTCGATATGGAAAATTTTCAAGATTTTCAAGATTTATCAAGTATAACATAAATTTCGTTTATAATCCATCTCAAAAATATATCGTATTGATACCAAGAAGATATTTCGCTTTGAATCGAAATAAAAACTGATGTAAACAAATTTGCATTTATATCTTTATATATTTTTCAATCGGAATTCTTTTTGAGATTTGACAATTTTAGAAATATAAGTATAATATAATTTCATAATTTATATTCTTTATATAATTTATATAATTTATTATCTTTCCGATTAAATTTTTAAATTAAAGAAAAGTGAGGCAATTTAAAAAAAAATATACATTCTCGAGATTTCGTACAATCAAATCGCGTTAACTTTTAACGATTACGTCGTTAACAGATTTTCGTCTAGTATCGATTAATTCACGTGGCTTGGTGGAAAATTTTCCTTATCGATTATTATTAAATCTTACATTGTGCTACCGTCGTAAGTAGCGTATTGCGTCATGATGAATCTACTTCAATCGTGTTGACGTAACGCGCGCCAATATATTTTGATTAAATCAGGTTGCATACGCGAAGAGTTTTGTTCGATCGACAATTTTTTTGGCCCCATAATTCGTGCGCACGAGGCCTCTTTCAACTTATATAACTTTATCAAACATTTCACGTGTAATAAATTTTTAAAATACGAGATTACCGATATATCAAGAGGCTTTATCGTTTATCTCCTATCGTACACTCCTATCTCTATCTGTGAAAAAAAAAATGCAAGCCAATATTACACACGGGGACAATCCAAATTACACTTCATGGAAGAAACAAAATATTTTGTATACTCGATTAAAATGTATTCGTGGAAGTTACGTCAACCGATTCCAAACGTTAAACAATTGTAGCCGATTCATCATGATTAGCAATTGTAGAAACTCAAAGTTTAACGTCTGAAAGCGACCTTTCAGACAGTCGACATTATGCAGAATTTTATATCCTCTCCGGGGATATTTATTTACATCGATTACAATAAGATTGTCAGAGGCAACGTCATATGATTCCGTTCGT